CCATTCCAGGACTTTATTTATATTGGACACTCAATTGGTGCTCAAATACTGGCCTATTTCCCACCAGAATACTTGAAAAAACTGAGAGGAACTCTCCTAGTAGCGACACAAAGTGGTGCCCTTAAACATTGGCCATTAATTCGTCAGAGGGCAGAGTTGTACTTTTATTGGTATGTTTTTCTGCCGAGCATGACCATGCTGTATCCAAGGGAGGTTCCATTATTTGGTGTGGATAATCGAATAATTTCAGATTGGTATGGAGCTGGTCGATGCCACAACAAGTATTTATTCGAATATTTTAATATTGGAGATGCAAAGGTTAATTCGAAACATGTATCTTGGATTTTACAAGACAAACCAGTGGTTGTATATAATGTAGATAATGATAAGTTTGCACCATATGATGCAACCATGTGGCTGACCAGAACATTTACTGAACCAAGTTTTGTTTCTGATTTGAAAATGGAATATTTCAATGACAAGTCAAAAGCTCTGCAAATAATGGATTTGAAATTTGATGGAAATGATAGAAAATTGGGAACATTTGGAGGAAAACAAAAGATATTTTACTGTATTCGTGGCCAAGTTGCTAAAAATATTGGACATTTTAACTTTTTTAGGGAAAAGGAGGGAAAGAATGAATGTTGGCCTCACTTGCTATCCCATTGTTTAGATTTATTAAATAATTGTGAAAATGATGATACATTAAATCCACCAACCACAAGACATAGTAAACTTTGAAGTGACGAGTTGGGCTTATGGTGAAGAAGAAGAAGAAGAAGAAGGAACTGGTTGAGTAGGCAAAACTGGAAATACACCAGAATATTATTAGTATTGGAAAGTATGAAGGTATTGTGTAAAGTTCGCACAAGTAAGGTAAAAACATTAAAAAAAAATATAACCTCAACCAAATCTGTTGAAATGTTAAAGCAACAAGAGGAAGAAGCTCCAACCAATAATAAAAGAAAGACTGAAGAGCAGGTTTCTTTTGATGACTGGAAAAGAAATTTAGCAAAAGGCGTACCGAATGTATTTTATACCAACATACCAGGAGATATTGAAAAGTATCACGCAATGGAAAAGAAAGAAAATTTTATTATATTCTGTGATGAAGATGGTGATGATGATTCTGACTATGAATATTTTTAAATTATTGTAACTTGGTTGTGTTGATCTTAACGAATATCTGTTGTTTGATTGGCCGTATAATGAGGAGTAAGGGTAGGTCATTTGGATTTGTAAAATCTTATTAATAAAACAATTTTGTTGTGGATATTCAATCGTCTTATTTACACACAACTTTAAACACTGTTTAGAGTTTTTCAACTTTTTGAAACATCTTTCACAAACCAAATATTGACACGTTCTGAGAAAACACGTGTTGAACATGAACATTCTCTGACCAAAGAAATGCATTTTCCCAATTTGGATGTTTCCAACAGTTTTTCATCAGAAATTAAAAAATGAAAAGATCTCCACTCGTACCATTAGTAGAACTTTGCATATTTGCTGTTCTGTTTATTTTCTTGGCACAATTTGCAGTGGCAGAAATTACCTTTCAAGTTTCGTCTGTTTCTGCAAATGATGTGAAAATTCCAGAGAAACCATTTAGTTTTGAACAGATTCTTCCATTCTCTCCTAATTATTTGTATGCTGATGAGGATGATGATCTAATATTGAAAGGAGAAGGCTCCAATTCACAAATTAAATACGAAACTAAACCTATCCAATCAAGTTTCGAATCCTCATTCAATAATAATCGATCCATCATTCAACTAGGATCAAATTCATTTGTAATGAGTGGTGTAACATCCTATTCGAATCATCACAATTTAATAATCAAGCCAGATGATGTATGGCTTGCAATTTCTACTCAATTTTCGAATTACGTAAATGGAAAGTCAGAAGAATTACGAGAGAAATTTGTAGATTTCAAAGGTAAAAAACAATTAACTGTTTATGGAGGTGGAACATTGTATTCTGCTGATTATGTCACTCTTTCGAATAAGATGACTGAACAAATTGAGATGAATATCAAAGATCCAAGTATCCGAAATTGGATTATTCCAAATTTTTCAACAACCACCAAAACTGATAGAATGGTTGGTTCGATAGTATTGATGGCATCGATGAAAAATTATTTTGATTATCAGATTAGTTTATCTTGTAATTTACCTAATGTTACCTTATTAGGAAATGTTGAAGATTGGATTGAAATTAGAGAAAGAGCCGAAAGATTATTAGAATTTGATACCAAGGAAGGATATATGAGAAAATGGGTAAAAATACTTTTACCAATTTTGGATAAATTTGTTGACTCTGCAAAAGGAAATCCTGATATTGAATGGTGGAATAGAATAGCTCATTGGGAAGGTGGAGGATCTGGACCATCGTATATAAGTGGTTGGATTACTGCTTTCTGTGTATTTTCAGAAAAGGGTCATTGGAAAGGAGACGAAACTTCAGTTAAACTGTTCAACAAGTCAAAGGAAATCACAAGTGAATGGCTAATTATTGACAGCGATGAAATACCAAGAGGTTATGTCAATGTACCAATTCAAATAGACGATAATGGGATATTGTATAATACTGAAATGTTTGCTGGACATATGGTTTCTGATATTTTGAAAGATGGAAAGACGATTCAACCAAGAGTTGATTGGGCTCTCTTCCTTATTCTATAATATTAAATTCCATAATTTTCAGAATAATCTGTGTAGAATAGTTTACTTTCGTTTATTTACTCTATTACTAATTAAACAACAGTTTTCATAACATAATATTCATAATCACCATGAGCTTCAACAAAAGGCAAAATTTGGTTATGTAAATAATTGAGGAGAATGTCATGAACTTGAGTCATTTCTCAACAAATTGTCAACACCATCCTTACAGAATGAATTCCAACACTTTTCGAATGGATTTGTCAATAACTTTTCAGATAATTTGAATGCTGTACTTTCAGTACTTCTCTTCTTGGCAGTTTCCCATCCATTTCTTGTTTTGGACATGCCTTCGTCCCACAATTCTCTGTGTGGTTTCCATGAGAGAACAGTTTGTCTACCTTGTTCAAGGAAGTGACACTAGTTTCGGAGCTTGTTTATGAAACGGTAAGTCTTCTCATCACACCATTGAAGCCTCTGTTTTCACCCAGCATCACCTGGTCTTGGAGCCAAGTGATCCATGGATGCATGAGAAGCTGCTACTCCTTTGATATCAACAGATTAACAATGTGACATTTTGTATGTTTTGTTTGTTTGTTTGTGTGTGTTTTTTTGATTTTGTTTTAATATTAGATGCCTTAATCTCTCAGCATTTAAGGAGAATATTGTTGCGAGACTTTTCTAATTATTAAGGTAAGTCGAACAATTATCAGGGCAGTAAATGAGTTCCGTGTATTTATAAACAAATCAACAAAAATTTTACCAATAATTTATAATAAATAGTTTATTTTAACATGTTTTCAGATTCCTCAGTAAGATACTTGCCAATAATGGATTGAACAATAGTATTCTCGAGTGGGGTTGCTGAAAAACATCTCTCTGCACAACTGGCCATCACTTCTTGAACCAATGATGGAAGATAGGTCTTATCTTCAATCAGAGTGGCAAGTTTTTGTTGCATAAAAGCAATTTCAACTTGCAATTGTTGGAAACCATTCTTACCAAAAGTGAGACCTCTAACACATTCTTCCATGGTCTTTAAAACAATCTTGAGAACTTCAGTAACAATTTCATTACCACTGAAACTGGAATCACCTGCTCGTTGGAAATATCTTGGTGTCTTGATGGAGAAACTTGAAAGTTTCTTGTTGAAAATTCTCATTACATCCTTCACAGCATCAGAATTTTGACTATATTTGAGTGAAGAAGATGAATCCAAACCACCATATGAAAGACTTGACTCACCACCACTTCTTCCACTTCTGCCACTTCTACCAGAGTCACTCTTTTCTGTTTCAGTGTCATGAATTTGACTAGGTGGGAATAATTCAATCAAGTGAGACCTTATATTGAAAAGATCTGTAACTGTAACTCTGATAAAGCTTCTCACGTCACGAGGAACATCGGTATCGAGCCAATTATGTGATTCCATGCTAGTTCTGATTAATTTGGAAACCGATCTGGCTTGAATTTCAATATAATATACAATTAAGTGGGAAGTACATTCCTTGATACGAATTTCCATATTTTCAATATTGAAGAAGGTATCTTCATCTTCAAGTTCTGTCATACGACTTCTTGAGGATGTCTTTCTCACTGATTCGGATGATGAAAACTTTTCACGAAGCATGTGCTTGAAATCTCTCAATGGAAGTTTTGTACAAAGTTTGGTCAATAAGAGAGCTCCGACACATGTCACCTTACGGAATTTGTATTCTTCTGGTGTTAAAATAGAAACCTTGCTATGAGGAGTACCATAATCCTTACAGAATAACAAGAGAGAATCAATAAACTCGACACACATGGATCTAATCCAATTCTTGTAAAAGCTTTCTCTTGATGCCATAATGGATCCTAGTGGAGTTTGAGTATCCTCTTCATTGATAAAAACTCTATAATTATCCAATCCTGATTCCAAATCATTTTTCAAATTTTGAATAGCTCCATCAACTATGGAATATAATTGATTAGCTTTGGTATTATCAGGTGTTTCGGCTAGCTTTTGAATATTGGTCTCAGTGTTAATCTTGACCAATTCCATTTGATTCATTAAGAATGTTCTCACAGTGTCACCAACTAAATTGTAAACCTTTTCTTGAAGCTTGTTGTTTGGAATTTCTACAATATGTGAAACGGATTCATTACAGAATAATCTGAGAGCTAACTTCAAGTCCTCGTTGGAACTCTTTGAATTGTGAAGTAAACTTCTAATGTGTTCAAAATATCCAATGAATAATTGTTTGGTCCATTCACTGAAATCTTTGGTAAGTTGTTCGTTGGTGATTTGTTTTCTAATTTTTGGATCATTGGTAAGGAAGGTCATTTGGTAGGTATAATAACATGATTGTACTCTTTTCAAAAATGATGCATTCAGTGATTTCACTCTTTCACTGGTGTTTGCTGATTCTGTTTGTTTAATTACCCTTTCCATATCTGCCTTTAAAAATTCTGATCTGACCTTCAGATAGGAATCTCTCACTTGTTCAACTGGAACCTCCAAATCTATCAAAATGCCGACATAATCTTGAACCTTTGGATCATCATCATCGGCAATATTTAACAAATCCTTTTCAATATTGGTCTTCATCTTGTTGATAACATCAGTAGATTCCTTTTCAATGTTTTTAAATCCAGATAAATTAGCATTCTTTTTAAATATTCTACTAGCAATATTGTAATACTTGACAGCAATATTATACTTTTTCATTTCTATACAGTCATTCAATCTTGTTGGTAATTCCAACAAGAATTGCATTTTCTTTAAAGTTCTGTTGACACTGGAAAGTCTCTCAATCTTGTCTCTCTTGTTTTGAAGATTGGAGTTAATAGTTTCCGAACAAGTAGTAATTTTATCCATATTTTGTAAAAGTGATTTCATTTCATCTTCCATTCCTTCCACGTGATGTTTCATCTTCTTGATAGTATCTGTTGCTGTGATAAACTTGTTGTAATTTTGATAGACAAGCATTTGAAGTGATGTATCCAAATTCTTAGTTTCTTTTCTCAGTGCCGATTCTTGTTGCAATAAATCCTCCACTGATTTGTTCATCAGAGTCTTTTTTAAAAAGTCATCTGCATTAAAGTGACTTCCATCTATTATTAATTTCATGATGATAATGATGATGATGAAGTATTGTTATTATAATAATATATTATAATTCATATTATTGTTGTGAAAAAGTACATTATATAAATTTCATATTAATCCAAATCAACAATAAAATTATAATTTAACACGAATTCACAAAATCAAAACCTACCAATATCTGTCGTATCAAAAACTTGACTATTATTTACAACAGGTCTTGAAGGTGTTCCTTCATCTCCTTGGTCTTCCTCATCAGCCATGGCACCATAAAATTGTGCCAACAACAATCGTGATCTCTCTCTTTCCTTGTCCTCGGTCAAGTCAGCCAATGGAGTAGAGGTAACAACCTCCTCCTCATTATTGTTGTTTTTCATCACAGATCGGGAGGGTGTTCTTGTTGGTGTACTCATTTTTTTACTGTGTATGATAGGAAAGATTTTTGTCCATCAAATTCTGATGAATATCAACACGGAAGGCAATGACATTCTTTAGGTAAACAATTCTATCTTGATATTTATTGTTATCCCTTCGATACTAAATAGCTGATGCTGATGATCCATACGACCTAAAATCAAGCATGCACATTTGGATAATACAAAAAAATTGTTTTTTATTTTTTTTTAAATTTTTCAGTCATCAACAGATCATCACCATCAATAAGGAACGGCTACCTTTATTAAATAATATTAAAAAAATGAATGTCTTCAATGCCATGTTCCAGACGAGAAAGGCTCCATCGTCGGCCACTGGAACCACTCAAGCCATGCATGTATTTTACATGTTGTCAATGGAAAAGATTTTGAAGAATTTAGTGAAGAAACAAACCGATTTGAAGAATGCTTGCCAAGAAGTTATGGGTATGTTTTGTTAGGGAGACTTTTTAGTTAATCAATAATCATTATTGTCATTAATTAAATTAACCTTCATTCACAAATAACAATGGAATAATATATAGATGTTATTAAAAAGTTGGAAAAGAACGAAGCCGACGTTCTTAGGGATATTTCTGAAAATCCAAATAGATACTTTAAACCTTTGGAATTAGCTTGTGCAACCAAAAAACCAACAATAGTAGAACCGGCATTGGATTGTCTTCATAAATTGATGGCTTATGGATATATTGATAGTAAAATACCATATGAAGGGAAAACTGATCTTTTAATTGATGTTGTTGTTGCTACAATTTCTAATTGTTTTGATCCAACACAAGACGACAATGTTCAATTACAGATCATCAAGGCCCTTCTTACAGCAGTTACATCATGTGATATCCATGGAAGGAGCTTGAGATTAACCGTAAAGACTTGTTTCAATATTCATCTAGTTTCAAAGAATGAAATTAATAGAAAGACAGCACAAGCAACTCTCAACCAAATGTTGAATATTATTTTCCAAAGAATGGAATCAAAACCACCAAAAGCTAAACAACAAGAAGCTAATCAAGAAAATGTTCAAGATGAGAGTGCTCTTGCACAACTTCAGGAGGAAAAACCAACAGAGGATTATATTAATGAATTTGTTGATGGAATAATAGATGACGTTGCCCAACAAATTTTGGAACAACAACAATATGATCTTGAGAATGAGGAGGATGACGAACCTATGGATGTTATTGAAAGTGAAAATAATGGAGAGTCATCGGATAAAACAAATACACGTAAGAGATCGGTTTCAGATGCTGATCACGAACCAAACGCTCCAATTTTTGACAACCAATACCAAAAAGATGCTTTCTTTATATTTAGAGCATTATGTAGATTAGCCATGAAGCAACTCCCTAAGAAGTATGTTTTTGTTATTACAATTTATTAATTTAAATTAACAATTTAAAAACCTAGTCCAACCCCAGACTCCTTGGAACTTAAAAGTCGTTTACTTTCTCTTGAATTAATTCACAACGTTTTGGAAAACAGTGGACCAGTGTTTAGAACATCTGAGACTTTCATTTCGGATATCAAGCAATTTTTGTGTTTATCACTTTTGAGAAATTGTACAAGTCCAGTTCCACCAATCTTTTCTCTTTCATTGTCCATTTTTAAATCCCTTGTTAAATATTTCAAAGTTAATCTGAAAGGAGAAATTCGTTTGTTCCTGACAAACTTTTTGCGTATCTTACACAGTGAAAATAGTACATATCACCACAAGATGTTGGTAATTCAGGTTTTGAGTTTTATTGCTCAAGATTCACAAACATTATTGGATATTTTCGTTAACTATGATTGTGCTTTGGACTCTTTGAATATTTACGAACAAATTGCTAGTGAATTGTCAAACGTTGTACAAAACTTACAAGCTGAAGGAGAATGGATGACACCTACACAAGAACTTAAATTAAAGACAGCATCTTTGAATGCTTTGGTGTCTGTTTTGGAATCACTTGTAAAGTGGATGAATGAAAAGCAAGGTGAATCATCAGAGGAACTTAATAATCAATCCGAAGAAATGACTGAAGGTGAATACTTTGAAAAGCAAAGAAACATGAAGATTGGTCTGAAAGAAGGTATCAAACTTTTCAATAGAAACCCAAAGAAAGGTATCAAGTACCTTGTTGAAATTGGAAAACTTCCAGATCCTGAAAAAGTCGACAAGACTGAATATGCTACCTCTGTTGCTAAGCTTTTATATAATACTGAAGATTTTTCAAAGAAGTTGATGGGTGAATTTATGGGTGAACAAGTTAATAGTGATATTCTCCATGCCTTTACTGAATTACAATCATTTGCTGGTCTTCCATTCGATAAGGCATTCAGAAATTATTTGAATACATTCAGACTTCCAGGTGAAGGCCAACAAATTGACAGAGTTGTCCAAAAGTTTGCTGAAAAGTACTTTAAGGATAACGGAAAGTCACATGTTTTTGCCAATGCTGATGCTTGTTACGTTTTTGCTTACTCTGTAATTATGTTGAATACCGAATTGCACAACCCTGCTTTCAACTTCCGTGAAAGAATGTCTCTTGAAGCTTTCATTGCTAACAATAAGGGTATCAATGATGGTGGTGATATTGACCACAAGTACCAAGAGTCTATCTATGGAAGTATTAAGAATAATGAAATTAAATTGAAGGGAGATGAAATGGAACAAATTGTGCAACAATCCCAAGATAAAACTCAACTTACAGCTCAACAAAATCCAAGAAAGAAGCGTATGTTGTTCACTTTGGAAAGCGAAAAGCTCGAAAAGGAAACAAGAAACTTGTTGAAATCAAGTCAATCACAGAGTGATTCTGATGATCAATTCTTCAGTGCTAATCACATTACTCACGTAAGAAGTATGATGGAAACAACCTGGGAATTTTTCAAGGAAGGTCTCAAGGCTACTTTGGAAAAGGACAAGTTTGCTGATACTAAGGTCCATGACAATTGTCTCAGAGGTTTGGAATATGCTATTCACATTACTAGCCGTTTTGATATGCCAACTGAAAGATTGGCTTTTGTTCAAACATTGTGTCACTTTACCAAATTGACCATTTCTGAAAAGGAATATGAAGCTCAAAATGATCCAAATCATATCCACCAAAATCCAGATACTCTCAAGAACAGATATATTATGCAAGATAGACACATCAAGGCTATCAAGATACTTCTCAAGATTGCCGAATTAGAAGGTAATTATCTTAAGGACAGTTGGGCCAATATTTTGGAATGTCTTTCTCAATTAGAAAGATTGCAATCTGATGTCCCACAAAATCGTAACAAATCCAAGAGTGCTGCTAGATTAACTATTGAATTGACCCCAGAACAAATCAATTCTAATACCATCTTGAATAATAATATTGACCATCTTGTTATTGATAAGATCTTTGTCAAGTCTGGTGAATTGAGTGATGATGCTATTGAAAGCTTTGTTAAGGGCTTGTGTGGCGTTTCTAATGATGAAATTAATCCAAAAGCTAATAGAATGACATGTACTGGTAACATTAATATTAATCCAGTACCAAGAACTTTCAGTTTGCAAAAGCTTATTGAAGTTGCTCACTATAATATTAACAGAATCAAAATTGTTTGGTCCAAGTTGTGGGTTCACATGGGTAAACATTTCATCACTGTTGGTACACATGATGATTTGACTATTGCAATGAATGCTATTGACTCTTTGAGACAACTTTCAATGAAATTCTTGGAACAAGACGAATTGGCTAACTATCACTTCCAACGTGACTTCCTCAAGCCATTCTTCCAAATTATTCAACAAAGCAACAAGACTGAAATTAGATTACTCACTGTTGAATGTGTTGGTCAAATGATTTTGGGTAGATATAACAATATCAAGTCTGGTTGGAAGACAATTCTCCAAATCTTTGCTCAAGCAGCTTTGTGTGGATCACCAGTCACTGACGAGGGTTTTAGATATGTCACTGCAATGATGAAGGATGGTGGTGATGTTGATTATTTCCATCAAATTCAACAAAACGAATCCTTTGTTGATTGTATCTTGTGTTTGACTGCTTTTGCTCGTAACTTGGCTAATACCAATATTTCCAAAAGTTCTATTGCACTTTTAAAGCTCTGTGCTCTTCATATTGTTAATAATAGAGTTGATGCTATCAAGAATGTTGACATTTACACTGATGAAGAAGTTCACTTCAAGTTGTGGTTCCCTATCTTGACTGGTCTCTCGCGATTGGTTAGTGACGATAGAAGAGAAGAAGTTAGAGCTAATGCTTTGAAGACTCTCTTTGAAGAAGTTCTCATTAACAGAAAGATTGGTGACAGATTCTCTCCAAAGCTTTGGAATTTCGTTTTCACTGGAGTTCTTTTCCCAATATTTGACGAAATCAAGCAAGCCAATATCACTGATGAAAGCTGGATCAATACTACTTGTAGAAAATCCTTGAGCTTGATGGTCACATTATTTGCTCAATACTTTACATCCATTCCACAATTATTCGACAATATTCTCACCTTGATTAGTTCTCATTGTTTCTTTAGAGTTGAAGAGGATCAAGTCAATCAAAATACTGACTCTCCTTTGGTTGTTGAAAAGAAGATTAAGAATGAAAAGCTTGCTGAAATTGGTAACGAGTCATTCAAGATTTTTGTTCAATTATGTGGTAAATTATTCAATGACCAACAATGGGATGCTGTTTGCAGAAGTTTGGAAAGTATTCTCACCATCAACCTTAAACTTAAGTCACCAATCGATAGCAGAATCCGTTTGAAGATTATTGAAACAACTAACGATATTCTCACTACTCAATTCGATAACATGAAACTTGTTCACATTGAAAGTATGCTTGATTCATTGTTGAATTGTCATAACACCTCATTGGAATTCAACTCCAAGCAAAAGGGTAATGCTGAAAATGATTACGAGATTGAAATTGAAATGTTCTCCTGTACTGTTTATGTTAATATCTGTTCCAAGTTGTGCTCATCACCAAAAACAACCGAAGAACTCTCTAAACGTCAAGAAGTTGGAGAAAATAGAATTATTGAGATTACCGAAAGAACTTTCATCAGATATTTACAACATATTGGTATTTTACAATATTCTGGTAGTAATGCTGATTTAGATATTCAACAAGATACTGTCTTGTGTGGTAATAGATTAATGTCATCATTGGTTCCAACAGTTGTTTCTCTCCTCGAAGTTTACCTTTCATTCCCTGAAGAACAATTCCTCAAATACTTACCTAAATTCTACCCTCTTTTCACTAAATTATTGCTGACGCAACACAGAGAAATCAGATTAGTTCTCCTTGACTTGTTCACTAGATTTGGTAAACAAGTTCTTTTGAAATAAATTAATATTATTTATATTGTATTCGTGAAGCTTGCTTATTTAGAAGAGCTCTCGTTCAATGTTGGAGAAGCTAGCTTTTGAGAAGGTGATTCGAGGAACCTGATTGAAATATCTGTAATTTGTCAATCTCTTGAAGAAATCAAATCGAGACGAGTTGGAATAATCCAAAGTAACATCAATTTCCAAATCTCTGTAAACATTCATGACTTCATTCTCAATTAAATTGGTCAGATTTTTCCTACATTCCTCATGGATAGAATAACTTTCCTCCATTCTCCTTCTCAAATAATAAAACAAGATTACAACACTAATAATTAAAAACCCAACTGTAAATCCAGAAATGACTCCAATTCCAGTAAAAACTATGTCCATGTCAAACATCTTATCCACCTTCTTTAAAACTTCATAAAAGGAAAAGAGCAGCACTCCCATCAATCCTATTGCACTCAACACTGAAATCAAAACATAAATAGATAAAAACAATAGTGGAATATGAACCTTCCTCAAGTGGCTCTGTACCGTATGTGAGGCTTCTCTCAAAGTTTGTAAAAAGTGTTGCTCGTACTCTGCCATCAAAACACCATCAACACATTTGAATTCCAAATTCTTACTATCCATCTTGTAAACCACAAAATTAACAACCTCCCTCTTCATTCTAGTTGACAACAGTAACAATTCAGTAATACCTCCTCCACTCATCGATGAATAGGACGATGATCCTCTATTGAACATCTCGTGATTATAAAAGGCCTTCAATATCGACTTTCTCTTATCCAATTTACCAACAGAACCTTCCTGATCATGATTACTATAATATAGTGCATTCATACTCTTCCTATTAATATCATTCATATTATTATTATACTTCGGGTGATGGTGATGATTTAATTCTTCAATTCCTTGCTCTTCCATCATCTTATTTTTCCTTAATATAAAAATTCTCCTTTTGTTCGCTTAACGGCCAAGATTTGCGCCTAATTTTTTTTTCAATAAATTCATGAAACAGTAATCTTTGCAGTAGTAATACTGTTCTAATTTTGAAGACGTTACTTTAAAGGAAATGGTTAAAAGCTAGTTAATTGTAATGGATGCGGACCTATATTTTCAGTAAGGTCTGCTTAAAAGAAAAGGACACTTGTAATAATTTGTGACATTTGACTCTCATAAATTCATCAACAGTTCAAATTGCTCTCATCTGCCTCCTTGTGGTTGACTTGCTTTGTTTGCCACTCGTTCACCTTTTTAATTCTAATATTCTCATATGAACCTTTCATCTCACGACTTGACTGTCATCATCGAGTCTAGACAACTTTAAAAAAAAATAACTAATTAAGAATGCAATTCTGGATTCAAGACACAAAGCCATCTTGGCTGCCAGAAGGTTTTCAAGTGGTAAGTTTCAAGTAGTCAACTGAAGTATGAAATCCTCTTTTTCACATAGCCAAATGAAATGTTAAATAAAGTGCAAGAATTGACCAAGGAAGCAGAGAATGTATATTATCAAGTTGACACTGAACGTAATGGATTTTTGAGAAGAAAGGAATTCAAGAAGGCAATGAAGAAGTTGGGTATCAACAAGTATGAAGCAAAGTAAGTTGTCTTGTTACAATTGACTGATAAATTTGAAGACACATGTTAATATTTGTTGATCAAGAACGTCTCAAAGTGGTTAGCATTAAGAATTATGTCAACTCCTACTTGTTCATCCAAAGTGGTGGATTGAATCACATCAATACTGATTATCAAGGTCCAATCACATCTGTAGTTGACCAAAGAACTCACATGAACAATACTGAGCCAGAAAGAATACCATTCGACATGTCTCAACTCTCCAAACAGCTATCAAACATCTCATTCCTTACTCAAAATGTCTTCCAATCCATTCCACGTCCAAAAAACATTGTTGGCTACTATCAAACAATGCAAGCAGCCAATGGCATGTACTTGTGCTCTGAAAATGGAAGACTGATTGCCAATCGTCCAGTTATTGGACCGTGGGAGAAATTCTTCCTACATCACGATTCAAGTTGGGGAGTTGATGGCAGAGCACTCAAAACTGTTTGGAATAAGTATATATGCTGTGAAATTGATAATACAGCTGTGGATAATAGAACTGCAGTTGGTCCTTGGGAGATTTTCAAACAAAGTATTCCAGATGATGGTGGACAGAGTATGGAAAGGAATGTTTACAAGTCGTGGACTGGGCGGTATCTCACATCTGATACTACTGGAAATGTTTCATTTGGTGCAACTTCAATTGGAACAAATGAGATTTGGATATGTAAGGTTGTTAGTGCAGTGTATATTTAAGATGTTTTGTAAATTAATAGTATTTAAAAATTGTATGGTCGATAGTTAAATACTTATAATTTGTAAAGAAGTGTTGAAAATATGTGGAACAAAGGAAATTGAATCAATCATCTCTCTAATAAACTTAATTTCCAACTTGTTTCCAATAATCTTTAGGAGTTACTTTCGAATAAAAAATGTCATCAACATACCAAAACGCTGCCTACGATGAAGTTGCTCATCAACCACAACCATCACAACCACCACAATATGGTCAATATCCAGTAATTCTCGACGATCATGGTCAACCAATCCACCATCCATCCGCTCAAAATTATCCACAATTATATGTAGACGAAACCATGCCACCAAATCCACCTCTCAAAACTGTTCTCCGAGAAGTTTTTTCACCTTTTCCTAAACGTTTCGTCGCTTCTTCTCTTGCTGGTTTAGTTTTAACTTTGACTAATGTTTTACTTTTCGTATATTTACTTTTCTGGATTATTAATTCATCAGTTAATGCTTTCGAATACAAGACTGGATATGGTGTTTTCGTCTTGTTATTCACAGGATTAATGTCTGGATTAACATTGGTTTTAGGAAGTTCTTTCATGAGAATGTTGGTTGAATGTTTCTTGTCTGTTTATGCTTTGAGAGAAAAGAAATCACTTTAAATTAATATTCGAATCCGATTCATCATCATCATCACCAGTATATTAATGTATTATTATTATTGATCAAAAAAGCTAAAATCAATAAATGTAAAATTATTGTTTTGTGATCACACAATTTTACAAAGTTGAACTATTTTACAATATAAGATTAATATTCTAAAAGGAATGGTGAAATATTTTACAACTTGCTTGATCTGGCAGGGAAGGGATTGTTTGGAGAAAGGAGTGGATTGCTGGTTGAGTCAACTTTTGGAGATTCCAATAATTCCAAACAGAGTTTCAAGAGGTGTGGCCAACATTCGTCCTTTCCTTCCTGTTCTCTGAAGAAATTAAAGTGTCCAATCTTTTTGGCCACCTTTCCATGGATATAGTACATTCTCTTTTGATTTCCTCCAAATGATTTGATATCTGGTTCGTCATTTTGGAAAGTAATTCGTTTCTTGGTGATGTTTGTTGATTTTCCATTCAAATGTTGGAGTTTCAGATTTGAGATAAATGTTGGATCAGAGATGGATCTTAATAGCCACAAACTAGCTTGAAATGGAGCATAGAAATCATTCTCAATCACATAGGCAATCATTGCCTTATTTTGTAGAGCCCAAGAGGGATGTTTAGGATTGATTTTTGCTTCCTCAATTCCAAAATATTCGAAAATATAATTTGTGTTACATCTTCCGGCTGAGTACCAATCGGTGACCAATTGATTGGCTACATTAATAGGTGGAGTTTCCATTCGATAGAGTGTAGTCATGGTTGGTAGCATGATGTACCAATAAACATAGAGCAAGAGTCGTGGAATGATCCATGGCCAATGCTGAGCCACACCACTCTGTGAAGCAATCATGATAGTTCCCTTAAATTTACACAAATATTCATTTGGACAATAGGCCAATACCTGCCCACCAATTGAATGAGCAATATATACAAATTCATTAATTGGTTTCACTCCATTAACACACTCTCCTCTCAATTTAACATCCAAATTATTGCTTTCACATTTCAATAATTTATCCAATGATGAATTTTCCAAATAATCCATCACAGCAGGTAAATCAAATCTTCCCCAATTTACAATCGTTACAAATTTCTTTTGAATTTCCAAGAATATTTCCCTCTCACTCTTTCCTTCATCAAACTTGACACCATCAATTGAATCTTTTGTAATTCTCGATTTGAAACATCCTCTAAAATCAAAACTCATTACAATACATTTAGTATTCAAACATAAAAACCTGGCAAATTCTCTATAAAATCGAGATGGTACTCCCATCGCTGATCCTATCACAATAGCACACTCTCTCAAATTATCATCTAGTATTATAACTTCTCTCAATGATGATGATGCAGATTTTGTATTTTCCTTTTCGTTATTAGCATTGATTGAAGTATTTTCCGATGATGAAATTTTCCTAAGGATCGGAAAAAAAATTGTTCCTGAGAGTTTGTATGAATCTCTGGTAATGATTTGGTGATGGCATTCGAGACAATCCACAGTGGTAGTTGGGAGTGAGGTGGAATCTGTGTCGTGTTGTGACATTTTTTTTAAATTTGTTATATTTAAATATTTATTAAATACTTTACAAAAGAAGTTTTTGATTAAAGATTTGTTGATTCAGTTTACTGTATCAGGTCTAAAAAGTCAGAGAACCCAAATGTAAAATAAAGTGTGTAAAAAATTCGCGGTCTACAGGATTCGAACCTGTGCGGGTCGCCCCAATTGATTTCTAGTCAATCACCTTAACCACTCGGTCAAGACCGCTTGTTGTTCAATACATTTATTATACCCAATTATTTCTTTATTACAATACAGCTTAATTAACCTTAACTCAATCAAGATCAGTCAAAACAATTCAAGTTCGACAATAGACCTCGCATAAGCGCCACCACGACTGCATGAAACTCATGTTCTTGACCACTACCTTTCAATAGTAGTCATTCGCATACCATATATACTTAAATTTTGATCTAAAACCATTGATGACTTCATGCATTTTATTCCTTTAGTTAATTACGGAATGTGACCCGATCGAATTGGCAATTAGAACAACCAAATGCTTAACTAGAATCAATGCATCAACACCTTTCTCATTGAGTGTGTTGTACTTTCAACACCAATTGCATCATCATTCATGTGTTGGTTTTCTAGGTGGAAATCAGTTCACAATCAACAAGATTAAATTTACTCAGTGTTCCTGCAAAGTAATAATATCTTTTGTGAGATATTATTCCTCTCAACACAATAAACCAAACTAATTCATTTCACTCCAAACAAAGTATCTCAATACCAACACAATATTCTGAAACTGCACTTTATTTTACGCTCCTTCACAATTGGTAAACAAACACAAAGAATAGAAAAAGGGTATTTGTCAAATTTCAACTCTATACAGTTAATAAATTACACATGTGGGAAAAAATTTAGTTAAAATATCCACCGAATGTTTCGGACTTACATGTTGAATCCAAAAACACAATCTTATCGATCTGTCAATGATTGTTTACAAAATGTTATAACTTGTTTGGATTGAAATTCATATAACGCAACTTTGAATGTTAAACTTTATCTCAATGTGTTGAGGAGTGTGGAATAAACCTGTCGAATGTTATGAGAGGAGTGGCGGCTCTACATACCAAACTAAATGTTATTGACCAATTTTTAGTCGATTCTTTTTTAAAACAAATAAAACCACATCAGCTAGCATAGAATAGTTTCGTCTAGAGAATAGTCCAAATTCATAGCTAGAGTACTCTGAAGAGTAATACCAAATTGGATGGATAAACCTCATCGTCATCATCATCAGTTTCCAGTATCAGTACAACATTAATAGTAGGAATTAGAATATTTACTGTCAGCATCCAACTGTTTCAATGAAGATTAATCTTTGCAAAAATTACAAAATTTAATATCCATCTACATATTTCAATAATCGCACTGTAAAACAAGACATCTTTTGCTATCATAGATGGATGGAGGTAACCATTCTCGTAACAATAATGAGAGTATTATTCGAAACTCTCATTCGAATAACATGCTTGATGTTCAGTCCTCTTTACAAGATTCAAAAACAATACATGAATTATCATCAGCAACAACACCACAACAACAATTATTTGGAAAAGGTTCCTCTTCTTCTACCAGTTTAGTCTTACCATTGACTGGACTAAACCTTTCCAATAACAATACTACTAGTAATTCTATTAATATTAATAATAATAATACCAATGGTCTGTCTTCTAATAGTAGCAGACAATATGTATCAGATACAACAAGTGTACAAACTAATAATCGATCAGATTCGTCCAATAGGAATCGAATAGGATTAGTGGATTACACAATGTCAGATTCTAAAGATGACGATACTCATCTATTGATGCTACAACATTCCACTAATAATAATACTAATCCTCAACAAGTTTCGTCTATCCTTTCGAATACAACATCAACAGCTTATCAGCAACAAGTCTTTCACTCTACTGCACCAACACAACTGCATGGCAACAACACAGGACACAACAAGATTTTATCATCGAATAACGATTCTTCCATAATATTACCCAACGTTTCGTCCCAACTTTCGAATAGCAACATGTTTGTTTCTTGCATAAACAAATCAGCAAATTCTGTCCATTTTAATAACAACCAGTCAATGTCTAACATGCAATCTGATACAATGGAGGCATCAGAAGGAATTTTCATGCCAAACTCGCAAAACTCTAGGAATAGTACAACAACAGGATTGGTTTCGAATAACTCCACGATGATGCATGTAGCATTCTCAACTCAAAAAAACATGCAAAATGGTCAACCAACATGCTCCTCATCATCGTCATTGGAAAATCAACATCAACCACAACATGCATTACAACAAACGAATGTTGGTATAAACTCGACTAATCCAAACTATCAATTCCTAATTAATCAAATGCAACAAACACCATCATCATCATCATCATCCATGAGAATGCTTCCAAATGCAACATTGAACATGCAATTGAATGCGAACATTTCATCATCTCTACAAATGGTAAACAATCAGACGACGACGACAACAAACTTTTCAAATTCTTCTTCCAACATTCAAAACATTCCAACGACATTTAATTCAATGATTGTGGAATATCAGACAATGCCACTTTCTGTCAGTAATCAAACAAATCAATTGACATCCATTGGAATGCATGATGAAACCATGTTGAAATTGGATTTGGAAGATTTTGTGAATACGTTACATAGTGAGGAATATAGAGTCTATATGGATATGAATAATCTCGTTTCGAATAGTTACCATTCGAATAGTATTGTAGTGAATCATCCTTCACAACAACATCCTTTAACGTCATCTTCTAATTTACCTCAACAACAAATATCATCACTACATGTAAATCCACCTCCTAATTTTGTCCCTTCTTCCAATTTATTGAATAATCCCAACCTTTCGAATATTGCAAACAACAATTTGCATATTATCTCTTCTCAACAACAGCAATTGCAACCAATCAACATTAACAACATGCAAAGAGTTGTTTCTCTAAATCTAGGTTCCTCCTCTTTAAATCCTACTTCCCATTTCCCATTCGAATAATAATCAACCTAATATTATTCATCAACCAATTACACCAGCAACCATTGTAAAAATCATCCCAATATCTTCAACAATGAGTAGTAGTAATCAACCAACTCTCACACCACAACTTGTTTCCAATATTTCCACCACAACTCAAAAGATTATTCCACCACCACCACCAACAAGTGTAAATATTGGAAACAATGCAAATGTTGATACACCCAGAGAATATGTCATTCACGAAAATGAATATGACAGAAAAAAGACTCCAAAATCCAAAAAGAGGCAATCAATTGACTATTGCAATCAAAAGAAGATGGAATTTAAGATGGAAATTTCAACAAAGCATCCTCAACCGAATCCTGTGCAAGTAGTTGTTACCTCGTCATCTTCAGTAAGCACACCACAAAGTAATACAACACCAACAACAAATTCTTCAAGTATAATGATGGGTCAATATGTCAACAACAACAATAATTCATTTTACAATGAACCACAAATGGATGAGAATCCTGAAGAAAATAAATGATTTTAAAAGGTGGTGTGTGAAATTCATTATTTGGACCATTGAATTATTGAACCAATTTGTAAAGTGGAGAAATAATGGAAAGTCAATTGCATTTATGTCAGTAAATAGAGGCAATGGTGCAACATTGCAAATCTGACTAATGATCCTTCCGGATGAAAATTTAAAGTATCTTCCAAATAATAATTCAACAATTGTAATCAAGTAAAAAACACTGGACGAATTTGTGAATTTATATTAAGCCAATAGATAAAATGAAGTGCATTAGCCGGGAGTCGAACCCGGGTCACCAGCTTGGAAGGCTGGTATGATACCGTTACACTACTAATGCTTCTTGCTAACAATTTTCAAAATATGGATTTTAAAAACTGCACTTCTTACGAATTTGGAATGTTTGTTGAGCATTCTAATTTCTGTCAAAAGTTCGGTTGTAGGCTTACTCTTTGTGATTATGTTTGTTTCATTGTATACGAAATAACTTGGATACTACAAATAGGCTAAATATGACACAACCTTATCCTACCATTTGTGGAACAGAAATCATCGATTTAACGAACAGATTGGCCTAGCAAATGTCATCTCCATTCAAAAAAATGAAACAATTAACATTTAAACTATTGATCTGTGCACTCTTTATTCTCTATTGTAGTTGCTCCATGGCTATGGCTGGTCGTGGTAGTGGAGGAAGCTCAGGTAGAAGTTCTGGAAGTAGTGGTGGTTCTAGAAGTGCTGCCTCAAGAACTACCAGATCAGCTAGTTCTGCTCCAGGGAGAAAGTCAACTACCAAGTCAAGATCTGGAACTGCAGCTAAAAAGTCCACCAAGCCATCTAAAAAAACAAGAACAACAAAACTGGTCAAAGGAGATGCACTCACTACAGGAAAATCAACAGTGGTTGTGAAGAAGGGTGACACTGTGAGTGAAATTGCATATAAACTTGCCAAGGAGCGTAATATTCCTTTCAAGGAAATGTATAAGGCAGTATATGAAGCCAACAGTAAATTACTTGGAGATAGAACTCAATTGTTTAACAAGTATGGTGCCAAGATGAGATTGCATGGTAAATTGGGTGATTTCAAGTTTAGAGATGCTATCAAACCAGGTGATGTTTTGAATTTACCAACTTTGGGATTGAAACCAGAAAATCCAAATGGTGACAAACCTGGCAAGGGAGATCAACCAAATAATGGTGATAAGCCTAGCAATGATAAGCCAAGCAACAACGTTGATCAGCCAAGTAATGCTGATAAACCAGACAATGGAAACAAACCAGATATTGCTCAGCCTGACAATGGCAAGCCAGAAATCATTCCTGAAAAACCAAACAATGGTAACACTCCAGATAGTGGAAATATTCCACCTCACAGAGGTATTCCACCAATCATTGATGTTACTCCAAAGATACCAATCTCATATCCAAAGAATCCAACTCCAATCAAACCACTTCCTATCAATAACAATGGTAAGAAACTGGTTCTCAGACATGCTAGACTCAGAGGAAGAGGGGTTTTCATTAAGGTCAATGTTAACATTAATGGTCAACCAAATAAACTAGATTAGTTTTATTGAAATCTAACACTTATATGTCGTATTGTAAATATTTTGAAGTAGGAGCAGAGTTGAAAACATAATATTGTTCCTGCTGCCATACTTGAGCTGAAATTCAATAGAGTTAGATGTTGTTGACTAAGCACCGATTCTAGGAAGAATATCAGCATTACTGTATCTGTGACAATTTGAAAGGTCAATAAAATCTTCTGAACTTGGAAGGAGGAGCAATCATCCCTCCTCCACCGAAGAAATGTGAATGTTGGAGGAATGTGACAGGAATATTCCCATCTTCTCTAATTCTTTTGAATTGTATCGTTTGTTCAGTGTTATGTAGCCCTCTAACAGAAACGGTTTGATTTGTAACACTTTGAATATATTGAGCTTTCTTTTCTTCCAATTTTTTCTTATATGCATCCTTTTCATTTGTTGGCAGCTCTTTCCACATTTTGCTAACCATTGACACAATCTCTTTTCTGGATTTATCTGGATTTTCTATAAGCATTTTTGGCTTGACAATATTGGTATAATAACTGTAAGCTGTTTTTTCTGGTTGCTCTATATTTCTGATTTTCTGCCCTTGACTAATTTCGAACATTCGATTCATTATTATGAACATGTCTTCTAGCATTAATGAAATGTCTTGAGTAATTTCTTTTTCATTGAAACAAGTATTAATATAATGAGTTGTTGAGTCAGTACTGACTGTGGCAGTTGTCAAACCATTTAACAGAGTTTCATTAGGAGTGGCATTATTATAAAATAATACATTTCCATCATCTTTGAAAATGATGACATTTTCGTAGATTTCTCCAAATATATAATTCTGTGAATCTCTAAACATGTTGTATAATTTTGCCTTTCTCAAATTACAACTAACTTCATTATGTTGATAATAGGGAATATAATTTAAACATCTATGAATATTTGAAATAAGTGTTTCCTTACAACCACTGGTTTGAATTGCCCTTAAACCTGATTCACATAATTCTGATTCCAATTGTTGTAAATCACCTCCAGGGAAGTATTCCTTGTAAGAATTCATTAAATCTTCCATTTTAGTCTTGACTTTAAAATTATATCCTTCATAGACAACTAATGCACCACGTAAAATACTCAATAATTGGAAAAAGTTATCAGTAAAGTTTAGATTAGGATATATCGACAAGTAAGCTCTCCTAATGGCTCTCATGGCAATTTGATTCAAAGTTGCTTGATCCTTAGCATTACTTTTCAAATGCTTCATGAAACTTGTACAAGGACTGTCCTCTCCCGTCATTATATAATATTCATCATCAGAAATATCATCATCATCATCTCGGATTCTAAATACAACATGGTTATCAGAAAATGTCTTCAAATGAGCTTCTTCATCTTCTTCATCTGAATCGAAATCATCATAATCATTCGTGAATGTATTCAAGCCTTCATCCATAGCAAAATCCATGTATGGATTAAAGTTGTATCTATTCCTTTTCTTCCTCTTCTCGGGCCGAGTTACTGCAGCTACAATACCTGCATCAGGTGCAAAAGGTAATACAGTATCACTACCACCACACAAACAATTTACATAATACAATTTACAAAAACGTTCGGAGAAGAGTAATTCCTTCCACAACTTGTTGACCATCCACAATGGAGCAAATTTATAATTCTTTTTTTCTCCTTTACATTCTACAGTATTAAAAAAGACATATTTTGGATGTATAAAGGAAAGTACATTGAGTATGAGTGGTTCTTGTTCAAACCATTCATAGGAGAGTGAAGAAGACATTTTTTTTCAATATTTATTTTTAATAAGAAAAATTTCAATTCATTTGCTTATATTCTTAAATCAATTTGCTTAATCGATTGTAAATAAGCATATTCGATGCACTTTTCCTCATGTTTGCTTTTGATAAAATTAAAATTTCAGACGCAGACTGCAGGATTCGAACCTACGAAGGTTTCCCCAACAGATTTCAAGTCTGTCGCCTTAACCACTCGGCCAAGAATGATAAAGAATAAGTAGAATTTATGAAAGAAAACCAATAGTGTGCATTTTGTAAAGTGTTCAGCCTTACTGTTCAGCACTATCTTTTCCAAAAAAAAATGTCCAACGATCAATTTTTTGATGAGGATGAAATTTTGCAAAGTCTCTTTACCAAATATCATGAAATAACATCATCATATGGAAATGGAACACTCTATCTCGGAAATCAGAGTAGTGTTGGTGCCTTTCCCGATAAATGGAATTATTCCGAGAAGGATTACCAACAAGTATTGTTAGAATTACAATCACTGAATATAAAATCAATTGTTTGTTGTGCTGATGGCTTGGCAATATTTCCTAATGAATTTGAATATTATCAAGTTGATGCAAGGGATTCTCCATCTTTTGATTATTTACCTATAATTGATGGAGCAGTTGAATTCATTAAAAGAAAACTCAATGAGGGATCTTCTGTGATCGTTCATTGCAATGCTGGAGTTTCCAGGAGTGCTACAATTGTGGTTGCATTCCTGATGAAAGTAGCCAAAATACCACTAGAGCAGGCTATTAGAATGGTTAGGGAGAAGAGGAAATGTATTGATATCTCAAATTTCAAATCTCAATTAGTTCAATATGAAAATCAATTAAAGTTACTTGGAATGTAATGATCTATTATCTCAAAGCAAGATGATTATCTTCCATTGCTAAAATTTTGAACAACTTATCGAGATGTTGAATTTCATGGTTCATGTGTATTTACAACAAGATGAAAGGGTGACACGGATTTTTGATTGTTTTATGGTGTTGGAAGAATTATCCAACAAGACAAAAAAATGGAACTTAAAGATGGTTACTTTCCTTCTTCCAATGGTTCCGATTTTACATCATTAGCAAAGTTGCAACGTTTTTCACCCATTTCTGTCTCATTCAATGTATTAATTTGCTTTGATTCAAAATATGAGACCGAAGTGAGTGTAAAGAAACATCAACTATCCGATGAAACAAATTTACTGGTAAGTATTAATCCACACCAAAATAATTTATTATTGATTGACTAATTTATTATTATATTATTGAAAATAGGTAGAAACTCTTTCATCCAATCACCATTTAAAAAATTGTGAATATTTACTGCCAATCTATGAGTGCATTCCAGATGATGTTGATTCATATTTTACTATTTCTCCCTATTGTAAAGAAGGTGATCTAGAAGAATGGATTCGTAGGAATGAATTTTCTCTGCAAAAACCCATTCCTCCCGAAACTATTCTTCTCATCCTCTATCAGGTTGGCATTGGTATTGATACGCTCCACCACTCAAATATTATTCACAGAGATTTGAAATTGAAAAACATTTTCGTTAGGGAGTATGATCCAAACACAGGATATATCAAAATAATGATTGGAGACTTTGGTGATGCCAAACAAATGGAAAAGAGTTACTATGAATCGTCTGGTACCAAAACTTTTAATGATTCACCTCCAGAAATAATAGACCAATGGAAGCAAAACAAGAAGGATGTTAAGTGGACAAAGAAAGCCGACTTATGGGGCATTGGTTGTGTGTTGTTTAGGTTATTGACATTTGATTTGGTATGTTGAGAATAGTTGTTTCATTAACACAGAAAAGACTTCTCCACTTCATGATATTATTTTCGATGATGCTAATGACAATTGGATTGTAAATCTTTGTAACAGATTTGTATGTAGTTTTAATAATCAATTATTTCAAAATAATCATTGACAAGTAGCAACTCGATGACTTGTTTGTGAAATTACTATACTACACCTTACAACCAATCTACTCACAGAGAGGAGGATCTGCTAGTTTTTTGGAAAGGGTATTATTGGTTTTAACCCAAAAAGGTTGTCATATACGTGATGAAAAAAGTGGGCTGATTAATGGTATTAGCAAAGCATTTAACGAAAATACAACTGAATTGATAAAGCAACAAACTCTCGATATTAGCACTTTCATGGGAATGAGAGAGGACTATTTGAGAAAATTGGCAATATCAATCATAGACAATGATTTGGAAATATTAGAAGAAGTTCCTCATGCATTGGAAAAAGGAGATTCTTTTTACCAACAGAAACTAATTATTATGCTTACTACTAATGATTTGAAAGATGAGAAAGGGATGGAAGATATTTTTGAAAAATCAATTCAATTATTTCCAAAATGTATTTATCTATCCAAATTATCATGTTCCCTTTTCTTCATGCTTGAAAAATATGAAAAATCATTATTATATATTGAGAAAGTAACATGTAATTCTGTTTTTAAACTAAATTATGAAGACTGGATTACCTGCTATGACATGAAATCAAATATTTATGCTATTCAGGAAAAATGGGATGAAGCATTATCGATTGCAGAATTTATTCTTTTGGAATTGGCAGTTAGGAAAAGTAATTGTATTCCAAAGCACGTTATTGCTTTAAATAGAGCTGAATTGTATTTTAATAAGAAAGATTATGACCAATGTATTGAATCATGTACATTTGTAATTGACACATTTGAGAACCTTCATTCTGTAGAGGATGAGAAAAATGCCCACCTTGTAGCATATACTTTGGCTGCTAAAGCATATGGAGAAAAAGGAGATCAGTATAATTGCTTTAGATTCATCCAGGTAGCTCATTCTACTAATGAAAGAGACTGCACAATTCTAATTATCAGAGCACAGTTATATATCAAGTTCAATCAGATTGAGTCTGCACTCGATAGTATTTTGAAAGCAATATCTATACAACCTCAAACAAGGGAATACTACGAGCTTGCTTTAACTGTGTTTAAAATGTGCAAAAATGTAAACATGACCACTTTATGTTCTGAACTGATTACCAAATTGGATAATAGAAAAGAGATTACCAACTCAGACCTGAGTTTATTACTTAAATTAGAAACAAAATCTACTATTGAAACCATCAAACAAGATTCCTCTCATAATACTGTTTCACCTCTAAATGCTATTGTAAAAACCAAAATCACTTTGAGCACTCTACGTGGAACCACTGTTAAGGTGGAATGCACTGACATTGAAGGTATCATCAAAGAATGCAGACATAAATTATTGAACGATAAGTTGGAAATAATTGTAAACATGAAAGAAAAGACTAGAATTGACTATATCGAAGATTTGGACCCCTCAATTAATTACACAATTTTAACAGTTGAAGAATTCAAGGATTTAGACGCGAAACAACCTCCTTCCAACACAAATTCAATCCTATTATCCTCCATGGCAGCTCTTTCTTTCCTTGCTGCCGCAACCTCCTATTTATTCATTGTAAGGAAATAAAAAAAAATGTCATTGCTCCTCTCGTCATATTCTCGCTTCCAAAATGTTGAGATGATTGGTGCTGGGTCTGGTGGGACTGTTTTCCGTGCTTTTGATCAAGAAATTGGAAAACAAGTGGCCATCAAAGTGACTAAAAGTATTCAAGAAATGAAAATTGTAAGTAAATTCTTGTTACATTGTAATCAATGGACAATAATTTAATATATTATATTAATAGTATAATTATATTAAAACAAACAATATTCAAAATAATTACCTGGTTGAAATTTATGATCATTTACAGAGTGGTGACGATGACTCTATTATTGTGATGGAGTATTTTCGAGAGGGAAATTTAGAAAATTGGTTGAAACAAAGAAAGAAACCTCTCAGTTGGCTCTTAATTTATAGTATCCTATTGCAATTAACATTCGGAATACACTACTTGCATTCCAATAAGATTTTTCATAGAGATTTAAAGTTGAGTAATATTTTGGTGGTGGAGGAGGTTTGTGAACACATGGTGAGAGTAAAGATTGCAGATTTGGGATTATCGAAAATAGTGGATCATGATACAATCAAGCACTCCAAGGTTGGAACTCACTATTATCTTCCACCAGAAGTCAGACAACAAACCACTGAAGAAATTATACCAGAGAAAATTGATATTTGGAGTTTTGGAATTCTGGTTTTCAGATTATTGTCCAGAGATTTTACGTATGATGTGGCCAGCAAGTTGGTCAATAGTAAGGAGAAGGATTTTTGTGAGGATGTACTGATGAAGATGATTCAGAATAATGAAAATGTTGATTGTGGGGTTGTGACTAATTTTGTAACATTTCTCACACCAACACTCAAATTGAAACCAAGCGAAAGGTATAATTCACTGGATTTATTCGATTTATGTTTCAATATTCCAAATAATGAGTCGTATGTCGATCAAGATACTATTGACCTACTTGTTGATTGTAGAGTTGATCCTTTGATAATTGGAATTTGTTACTTTTCTCTCAAACAGACAGAAAAATCAATTCACTATCTCGAAAAAGTATTAGAGAACAAAACAGAAAATAACAATAGTGCAGAGAAGGGCTTTGCATGTGCAATCATGGCCTTTATAACACTGTTCAATGGTAAAAACAGAACCATTGTTAATTCAGAGAAAGAATACAAAGTCAATCCTGACTTTTTGAGATATATTGAATATGTGGAGAAATATTCAATTACTTTCAAGCTGTATCATTTGTTAAAATCAAAGCAATATTTTATGAGCCAGCATTATGAAAAATCTATAGAACATGCAGACCAATGTATAGAACATATTGGCTCTGCCTCTAGTTTGAAAGCTTGTTGCTTGCATGGTTTAGGTTATTATGATAAAGCACTTGAGGTTATGAAGAAAATCAACCCAAAAACTGAAATGGATTACAGAAACATGTCATATATTTATTTGGTTGAATATCAAAATTATGAGGAGGCTTTAAAGTGTGCAAATAGTGCACTAGAACTCAATCCAGGAGTTCCTGATTTTTATTTACTGAAAGTATGCTGCCTCGCAAGTGCTGCTCCAAGTGAGGCTCTTACTTGTTTGAAGAATGCTCGAAAATTAATTGGAAAAGTAGGTGTATATTACTATCACAAGGGGAGAATCTATTTGAATATGGGGAGATTGGAAATGGCTCTTTCTAAATTAAATAAGGCCCAAGAATTAGGTGAGGAGAGTATGAATTTGATTGCAGTTTTGGAAATGGCATTGGGTAGATTACCTGAAGCTCTTATTTCAATCAATAGATATTTAGAAAAGTATCCAAATAATATTACAGCCCATAACAACAAGTTCAAGATATTAATCATGCAAAATTTGACAGAGGAGGCGAAAATTGAGCTAGAATTAATTGAACATCTCAAACGTCTCAACATCAAAACTGAAAAAACCATCAAACAACAATTGTATTTTGAAAATGACAAACCTCCCATCTCAAACATCTCAAACACGAATATTAAGGAGTGTTATTTTGTTTCCAAAAACCATACCTTCAAAAGAAAGATTAAATTTAACTCTGTGGAAGATCTTTTGAAGCAATGCAGAAAAGAATTTCAAGACGAAACAATCACCACTTTTATTGACGAAAATTCACAAGTATGTGATTTAAAATTTGGAACTTTTATACATGGAAAAACCTATACTGTTACTGGTGATTTGTATATGGAACAAACTTCATATATGAGCTCGCTAATGAATTATCTTTTCCAAAAACGGTAAACAACAAAGGCCAAAATTGAAATAGTGCCTACTATTACATATGGGCTTATTGAACTCGATTCAGCTACTACACTGTATGTTTCATCTTCAATAATTTCATCAAATGCTTGGCATTTGGTTGCTCCTAAATGAATGGAAATAATTTTACGTTTGAATAACTTGCTGGCTTTCTCCATTAAATTTTCCATAGAATCTGAACGAATACAATGAATATAAGGGTGTCCCTCTAATCTCAGCTTTACATCCTTTTCAATAAACTTTCCTACAACGGTTTCTCTGTTGGCATTCTTATCCATTTGTTGAATATTATTGGAAGCCTCCACTATATTACCCATTTCAAGTAGAATATTACTTCTTATTTCATTACTAAATTTGCAAGTGGGAATTTTCTGAAGATGATTATTGATTGATGAAAGAGCTTGGTCATATCTTTTCAATTTTTGATAACATTGAGCTAGTAGTAAATCAATTTTGTTTTGAGGTATCTTAACCATCAAGAATTCCTCCAAAGCTTGCTCATAACTACCAATAGCTCTATAAGTTTTTCCTTTCAAATAGTGGCATCTTGATTTGTCAAATTCTCTTTCAGATTCCTTCAGTACAGTATCGTAAATATCCAAAGCTTCTCCAAATCTTTTCAAGTGAGCGAGTGTCTTCCCCTTCCCCAATAAAATATTAAAATAATTTTTGTGAATTCTTAAATTGTAATTATCCAATGCAAAATTAAAATCTTCAAGTGCATTTGCAAATTCTCGAGTCTTATACCTACACTGTCCTCTATTGATATATACAGTATCTTCATCCAATCCATCACGAATAATAGAATTGATATCTAATATTGCTTCAGAATATTGCTTACTCATTGCCTTGTAGGAACTCAATAGTATTCTTGGTCTCCTTTCACAAGGCTTTAATTGTGTAACTCTCTTGAGATATGCTAATACCTTTGCTGTGAATCCAGAATTGACAACTTGAATTTGACCACTAAGGAAATATACCAAATACCCTCCATTTTTCAAGTGTATGTCTATTAATCGAATAATATCAGGTTCAAAACTTGATGCCAATTGTTCTGCGTCTATTTCTGGATTTTCAGCTGCATTGAAAACTTTGAAAAGCATTGAATATAAAATCATTAAATCAAATATATCACCCTCTCCCAAAAACATTCTCAATTCTCTATTATTGATTACATTGTAAAATATCAAATCTTCTCTACCAACAGGAATTGAAACGTTCTCTCCACTCTCTGGGTGCAAGAATGCAATAACATTTAATTGTCTACAAATATCCTCAAAAAGTATAGAACTATTCACTCTCAAAGATGGTTCAGGTTGAAGAGTTCCTTGTAAAATAATAATGAAAAAATTATCTTGTAGAGGTGTCAGCTTTTCTCTAATGATTTTCAACCATAATCTTTCATCCTCATCAATAGGAATAAAATTGGTTGACTGTATAATGAAAAGGTTATACACAAATTGATCCAACTATTGAAAACCTACCAATTTCAATAATTTCATGAGTATTAAACCGACACACCACACGTCAACCTTCATCAATTGCATCTCTCTAGTCTCCTCATCATTCGTCATATGTAAGAGACCCTCCACTTCCTTTGGCTTGATTTGTGAAAATTCTTCAATGGCCAACAAATGACTTTTAATATTTTCTCTCTCGTCCAAAGTGTCAAATTCTAACGAATCAATCAAAGGAATTCCTTCCTCCTTTTTAATAATTAATTTTAACAAATTCAAGTGTGCCTTTCCAACATTATGATGGTATTTATGTAAAAATAGAATTAATTTATAAATTAAATGGATGATGGTGATAGGATCATGATTGTTCTCTTTGGCAGTGTTGATAAATTCCTCCAATGTAAATCTTTTCATTTTTTTCAATAAAACAATTTCGCATAGAAATATTAGATTGCAAGGTTTTCTTCATATTGTAAAGTTTATTTCTCTGATTCAAGGAAGGAATTGATGATATCAGTAAACTGAGAAGGAAATTCTCGTCTCTTTGCAAGTAATTCCAATGTTTCAGGTATTATTTTCTCATGCAATAAATCTAGACTTGGTCCATTAGAAGATTTCACTGTAAAGCACAATTTGGCATTGTATCCTTTTTCATTAATACATTGTCCAAACAATTGTCGTAATTGGTAGAAATACGTATAATCACAATCCATAAAAGTCATTGAAACTCTGTCAATAATAAATATGGTTTGCAATCTCTTTTCAGTTATTTCAATAATTTTGCTTTCTTTTCTAGTACCATCGATAGTGATTGAAACTTTGATTTTCTTTCCTGGTCTTTGTAACAATTCAATAAGTGACTTATTAGACATTTCTTCATAATCTTTGATAAATATTGAGCAAGCACCGAACCAATTCTTAATGGCCTCTTGTTGTATTTCAGGATGTGATGTAAGGATATCCATATTAATCCATCTTATAGCCTTTGGTGCATATTTTACAATCTCTAAAGCATAATCCTTATTGCTAGATATAAACTTTGACACTTTTTGGAGACTTGTAAAAGGATCTTTTTTAAGAATTGCGATAATAATGTCCATTGAGTGTATGTACTCTTTAGGAATTGTGCTAATATTGTCTCCTCCTTTGATGGAAGCAAGAACCATTTCTTTATCAATCTCAATACTACTATCAATTTCTGAAATGCTGAAACCTCTCCTCAAACAGTCTAAAATCAGCTCTCTATCGATTCCAATGATATCCTTATATTCCTTTTTAAAAAGATACTTGAGAATGGATGGATTGACTCTTAGAGCCTCTTTAAGGAATTCCTTATCATGTCTCAATGACTCATCCAATATCTTGAATAATTTTCTTTCCTGACGGCAATATTTCAACAGCCCTCTATTCTTCAAGAATTCACTGTCAACTTTGAGAGAAATATTCTTGGATATGAATTCAGTGTCTATGGTAGTACTAACTTCTATTAACTTGCAGAATAAGTCGAAACTATTGAAAAAGCGATCATCCAAACATGCACAAATATCATCACTTTCTACATCATGGCACAGGTACGATATGTCATAATCACGGGTTGTGCACGCCTTTACAATTTCCCAAGGCACAAATCCTATTTTTCCCTCAGCTTCTCCTTGATCCCAAGGGTAATCTGTATACTTTGAATTGGAAACCTTCGCTTTTTTTAATCCAATAATGTCAATGAGATTGCATGCTACTAAATATTCATCATCAAATCCCAAATATCCCACCATTTGTTGTAATTGCAACACTAAAATTCCCTTATCACCTGGAACAAGGGAAACCCAATAATCACTTCTATAATTACAATTTTCAAAACTTGGATATGATAAACCTCCATAAAAAGAGCATAACAATTCCTTCTCCTTCCTTTGGAAACGGATAATATTTCCATTATTAGAAACTAGGAGAAATCTATTTGAGGATGTTGTGATTTTACACAGCTTCATATTGTCCATCTCAATAAACTCTACACAATTTGATATCTTTTCTCTGGTAATTTGAATTTCCTTTACCTCCTCATCTTGTTCATCTTTATCATCTTGGTCATTTTCTTCATCCTCTCCTTCATCTTCTTGATCATCTTCTTCATCTTCCTCTTCCTCTTCATCTTCTTCTTCTTCATCGTCATGTTCCTCTTCGTTTTGCTCTGTTTCATCATCTCCATCATTTTCATCTTTCCCTTGCTCATCTGTGACCATCATTGCATTCACTTCCTCATCCATTTTCAATACCTTCAACAATCTTAACCAATATGCCAATGAATGATATTCATTCTCTGGATTACACTCTACAGACCAAGTCCATGTCAATTTTCCTGAACAAATCTTGTTATTCCATAGAGTATCAACCCACTCCTTCAGCAAAAGTATGATCTTCTCACGGGAAAAGTACAAATCGTGCCAATCTTTACACACCACAGCAAGTGATGGCAAATCCTTTGGTGAACAAAACTTGAATATATGACCCAATACAAATGGATCATATCGACAAACGAGAATATTTAGAGGTTTCTCCAATAATTGATTGGATTTTTGCTTTTTTGATGATGACAACGAGAGAGAGTTATCTTCCGAAGAGGTTCGCTTCATTTGGTGTTGGGAATTAGTAGACAAAATCTATGCTTTTTTTTATCAAAACTTTCAAAGTGAACAAACAGCTCTCAATGTTGGTGGTTGTGACTAGAAAGAACATTTTAAAAATCCAAAGAAAATTGGAAAATGTGGAAAGGTTGTTTGTTACCTTACTCCATGACGGCAAAGCCAAATGACAAAGGCCAATTGGTCAAGTTTACAAATTTCAATTTTTTTTTGAAAAATTATTAAAAAAAATATTTTGATATTTTTAACGGTTTTTACAGTAATCGACTTTTTTCAAAAGATGGAAAGAAGAGTGAATGCACTACACAATGATGACTATGAAGAGGTCAACCAAAAAGGATACGGAAGTGATCAGAGTTTTGATCCTGATGAAGATAAAACAACTTCCAACAAGCAAGAAGAAGAAGAACAATTAATTACCAACAATCCATCATCATCCACCACAGATAATAAGAACACAACTGTTGTTGTTGCTGAAGAATCTGCAACGAACGGAAAGCCAAAGAGACAAAGAAAAAAGAAGAATCCTGCTAAGAAGACTTCTAATAATCAACAACAATCAACAAACAATGAAGATGAAGATGACATTCAATATGTAGAAGTGGAGGAGAATGCAGTTGAAGTTATCAGTACAACGGAAGGAACACAAGTCAAAAAGAAGAAGAAAAAGAAGAAGCCAACTCCTCCAACAACTAGTAGCGACAATAACACATCAGCAGATAATTCTTCATCCAATACTAATCCTAAACCAGTAACAACAACAGGTAACCAACAAAGTACTGCTGATAAGAAGAAGAATAATGGAAAGAATCAACAACAACGTGTCTTGTTTGTGAAAGTTAACAACAACAATAATCAACAAGCTACTCCAAGTGAACAACAATCAAGTAGTGCCAATGTTAATGATGCAACCAGTACTTCCAAAGAGGAATCTAGAAAGCCAAAGACCACTTCTCAATCAGCAGCCACTACAGGCAAAAAGGTAAAGAAAGATGCTCCTAAACAACCACCACAACAAAAGGCACCAGTTTCCACTGGACCTAAGAGATACTCTCAACAAGATTATTCTACTGGAAGCCAATCACCAACTCTTTACAATAATTACAATCCTTATCGTAATAATAGTGGAAAGAAATCTTTCAATACACCATCAGGAAATACTGAAAGAATTAACAGCTTTAAATTAGATGCTAATGCTAAGTCCTTTGTTCCTCCACCTTCCTTTACTCCAATTATTATTGAATCTCCAAAACAAGAGAATCAAACCTAAATGGTTTCTGTATTACTAACATTAGTAATTCTGGAAAATACCTAATATTTTCCTTACAGAAATTTTGGATAGTTGAAGGAAATATTCAATTGACCTATCATCCTGTTGGATATTTTATTGAGCGATGACTATGAACCAAAAAATACGGAGAACTAATGCATTTCTTTCAATTTTAGCAGTCAAGTCAACTTAACAAACTTTCAGCCATCTCTACACCATTTAAAATACGTTTAAATGGTTCCACACAAAGTCCTGGTCTCTCATCTTTATCAGTAAACAAGTTATGATTGAGATGGTCAATTCTTTTTGTCAATGCATAATTACACATTATATCGACCAACATGCAAGGAGTTAGTTTTCTATTTAGTCCTAATACTTTCTGTACTCTACTCAAGTATTTCTCTTTGATGCTTTCTGACCATTCATTCACCTCATGATTCTGTGGATCACAATTTGAAATATCAAAATGGTAAAGTGTGATAATATTCTCTGGTTGGTTTTCAAAATATAGTACCAGCTCTGTATACTTTAAATCGTTGAAAAAATCATGTTCACAACAATACCTCAAACAGAAAGTATCTTGTCCATCCTCAATCCTGCCCTTAAATTTTACAGTAAGAAAAGCTTTCACAGTAGTCTTGGTTTTGTAATATTGTAAAGGTGATGATTCGATAATAGTGTTGTAGAGTGGAAGAGTTAAAGTGATGGGAATAGAGCATGTTGTCATAGTTTGGCAATAAGCTAGATTCTTAATTGTATACAAAGTTTGGAGATTGATTTTGCCCTCTTGATTGGATAGTAGTTGTATTGTTTTTGATCCAGCAGCTATACCTTTTTGATTGATTTCACTTGTTGCCCAACAGTAGAGACTTGAATTTGAGGGAGGCTCTACATTGGTGTATAGCTCAATGACTTGTTTGGCAATTTCTTGGTTGTCCCACGATAAATATGGGATAACACAATTTAAAAAGTCTGTCTTATCCACTAATTTATCTAATTCCTCCCTATTGATCATCCTTTCAGATAGTGTGTCAAATATAATCACATGTAAAAGTTTCCTGTTTTCATGTGCTACAGCAAATTCACGACAATTAGATCTAAAACTTGCTTCCACAATATTAAACTTGACAAATGACTCATTCACTGGAATCAATTGATCTATAAAAACTCCTATCACATTGATAGAAGCATTCATAATTTTTGTGGTCATTCTCAATATTTTGAATTTCTCCTCCCAATCGATAAACCAAGCCAAGATAAAAATTCCTCCTTTCCCATTCAGATTCGAATTCTATTTCTTGTTCTTTCAAAAACTTGGCAATCCTCAATGCATGATAACTTGGAAAATCACGAGAATTTACAATTTTTACAATTGATGAACAAGTTACATAGAAATTACACTGACAAGTAATATCCAAAAATCCAAATAAATTCTCCACAATCAATGGTTCCATCGGAAGTGTCTTTTGCTGTTTCGTACGTTTCTTATCAAATTTTGATTGAGAATTTTCATTCTTTCGTTTTTTCATTTTTTTTTAAATTTTAAAAAATTATTTTAGGCGGGAAACATGGATCTAAATAAGGTCAAAAAAATGCTTACACATTCTCTTCATAGATCTGCTTGTTTTCGCGGAGTGATGAAATCATCAGGTTATTCTTCTTCTTGTTTATTGATGAATGGATTCCGATCATCATCACCATCAGCAACAACAACATGTTTTAAAAACAATTTATTGAATAGTAGTACAACATTTGCCTCTCCGAAAGTTTCATCATTTAGTAGAGCCAATTTATTATATAAACCAATACAAAAGTCAGCAAGTAAATCATCATCAGCTGAGGAGGATGAAGAACCAAAGTTTTTACTTCATTTTGGTGGATTGACAATTCCTTTCGGAGAAAAGCCTGACAATATAGAGGTAGGTTTGGGTACCGAGTGTTAAATATTAATGTATTAATGGAATATTGTGTGGAATAATATTAGGATTTGAGAGATTTTGTTGCACAAGGTTTATCAATTAAAAAGAATAGAGATTGTATCAGATTTTTTGAAATTAATGAAGGAAAATTCAAGGAACAATTATCTGGACTTGTTAAAGTTAAAAAGGAAGTTACTGATATGAAGAATTTTAATGGAGTTTCATTACAAGCAGTGTTAAAAATTAGAGTTCATCCTTACTCATTCCTCCAACTTCAGGAACCATTTACTCTCTATCTTCATGATATGAAATCATCAGATGATCTTGCTACAGCTCTTCATACCTACACTAGAAAGTACAAGTACAGCTATGTGGATAAGATTTCAGCTCCAGCAGATCCTACAACTCCAACACCGGCAGCCCCAACCACAACAGAAGGTCAACAACCAGCAAGTGCTCAACCTAAACCTCCAACTAAGCAAGTTGATGTAAAGAAACAAACCATTCTCCAACTCATTGATGAGGGTAAGGATTTACAATTTGTTGTGAGGACCACTAGAAAAGCTCACATTTATAGAGCTACTCAATTTGGTACATGCTTAATGGTTTGTCTTTGCTTCTACTTGTTCGTTCTTTAAATGAAATTTTTAGTTGTTTATTTGATTTTTTTAGTGATTTTTTGATTTTTTAACTAAACCCAGTTGGTCTGTCTTCCTAAAGTATAAATGTCTTGAAGAGTGGATGTAAAGGTATTTTTTTGTTTGAGTTCTAGGTACTTCTTGTAGAGTCTTAATGCAGTTCTGGCATCCTCTATACTGTCGTGCGTATCTTGTTGAATATCTTGATTCAATAAATATTTACAAAGGAATCTCAAAGAAATCTTTCTTTGATTTGGTAATCTATATAATTCTACAGTGTCAATTATTTGTTCCTTAGGTACGAAAATGTTAATAATCTTAAAATCGTTTGGCAAGCCATGACCGATAAATTTAACCTTCTTCACATCAAGTAAATATCTCAACTTGAGGTAGGTATTCTTAATATCAGTAACATGGTGGGTATTAGACTTGTTATTAATATCCAAGTCTCCAGCCTTCAATCCAGAGAATCGTGTCATGTAATCTCCAATACGTTTCTCAGCAGTTGAAATGTAATCGTCAATGAGTATCTCCTCATTGAATGTAATAATACTGACTCTACCCAAACCAAAACGTTGTCCATCATCAATTTGATCTTCCTTTCTTGTTCTAACAAATTCAGCATCAATAGATACAATATCACCACTAAAGTTTACAATAGTTTTGAATTCGTCATTGTTGAATAGGGAGGTATTTTCAGAGATTGGATTTACAGGGTTTACAGTTGGTAGGACGTTCTGAATATCTTGTCTCACGTAGAAAAGTAATGCTGGTGTCTTCCAAGTTTGACTGTAGATAGTAACATCCTTTTCTTTCTGTGGACTGATGGAAAAATCGTTGAAGAGAACCCAATCATTTGCAATCTTGATGAGAGCTACACAGTGACCATCAAAATTCTTTGAGAGAGAAATATTTTCATTTTCTTCCTCACATTCATCTTCTTCATTTTCATTCTCATTTTCAATATTTTCGTAATCTTCCTTGTTGGCACTTTCAATAATTTTGGTTGTTTGAGTTTTTGGAGCAGTTGACTTTTCTTGGAATGGATGTTTAACTTGGATAATAACAGCAGCCAAATTATAGGTGATGGACATTGGAGGTTTTCTCTTCTGCTTGGTATAGACCTCGGCAGGTTGAATGTTGTGAATTGACTCTTGTAATTGCTTTTGCTTTTCGTCATTATAGATAAATGGCTCCCATTGATTCTTATCAGTACCGTGAATAATTGTAAAGTGGAGAGGTATGGTGGTATTTGTCAATTCATTTACAGTATGTTGTGTTCTTATCCATCTAATGTCTTCTTCTCTTGCTGGTACAGTGAAGTTGAAAATATTAGGCAATGTCAACAAGCTTCCAGAGCTATTGTTGAGATAATCTTTCAACATGACTTCAAAGTTGTCGTATGGATATTGTGGATTGACGCTCTTGAGCTTGTTATCAAAGTTAGTATCAACAGTTTTTTGAGTTTGAACTTCAGAACCAAAGAGAATGTCTACCATTGTTCTTTGTCTTCTCTTGTTTTGCTTCTTCAAGAGTTGAATGTTACTATTGTTGGTTGCTATAACTTGTTTCTTATTGTTTGGTGTGCTTCTCAAAAAATTGTAATTTGGTGAAGCAAAGATATATGGATAGGTCATGGAATAACTAAAGGTGGATGCTGATAAAAATTCCTTGTGAAGTTGTTTGATAATGTATGAGTGGAACTTTTGGATTGTTTCTATACAGGAAATTTTGCTACTCTTTTCATTCAAAAAGGTAAGTTCGAGATTTTGAATAGTTCTATACAAGTTGGTAGCTTCTACTGCCTTCTTTTCAGTCTTTTCTGCTTGTTCAATCATGGTGAACAGGAAGCCAAGTTCTGAGGCAATACAGTTAGTCTTCTCAGATAGATGGTTCATGAGGCACACTCTCAATTGGGGAACAATGTGGTAGAGCACTTGGACGTAGGCATTAAAGATGGATGCTATTTCTAGGCCATTTTCTAATCCAACAAATTTAGTGTCGTTATATTTTGAATAGTCAAATTCTTGGAAACGAAGTCTATTGTTGTGTTTAGCAACGTTCAAAGAGAACTCCTTTGGAATGACACGCAAAACTCTTGAAAGTTTCTTCTTTGATTTGACATTGTCTTGTGCAAAATCTTTAAATGTTCTTCTTTCTAAATAGCCATCAATGACACGTTTTAGACCTGGGTTAATACTGGTTCCATAACTAATTTTAGAGTTGGGAGGGTTCTTATATTGAAGATTTTCTAAAATTTGGGGATGTATCTCAAGTGGATGTTGTCCAACCATGTAGGAATAATTTGGCCAATCAGACAACAGGGATGATCCATCATTTGTAACTTCTTCATCGTCAACGAGTTTGTGTAAATTCAATGGCTTGAAATCGTCATCGAAAGAAGATTGGTTTTGTGTTGAATAAAAGTGAAGAGTATTGGATGTATCTGCAAATGTCAATACATTTCCTGTTGTGCTAATATCAAATGATTGAATACCATTAGAATTATCTTGGTCAAATATTTGATAGAGGTTACCATCAGAATTTTGGTATCTATGATCAAATGAAGCTTGTAAATCTTTGAATTGGAAATAACCTGTTTGAGATACCATCATTAAGAGTGAGTTGACTCTTGGATGGAATCCCAAAAATGTTGGATCAAGTTGGAAGTGAACTTGACCAAGCATTCTCAAAGTTCTAAGATCGTATGCTTTTACCATATTGTCAACACTTAGCTCACCATATCTATTGTTAAAACCACAAGTGACCAAGACATTATCTTTGATGGCAATATCATTAATGGTACCTGTGTGGACTTCAAAAGAGTGTTCACTCTTGAGTGTTCTTGGATCTCTCAAGGACAATTCTCCCAAAGTACCACCACAGCATACATATCTTCCTCCAGTTTTCATTACACAAATACCTTGATTGGTTTCTACTTGGAGACCCATCTTTTGAGCATTTAAATCAAAACTAAAGAGCTTGGTGAAATTACCTCCCATGATGAGAGAGTATTGTGATCTACTGCCAGATGATGAATTTCCTGGTGTGTGATCTGAATTGAATGCACATGACAATAATTGTTCACCAAATAGTTTAGAATCTTCATAGCTGTATCTGTATAGACCACCTCTTGTATGAACAGCAAAACCATTTGAACACAATGAATAAATTCTCTCCTTTTGAACGATCAATTGTTTGACATCGTAATTGGGTTCAAATGCTCTGAAGGAACAATACTTTTCCATGTTTGGATAATAGTAACCTGTGATTCTACCGTTTGATGATCCTGTCCAAATGCACTCATCATAATTGTCTGTTACAACAACACGATTATCGTCTGGAGTGTCTACAGATGGCAGTTGACACCAATCTCCACTATTTGATTGTCTAGTATTTGAATAAAAATCATCGTTTGAATATCCATAACCATAGTTTACCATTTGACGTTGATAATTCTGTTGTTGTTGATAATAATATGGAGATGATTGTTGCTTTCCTAGAGATGGTGATCGTTGTGGAGATCCACCACCTTGGTAATTATTCTTTCTTCCATTGTTTCCATATGAAGAACCTCTATAATTTGATTGTTGTGGTGAATATTGATTATAATACATAGTGTTATGTTGTTAATGATGAAATTCTATACAATAATATTCACAAATTAATAATGTATTCTAATGATGCAAAATATCTCTGATCCGACTGTTATTTCACTTTTTAGAGTTATTATTATTGTTGTTGTTGCTAGATGATGAATATTGATTATTAAATAATAATTAATTGATGATGATCGTGTGATGATCACCCGATGAAAAATTGCAACGAATCAATTGCACAATAAATAAGTTCTTTAGATCTCAAAGTTCATACTATCACCACATAGGTGTGTTAATATTTGAACAAGGAAACCTAGTAGTGGAAGAGAACACAACAAGAACGCGATCACTACTTGTGTTGTTGTTGCTTGTTGATCAACGTTGTGATGAATTTTTTATTGATTGAAAAGCTTGGAAATTTGATTTGGCGCCAAAAATCAAATCGTTAAAAAAAAAGACTTGAACAATTTCTTGTGTTCGATAATTATTGGAAAAGAAGGAGGAGCATATGCTATAATTTGTTATTATTGGAAAATAGCCTGTCAATTTGCCATTTAATTAAAGGTTTCCGATGTAGATTAATTCAAATGACATTATTTCAAATAAGGAGGATGTGTCTTTTCATCTCCATCATTGCTTATCATCATTAGGAAACAACAATCTCAGAAGAAAAAGAAAAAACTGAGCGAATTAGTGGTTTTAGTTAACAAGCTGAATATTTCTTCTACATTCCATCATCAATAATATTATTATTATTACATATAATAATCTATCATTGAAACATTAAACAACGATGAGCAAAAAGATAGTGCCCATTTTGAGTCTGTATGAGCCTACTATATCAGATTCCGATCAGGTGTTAGCTTCAGGTCGATCAGCTCGTTACCAAGGAAAACTCCAATTACATTCATCTACTGCATCCATCTACAAAACACCTTCATTAGCTCATATGACAACCACGGCTAGTATTAGATCTTCCGTAACTGATTTAGTCAAGTTCAATAGGCTCTCTCCTCATTTAAAACCTGAAGAGGAAGGGAAAGAGGAAAGAGTTTCCAAGTTTTTCTTATCAATCAAGTTTTTCCTGATTTTAATTATTTGTGGAATTGTAATTATGAGCTCTGTAGTTTTATCATCGACATGGATTGGAGCTTTATTGCCCTCAATCTGGGGGTTGAGTAATAGTGTAAAGGACAAACAAGTATTTGAGATAGTGAATAATATCAAAGAAACCATACAGGAGGTGCTGATCGTTTCTTCAGCAACAAAAAGTCAATTAGTTCATTCACTGAATTATACAGACAGAGCTTGGATAGAAAAGCACATGTATACCATCTACAAATCTGAGTTGGATTTTCACAAGGATTTAATGATTACAACATACATTGGAGATAATTTGGGAACTTGTTATGGAATAATAACATGGGATTCAAAAGTAGCCTTAGTGCACACCAACCTGAATGATCAGCAGTTATATTTTTGTGAGGATGTTGTAACATATGATTATTGTAAACGCAATTCAAAACCTGATATTACTTTAGGCAAATTTGAAATGTCAGAAATAGTTGAAACTGCAAACCTTTATGCAGGATTTCCAGCATTTACACTGAGCTATGCAGATCGTACAATGCCTCAGTATGTGTTTATTAGTTTGATTAATAGTTGGAAAAGAGCTGCTCCTGTGAATGGAACCAATTTTGACTATTATTTTGGATATGATATCAGTGTTGCAACCTTAACAACTCATGTTGAAAAGATTTTGGATCGTTCATATGGGGATAGATTTGCAATTGTAGAAACTGCTACTAATTACGTTATAGCAATGGATCACACAACACAATTTCTTTCTTGGGATTCGGATCGTTATACTCGAATGAGTATAAATTCAGTCCAAGACACACAAATGAAATACATCTTCTCACAGATTAGTGGTGACTACTCATCAATGAAGACTGTCAAATGTAATAATCAAGAGTATCTGTCTAAGGGTGGATATTTCATAGCTCTTCATCGTTACTGTACTGGAAATAACATTGATTGGATGATTGTCTATACAGGTTTGTTTTAATAGATTGAATTGAAAATAACACAAATTCTTCAGTTCCTGAATGGAATTTTACTGGAAGTTTTATTGTTGGCATGTTATCAGCTTTAACTGGAACAGTATTGATAATGATTGTAAGCGCAATTGTTGGAATTATTGTTTCATATAGAATTGTGAGACCATTCAATAACCTTATTGAACTATTTGAGAGTGTTTCTCATATGGATTTAGACAGATTGACCGTTTCGAAAACCTACTTTTCAGAAGTTGTTAAACTCCAGAAAAACTTTTTATTTATGGTGAATAGAATTAGAAGTTACAAAAGCTTCATTCCTCCTCACTTGATCAGCCAAATAGAGAATGGAGGAATGGAAATTCCCGAAGTTGAAGATCCAAGCACTTCACGGCAGCAAAGTGAGGGATATAATTCGAACAATTCTCTATCAAGTACTGGAAGTTTACGGAAAACTACTCTTGCGAAGAGTGGAAAGAAGAAGTATATTGCTTCAAAAACAATGTTCTCTCTACACTTGGAAATAAGGCAGGTTACAATCGTTACCATATTAATGGAAGGACTCAATGAAATGTTGAATGAAGCAAATGCTAAAGAGGTTGTGAATTTGTTGAGTGATGTATTTCTGGAGATTAGTACTGCCGTAAAACCAAAAGGAGGTCAACTAATTGGAACTGATAATGACATGTTTACCATTTCATTTAATGCTTCGACTGATCTTTCAAGGCATGAAGAAAAAGCTCTTTCAGCATCTCAATTATTGAGAGACAAGTTATCGAAGCTAAAATCAATCAAATGGAAAAATTTGGAATATTGGAAGAAACATAGTTTCTTTTTGGATAAAGTCGTTTTCAGAACAGCTATCCTTTGCCAACAATCTCAAACTGGAAATATTGGTACCTCTGACTCAAAAACTTTTACAATTATTGGAAGTTTCAAATATAATGCTGATGCTTTGCTTGAGGTTGCCCAACGTTTAGATTTGGATGTGGTTGTCACTGAAAGATTATACTCTCAATTTTCCCATTTGTACTATATGAGATTTGTAGACAGTGTCGACTTGGCAAACGACTCCATGTACACCTCACCAAAGTTTAAAGAGGATAATATCTATGTTGGGAATGTGTTTGAAGTTGGTGACTTGTGTGAAACAAAAGCAGATGGTAAGTTTTCTAATTTCATTTTAATTAATTGTTATTTCTGATTTTAGAATGGATGTACGAATTGGAGGAACAAGGAAAGAAAGAAAAATGGAAAATCTACAATAAGGCTTGTGATTTATTCTTTGAAATGGTACATACAGAAGCTATAGAGCTATTTGAAGAATTCCTTCATCAACACAACCAAACAGCTTCTACCATTGATAAACCAGCTCATCATCTTATCAACGTATGTAGATCACAAATGGAAGAAGAAGAAAAAAGAGAGTAATAGACTGGCTCAATTAATAACCAACACTGCCAATGGCTCGTTAAATTATAAAATACCTTACAGTGTATGTAGAGTTTTGGAAATTTAATAGATTCAAATTCAGATATTTGATAAGATGACCCTAAAGATGTCCCACACCACAATTAAAATTTGAAGTTTACTCAAACAATAGAAGAGCGATGGATTCAGTTTGAATCATCATACCGATGCCTGTGTGGTTAGTTGGGACTCTCAACTACAGCGCTGTTACGGAGATATCCTTGTTATGTATTTCACCACACACAAGATGAACCTTATCAGAGGTACCTTATCGACCCATGTAACACACCCAAAAAACACACTTTCAACTCACGTTCCAAAATGATTGCAATGCAACTTGCCATAGTCACTATTTAAATCACCGGAGCAGAGAGCACCATTCTTTCACAACAGCAACAATATCTCTAAAAAAATGTTTCAAGAAGAACACCACCAACACCAGTTCGGTAAATTGCTTATTGGTAGCATGCTGCTATTGATGTGTTGCTGCTGTGTGATGATGGGTGAGGTTAGTGCAACACTTGAGGTTACGAGGGCTGAGAAACAAGCAGTTACATCTAAGGGAATTTTGCAAATTCAAGCAATTTCTAGACACTGTGATAGATTGCCAGTTTCAGAGTTGAATATTCCTAATGATCCGATTGATTTTGAAAAGATTTCCAAGTTGAAATTGGGTGAGTTAACTGGTTTGGGACAATATCAATGCAATCAAATGGGTAATAACCTGTACAATAGATACATCAGTGAACAATCATTGAATAGAGTTAGAGGTATTTCAACACAATATGTATCAAGTGATTATTCATTTAGATCAACAGATTTAGATAGAACATTGATGAGCATGTGGTCTGTTTCAATGGGTTTATTCAAGCAAGGAACTGGAAATACACCAATTGTTAATTTTATGAATGTAAATGATTTGGAAGGTAATTCAATGTTTTCACTTCCAAATGGTACTCAAGCAGTTCCTGTTCACACAGTTCCACAAGAGTCGGATTCAGTCTTGATTGGATATCAATTTTGTAACAGCGTAATGAAAAGAATGCATGCGGTGAATACTCAATCAGCTATTGAATATTTCAATAAGAATCGTCAATTAATTAATGAATTGTTCAAGGTTACTGGATGGGATGCCTCTAAGGGTGATTTATCTTTGGCAACACTTGTTGATGTTTTAACAGTTCAAAAATCTCACAATTTACTTTCTCTCCAATGGGTTCATGAACATTGGGATGAGATTTGTGCATTGAGAGATGGATATTTGAAATTAATTTATACCTATCCAGTATTTGGAAGAGAAGGAAGTAGTGATCTTGTTACATTGATGAATTACAATGTTGCTCAGACCAAAGTCAAGTATTATCACTACTCGGCTCATGACACTACTCTGCAAGCACTTGCTGCCAGTTTGAAATTAACTGCTGATTATCCTTATTTGGCCAATCAACCAGGTTATGGATCATTCATGGTTATGGAATTACATGAAATGAGTGATGGATCTAAGGCTGTCAGATTTGTTCATGCCAAGCAATTTAATGATACTTCATTCACTCCTCTCACAATGACCTCATTGGGTTGCAAGAGTGAATATTGTCCATTAGAACAATTTTCTGAGCTAGTTAGTGAATATTCAATGGTCCCTTCTGATTCAACATGGTGTATGGAATGTAAAAATTCAAATAGAGATTTGTGTGCTAGCGAATTTATTCAAACCTACCAAGAATCCAATAAGGCATTGATGATTACCACTCCAATTCTTGCCTTTACTAATCTTTGCACCATTTTTATCATGATTGCAGTAATTGCTTGTTGCATTAGAAAGAATAGAAAACTAGCAAACCAACAACAAGATGCCATGTATCATGGAATGAAATAAATCAATATTAAAAAACAAGATTGATGTAGATTTATCTATACAAAGAGATTTATTCACAAATCCTTGAGATGAGTCCATAAAATTCAACACCTGCAAGGGAAAAATAATTATTGTTCGAAGAATTGTTAGCAGTTTGAGTAATTTTGAAATATTGATAGTATGAGGTACAATTCAAATCCCAGGAACCGGTAGAGCCTTTGAGATTCAAAGCTTGGTCATTGGTATGTGTGAAAATATCTGAATAATTGATACCGTCTGAACTTCCACTCAAAGTCCAATGACGAAGAGCTTCTCCATCTCTAGACATGGTGTGTCTGAGAGAATATTTGGTTGGCATCACTCTAATGGTTTCAAATTTGATAATTATGAAAGCATTGGCCTTTCCAATAAGATTACATTTAGTTGGTTCATGACTCACCAAGTCCTTTGCTGAGCCAACCTCAAAGTTGGATGAGGCAGTAACAGAAAGGTACGATCTATCCATTGGGCTAGTGTATGCTTCTTGACTGTAATTGGTACCCAACCAATACAAGATTCCATTAGTATCAAAGTCCTTTTCATAGATAAAGACACGAATTTTTCTTGGTCTCGTGCTGTAAACAGATTCATCATTCTTCTTACCTTCCAATCTGCTAACTCTACTCCACAAAGCTTCCAAAATGTCTTCCTTAGATACAAAGAGTGGATCATTCTTGAGTTTAGTCAAGAGTGGAATGCTCAAGTAGGTATATCTTACACATTTGAATATTTGGACTTTTTGTTCTTGAGTCAACTTGTCCTTATTACTTTCAATATAGTTGCAAGCAATTTCATAAACTTGATCCTCATCTTTAGTATAAAGTTCATCACATCTCAATAATTCTACAAATGTATTTGGCAATACATCATAAATAATTGTACTTCTACCAGAGTTGAGTAAAGTGTAAAAGTTTGCAGCCAAAATTTGTGAACATTTACCAGATTGCTCTTCCAATTCTGGTACATGAGAATCACAGTATTGTAAATACTTGATAGCAAGTTCTACATCCAATGATCTAGAATCTACAGATGCATTGATAATGTTTTTAAATAATTCAATATTATCAAATGCTTTGAACTCGTCAATAAATCTCTGTACAATTTCTGAAACAATTTTAACTCTCTCTTCGGTTGGATTACTCTTCATATTCTTATTTCCAATAATGGAGAAGAAAATATCAAGAGGGAATTTACGATCATTATCAAAGACCTTTTCCACCAACTTTTGATTAAGAATATCAAAGTTATAAGCAATAGAATCAACACAAATACTCTTGATAGAATTATCATTTGAAATAATAGCAGAATCCAAAACATCAAACACATTCTCTGCATTGATAAATGAAAGCAAAAAGTTTTCAACTTCACACTTCAAAGGATCTACATCTAAAAAGTTGGCCAACAACTTCAAAGAAACCACATTGTATCTGTCAATGGTAATCATACCCGAATATAAATATTCTATTAAAATTCATATATAATTACAATTATTAATAATTAATAATAATTATTACTATTACATACCAATGACTGTTGGAAAAACTTGATCAACATTACACAATGATAAATTAGAACTCTTCTCATCAATAACACAATCCGAAGTAGTTTGGAATATCTCTCTGAAATAGGATGATCTATAACCCAGAACCATCTTGTGTACCTTGAATTGAACACCACCACATGTAACTGTAGCATCAGTAAACAAACCAGACTTGTAGAATGGTAAAAATCCTTCAATAAACAATCCAGGAATAACTTTAGCTTGCTCAATCACTTCCAATGGAACAACATCAACTTTTTCTGTTGTTGCTGTGGCTGGTGTTACTGGAGTCGGTACAGCAGTGGTGGTTGTTGTTGGAGTTGGCAATGTAGTAGTGGCAGCAGCAACAGGTGTTGGAGTTGTTGTTGTTGCAAGAGTCGGATCAACAGGTGGAGGAACACTCTTGTACTTTGTGATGAGACTACTCGTTGGATCGACTTGAACCAGTGATTTGTATTCCTTTGTGGCGTTGTTATAGTTTGGAATGACAGCTAGAGTGAAGAGTTTAGAGCCTTCTAAAGGTTTCTTATTTATCTTTATGCCTTTTGGTGAAGAAGCAATAACATCAGTAGCACTATCTAATGTTGTTGAATCATCTGAAGCACTAGCAGTTGTAGTAGCAAGAGTTGTTGTTGTATCATCAGCAGCTGTTGTAAATAAACTACTTGTTGTTTGAGTATCAGCGGATGAAGCTTCTTGTCCTTGATCTGTTATTGTTGTTGTTGTTACTGTTGTACCTTGAATATCTCCTCCCTCTCCATTATTTGCTATCGATGAAGATGTTGCTCCCAATGTTGCAGGCGTGGTGGTTATTGTTGTTGTTGAATCCTCACTAGTGTTTGATCCAATTTCCATTTTTTTGCTTGTTGTAAAAATCATGAGTTCATCAACTTGCTTGTCTTTTCAAAGTTGAACTCAAAACCACTTGAAAATAACAAATTATAAACTTGGAATTATTGAGAATGATAATTGAGAAAGGAATGTGAGTTTTTAATAGAGAAATAATGATTGGAAGAAGTGTGAAATTATAAAATTTCCTTTCTTTGAGCATTGGGTGGTTCTCTAATTCTGGCAATTTTGATGAATTGCTCGACAGTCATGGTGCTTCCATAGAGTGCAGAGGCTTCTCGTTGTTGCTTTTGGATCATCATTTGGATTTGGAAAACTGGTTGGATGGCAAAGTCAACTCGACACTTTTCCAATCTGTTCATGGCTGTGGCAAGTTCTTCAAATTTGGCCCATCGAATCATGTTATTGTGATGTTTCACATAGGTTTCAGTTGAGTAAAAGTAGCTCAATTCTTCCTGTTGTAAAAAATCCATAAAATGATTCTGAATATACATGAGCTCTCTCAAGTGAGCTTCAACAATTGGAAGACAAGGAGTTCTGCATCCATCAAATAGGTCATTATAATTCTGATATCGAGAATCTTCAACAACTACTACATCGATATGATAATTGGATGGATCAAATCCGAAAAAGATGTCATATTTGGATTTGAAATGAATGAGGGATGGAGTTGGCATGTGAGAGAAGGAAGAATCTTTTGATTTGGCAGTATGGTGATCCTCATAAAAGACTACGAGTGGATTAGTTTCCACTTCTTCAGCTTCATTGTCATCCTCTGAGGCAATTTGTTGCTGTTTGATTGAGTTGTTGACACTTGTTGGAATTACTCTGACAGTGCTTATTGATTCCTTTCTTCTGACAATATTTGGAGATGGAAGGGAACTTTCTACATTGACAGAAGTGGAACTATTGATAGAGAATGAGTCGAATGAGCCTGATTTTCTCATTTCTTGAACAATGGTATGGCTGTGTTTTGGGTGACCGAGATTTCTCACAATACTCTTGAAACTAAAGTTGGCATTTCCTTTGAATTTCTTTTTGGATTCATCGACAGTATGGTAGAGATTTTCCTTAATGGCTGGATGTGAAAAGATGGTAGCAAGTGCATGGGCAGCACCATAGTTTTGCATATTGTACAATTCAATAATGATTTGCTTAATCTTGATGATCAATTCAACACGATCCTTGATGTGTGGTTTATCCAAGACATCACACATAAGCCAATTAGCTCTATCGTGGATCAACTCGAGATATTGACACAATTTAGGACAATTCATCTTGAAATATTGAGATCTAAAATTGGAAATGGCCATATTGAAATCCAAGTAGCCATACGTCTTTTTACAATTCTTTACAGAGAGAATGGAATAATTCAAAAATTCAACACTCGAAATTTCACTATAAAAGTAATAATCCATAATAGTGAATTGTCTAGATAATTCTACAGGTGACACATCTGACCATTTGAGAGAGGATGAAAAGACATTTGGAGGAATGTTTGGTCTTGGACATTTTGACGAGTCCATGTAAATGGTTTTGTAAAAGTGATAATATTCGTCAGTGTTGGTATTATCATCATCAAGATTTTCATCGGTATCAATTGAAGTTTCCAAGGCATTCCTCTTTCCTCTTCTATTGTTGCCATTAGTGAAGATTACATCAGAATCTGATTCAGATAAATGGGACGAGAAGAAATTAGACAACTTATCAGAGAATGACTCTGTGTCGGTCTTTTCAATTTCCAGCGAAGTGAATTGGGTATATTCCTTAATGCTGACCTTCTTTCTCAGATTCTTCTTACCTAAAATTGTTGCCATTTTCTTTTTCAATGTTGTATTGATAGTTTCACATAATTCGAGTGCATTTCCAACTTTTGATAGAGTCACAACCGAGTCTGGAATCTTGCTTGACTCAACCTTTTTCAATAAGTGTAGGGATTTTATCTGTTCGATAATCTTTGAGAGAAATTCGAACATGTTTTGATTCCATTGATAGTAATATTCCGATAGCCAATAGCTCAACACATCGAGACAACAAATAATAATTTCAATACACTCTACAGTTTCCAAAAGTTTTGACATTGTGTTGGTAATTCTATCAACGTGTTCACCGACTGATTCTTCAAGAATATTATCATTAGTGACATCAGTAGAGGAAAAGACTCCCTTACTATCTAATCCGAAATTTTTCATGATCAAGATGAGTGGAAGACTCAACCTTTCGAATATTTTCAATAGGAGACCATCTGGAGACAGAATGTGAACATATCCCCTGAAGAATGCCTTTCTAAAAGTGTCCTTTGTTTCGATTCTTGTCTCAGGACGTACACAATTCTCTCCAAATACTTCGAAATAATCATTAGCAACAGTATCGTATTCTCTGAAACGAATCTTACTCATAGTATCGAATAGTCTGTGCTCAGTGACTGTAACCATTTCAATGAGTTTGTTCAAAGTCAATCCAAATAAGACGTTGTGATTCTTATCGTCGTCTTTGAATGTATAAAAATTGGAGAATGAGTCAAATAATTCATGATGTTCTCCAGTGCTTTGATTCTTCCTCTCTATGAATAGTTTTCGTTGTTTGATATCATTTGAGGTCAGAGTTTCGAATGCAATCTTGGGAATGTTTGAGAACTCCTCCCAATAGGAAGGTTTCAGAGAGAGCTTGTTAGATTGAGAACGAAGGAGGAATTTTTGGAAGAAATTTTGAGTTACTGTTTTCGAAGGAATGAAAGTGTTTCTTCTGATGGTACTTTCTCTCACTCTCGATTTGGCAGGCGAGAGAGGAGAATTTTTGCTCGATAAAGTGCTAGCTCTTCCATGAATGGAACGAAGCTTTTCCAATGTTTCGGCAGCTGTTGGTCTTCCAATAGGATTAGGATCCAATAATTTACAAATCAATTCGGCCAATTCAGTTCCATTAGTTACACATTCCATAACTTGTTGTCTGAGTTGGGCATGGAAATTCACATTCTGATACACCTCAATGTAAAATTGTCTATTCAAGACTTGGAACAAGAGTTCATAAAATACACAACCAAGAGACCACATATCTGTCGAATATCCATATGGTTCCTGGGACATCATTTCTGGTGAGCAATATTTAACAGTACCCAGAAGAGTTTGTTCAGAGCTAAAGCTTTGTGGAACAAGAAGCTGGTCAGTGTGAATACTGCCATTATTCCTATTGAAAAAATTACCTCTTTCCTTTTCCAATTCTACTGCTTCTTCACTGGTGGAGAATTTCATCTTTTTCATAGTTTCAAAATCTCCAATCTTGATCGACTTTTCATCATTGGTAACAAAAATGTTACTCGGCTTTAAATCCAAATGTACAAATCCCTCGGAATGCAAATACTTGACACCCTCTGCAATTTGAATCATGTAACTCAATAATTGATCTCTCGAAATGACTTCAAATATTGAATTGACATGACAATTATTCGTACTTTCGTATTGTTTAGTTTTCTTCTTCAAATAGGTATCCAAATCACCATGTTTAAAGTATTCCATTTGAAAGCAAATCCAATAACTTTGTTTCTTATCAACAAGCTGACTCAAATTCTCAACTTGCATCTTGATAGATGATGATGAATCGGAAGAAATTGAACCTGCTTCAGCAATTTCATTCTCATCCTCATCGTCATCTTCACTTCCAACAAGTAATTTGGATTTTTCACTAGCTTCATTCTTTGTATTGGCAACAAACTGATTACCATTCACATTCCCAGTACCAGTACCAACACTATTTCCTCCTCCACCTCCTCCCAAATTAGAATTACTATTCGAATTATTTGTATTCATAATATTTGCAAACTTTTCAAAAAAGATATCTTCAATTTCTACAAGATTTGGCGACTTTAAATGTCTCAATTTCCATCCCTCAGATATAAATCTGTTCAACTCATCCTCCGAGTAGCATTGTGTCTTTTTGAGAACTTTTGTAATGTGCTCTCGGGTGACAATGACGAGAACCATTTGTTGATTATTCTTCATCATGGATGAATCTGCTATGGAGAGTAAATCAGCAGCAGGAATGTTATTTGTGGAGGCATCAGAAAGAGCGAGAGAATTATGTGGTGAAGATGATGAGATGATGATTATTGATGGGATTCGAATATTGATGACTTCCGAAACTAGAGGAAGAAATTCGTTGTGAATTGGAAACGGATAGACATTTAACCACTTGATATTGTTGTTGCGAAGATGATGACTTCATCCTCGATGCTCTGGTGAACTAGTTTAAAATGTGTTGAGATGAAGAGGCTAAATATTATTCGAAACGAAGCAGATTTTTTTGGACTGTAATATGACAAGTTAATGAGGTGTCAGATAGGTGCATCCAATTTTGCCTTTTACAATTTCTTCCTGTACTGTAATCAAACTCCTATTCAAAGGTTACACAATCAAATTGGCGCCATTTTAAAATCTTTTTGAAAAATAAGAAAAATAGAAAAAAGGCACAAAACTTTGGAAAAACAAATTACAAAAAAAAATGTCCTTATTTTCCAACTCATTATTCACGCCTCCTACAGTTGCTAATAGTGATGATTGTAAAGATTGCACAGAGGAGGGATTTACCAGTCCTATGAGTTATGTGTGTTCCGATTGTTCCTCCAATTTGTGTTGTTATCACGGACAAAAACATATGAAGGAAAATTCTGATCATTCTGTTGTAGCTAAATCAGCTTACAGTAGTAATAGTAGTAGTAATAGTGGAAATGTAACAACAAGTGGTAGCAATTTGTTTGGATTTATGAGTTCTTCTTCTTCTTCTGGTATTTTCGGATCAACAAGTAATAGTGCTAATAGTATTTTCGGATCAACAAGTGGAACAACAAGTGGTGGTGGTTTGTTTGGTAATAGTAGCAGTACTAATAATTCTGGATCGATATTTAGTGGTGCTTTTTCAACTTCATCCCCGATTGTTGAGCTTACTCCAGAGGAAATTATGAAGAAAAATCTTGAAGCTGTTGAAATGTTTGAGAATAGTAGGGATTCTGCATTATCACTCTTTATTGCAATGCATAACCATGTTCCTGTTAACAATAGTTGTAAATTGATTTTGGTTGTAAGTGAAATATTTTCTAATTTTTTCATCTATTTGAAATATTGTTAGGGAGATAGCTGTGGAAAATCATCCTTTGTTAAAAGATTAATCTCAAATGAATTCCATGGGCCATACATTCCAACCCTTGGTGTCTCTGTTCATGCAAAGGTAAGCTCTCTTGATTAATATTAATTCAAATTGACTTTATTGAAGAAATTTGAAACAACCCATGGTGATATCACTTTCAACATTTGGGATTGTGCAGGTCAAGAAAAGTTTGGAGGCAAGTTGACTTTATTAAGCAATTCTAATATTATTTTATAACATTTTAGGATTGAGAGAAGGTTATTATATCAATGGTAATTGTGCCATCATTATGTTTGATTGTGTAAATTCTTTGAAAAGTGTTAATAATTGGCTTAGAGATGTTGTAAGAATTTGTGAAGGCATTCCAATTGTATTGTGTCTCAATAAGGCTGATCTCTTATCAGAGGAAGCAAGACAAAGACTCAAATTTGAAATAGCAGGTTTTCGTGGTCGTATTCTCAACTATTTCGAGTTGTCAAATAAGGATTCATTGAATTTGGAAGATCCACTCGAATATTTGGCCAAAGCACTGCTCAAAAACAAACATGTTTCATTCTTTTCCAAGGTAAGAAAGCAACAAGAAAATGTATTCCATCAAAAGCTTCAAAACACTTCCATGACAGCAGATGCCAACATCAAGACAATTGAGTAAATTAATCTACAGAATTGTTGTAAAATGAATATTGCGGTTTACTCCAACTCTTGATGAACAGTTCTGTTGATCCATGATGGGGTAATAGACAACGATCCGTGTCCAGTACAGAAAAGACTGTTGATGAACGATACATTCCATTACATTCCACCATTACCAAATTTTCCACAAAAACGAAATGTCATCATCACACTCATTCACTCTAATCTTTCTAACTATTGCTGTTATATTGCTAACTTTAAATGGGCACTATTCGATATTTGCCTTTGATCTTACTTTTCCAACATTTCCTGATGCCAAGTTTCGATCGGATACTTCCAATGCCACTGAAGTGTTTATTAAAGACTCAATTGACCAAATTGCTAAACAACTCGAGCCACCATCTTTAGCTCTTCCATATTATATTGATGGACCAATAGCACTATTCGCAGAAGTGGTTGGAGTTCTCTCAAATAGTGACACGTACAGTAAACCTTACGTAAAACCACCAGATGTTATTTCGAATAGTACACACGAAATGTTGAACATAATGATGACCAAAGTATTGAACCGAGTAGAAACTGCCCTGTTAGAAACCAAATATGATAAGCTTGTTATTGCTCTCGTTATTGAACTCGATAAGGATCTTGAAGTTGCTGATTGTAACATTTCGCCAATCATTCCAATAGAAATATCAAAAAAACTTGCTGACATTACTGTCTATTTGACAATTAATGGTCATTCCTTGAATATGAAATGTGGTGGAGATTATTTATTCTCTAGTGGTCCAGATTCCAATTGGAACATTGTTATTAACAGAGCAGTACTTTCGAATATATATTTTACTGGAAATTATGTTTTCAAAAAGGTTGAATTTTTGGCTCAATGTGAAATATCAGCTTCTAGTTTTTTAGTATTCATCAAATCCAAGACTCTTCACACACTATATATTCCCTACATTAGTGCTATTAAGGAATTGATATTTATTGATAGTGTTATGGATAAATTAAGAGTGGATTTCATTCAAGAGTTTCATCTATTTTTGGCAAGTAATAGTTTGATTGGTTTAGGAATGTTCGATTGTGAAATTAAGAATGTTTGGCTGTATAATTCAAAGGTTTATCTAGAAGACAGGTTTATTATTGAAAGTTCTGATCAATTCATATTATTTAACTCAACTATTCAATCAAAGAACTCTCCAATACAGATGAGAATAGAATATTCGAAACTTATTTTCATAGATGGCTTTAAAAATTCTCATACTCCAATCATGCTCTCACTTTCACATTCCATTTCTGTTGTAATGAAAAACATATTACTCAATTCTGCCACTTTACAACAAGAATCACTTCTTAATTTTCGAGGAATCAAATCATTATCCATCTATTCCTCCATATTTAAAGAAAACAATGCAAATAGAATTATAGACATTAGTGATTCAAGTGAGGTTGACATTAAAGAGATTTTATTTGAGGAGAATTCTGCTACTGATAGTCCAATTTGCATTTCTCCTGGTGGAGCTAAGAGCTCACATACCCGTATTGTGGACAGTGTTTTTAATAGGAATAAGGCGGGAAATAAGGCAGTGATTGCATTGTCTCATCCAATTATATTGGCCCGATCTGTTTTTAATGAAAATGAGGGAGTTAGTGGAGGTTTGTATATTTTGATTTAAATTGGTGGTTGACCATGTTTAGGAGCTATTTATGTTGAAGCTGGATTTACTATTTCTGGGTCCACTTTCAAGAAGAACAAGGCCAAGAATGGAGGAGCTCTGTATATTCACTCAGAAATTGGTGCTTCAGGTACCATGCAAAATGTTGATTTTGTGGAAAATCAAGTAACAGATCTAGATGATGTTAAAGTGTGTGGTCAAGATAGTTGTGATGGAAGTGGAGGTGCTATTTATTATAACCAAAACGACCTTTTCTCAATAATGTCATGCAATTTTGTCAAGAATTTGGCTGTCAGAGGAGGTGCCATCTTTGCAAATTTTGAAAATGATACCATTTTTATTACTTATTCGAAATTCAAAGAAAATTATGCAAGTTATGGAGGAGGTGCAATCTATTCTAATTCTGCCTCATATCTTCCATTAATTTATGAAGAATTGGGAAGTGGAAATAAGGCTAAAGTATTTGGAGATTATGTTGCTTCTTCCATTGCTAGTGTGAATTGGAGAGTTCAAATTGAGGATCAAAAAGATAGATTATATGAAGGAAATCAAACTATTTCAGTATATCCAGGTCAATTATTTACCATTATTCCCTATTTTACTGACCTTTACAATAATTCTTTTGTAATGAATAAGGAAGTTTCAAAAATCAAAGTTTCAGGATCAAATTTCACAATTAGTCAATCATCAGAAAAGGAATTTACTAATCTATTCATTGCATCAACCGGTCCACTTCCAAATTCTGAACATTTACACATGACAACACTTACCATTTCATTTTACAAAACCGAAACCAATCTAAAAGTCCAACTTCTCCCCTGTCCAAAGAATTTCTATTTGAAAGATAATCAATTTAGTAAGAATCTTGTCTGTGTCTATGAAGAATCCAGAGAATATCTGATTGCTGTAGCTGTTTCAGTAACCATTGTGGTCATTACCCTTCTCCTATGCTCAATAGGTGTCATTTCCATGCTCTGCTACAAGATATCCCACAAGGTAAAGTATTGGATGCGTAGAGATAAGGCAGAAAAGGAAATTGAAAAGCGATTACTCGAATCTGATCTATGTCCAGAAGAGGAATTGCTCAGTGTTCGAAATTTGAATTTTGTGATTAGTATTGATCAGATTACATTGGAAAGAAAGATTGGAGAAGGTGGTTCTGGAATTGTTTATTTGGGAAAATGGCATCACCATCCAGTTGCTGTCAAATGTCTTAAACTTCAAGATGCTTATCAAAATTCAGATGAAATTGAAAAGGAAGCAGCTCTATTATGCAAACTTAGACATCCCAATATTGTATTATTCTTTGGTGTTTCATTAACTCCACAGAAACAATATCTCATTGTGGAATATTTGGAGAAGGGAAGTTTGGAGAAACATATTTCATTAATGAAACGAAACCATCAATTCGAATTTGTTGACAAGTTGAAGCTTTTGATTGATATCACATGTGGAATGGCATATCTTCATTCCCTTAAAGTTATTCATAGGTATGTGAAATATTTAAACTATTTATTCCTAATATTCGAAACAGAGATTTGAAACCTGGAAATATTCTATTAGATTCTGTTGGAGTAGCCAAAGTTTGTGATTTTGGCATTTCTAGAATTGCTGGAAACACTGCAGCAAACTCCACAACCATCTGTGCTGGAACTTTAACCTACATGGCTCCTGAACTATTGCAATCAGATGCCGAAAAGAATCGAATTACAACCTCAGTCGATGTTTACAGTTTCTCAATTATCATGTATGAAATATTCTTTGAGGAAGCTCCCTATGCAAAATCTTTGAAAATCAAACAATTTAAACAGGAAAGAAATGGAAAAATTCATAATTCTCATTCAGAAGATGGTTTTTATAATAATCATCATCTTGTAACTCCATTTTCAGTTATTTCCAAAGTGATTAAGGGAGTGAGACCTGAAATTCCATTCGAAAATCCACAAGATATTGCTGAATGGCTTCAATTATACATGTTTGAATATGGATTACTTTCCGATATTTGTAAATCAAAGGCAATTTCTATTGTAAATGATTATGTGGAATTGATGAAAGCTTGTTGGAGTGCAGAGCCAGATCAGAGACCAAACTTTGAAACTGTTCTCAATTGTCTTTCATTGTTGAGACAGCAATTTATGGACTTGACAGATTATCATAAACAGATATCTGGTTCTCTATCCTCTACATCAACAACTACTACAACTGCCTATGACTAAAATTCTACTTGTTTCGAATAGCCAATCATTAACTAAATATTAAAATACAATCTCTTCTGTTGTTGGGAAGATAATTAGTAAATAAATGTCCATTTTGTGATTATATTGAATTACCGTGTAGAGATTCTTCTGCCATTGCATTAAAATTAGAAACAGTTTCGTCCTGTGAAACTGAAATACTACTACAAGGTGTACCATTAATATCATGTGGTGGAGTTGCAACTGGAGTGCCTGAATCAGAAGGCGACAAGATCAACTCTGAAATCTTTGCCTTCTCTCCAATTGGCACAAATACAGAGCTACGATTTCTTGGACTTGTTGGAATTGTTTTCGTTTCGGAACAATTAGATTTCGTATCATCCATATGCAACTCTTTGAAAACTGTCTCAGTCTGAATGAATAACGGATAGAATAGAGCAAGAGTCAAGCTGGCAAAAAATAAAATTCCAGCACAGTTTACAAAATGCCAAATAAACTTGAATTCGTCCTTGTCAGCAACGAGTGCAGCTCCAATGATTACTGCTAAAAGTTGAAGCAAGATACAGGCAATTAAGCCAATCAGGAGAGAGAATGTCACAATAAATGGGTTTTCCATCTTTTTTTGATGACTAGTGACGTTCTTAATCTTTTGGATGGACTTTCGAATAGTTTTAATCACTAATATTCCAGAAGTTAAAATAGCAATGGTATCTTTTGCATATAAAACTAGAATAATTCCAAATAGTACAAAGTTAAGGGTGGTAGTTTCTGTTTTGTTAAAGATATTAAACTTGGTCAGAGGAACAAATAAACTTGCCAAGGTTAATACAATGAAAGTGGCAATTACGAAAAGAACTATTGTGATCTGAGTAAAGATTCTAACTCTCTTGAATGCCTTCTTTGAAATGGCTCTCATGGTTACAGCAGTTCTCCAACTATTTTTTCTATTAGAATCAAAACTAAATTATTCGAAACTTACAAAACCATCTGAACGAAAAACAAAATCACAAACAACATGATAAAGTTCAGAAACATGAAGAATGATGAAAATCCAGCAGTTACCCAAATAGCCATATAGTGTGAGTAAGAAACCCTTTCACCTCTCTCAACAATTATTCTAGCTCTAATGAATAGGATATCATTTACTATACGAATCAGTAAATTGATACATTGGATAGCTACCATGGACCCTGCCAATAAGAACATGATGATATGATTCCTTTTCATGATTCCTTCACCAACTTTCTTCTCAGACGAAACGTGTTGATGTTTAATTCTATTTCGAATAAGACTCAATAACAATCCAAAGCAAATAAAGTAAATAATAAACAAGCACAAATAGAAACCAGAATTAGCCATCGAAGCAGCTGGACCCCATATTGGTGGAAAGGCATTCACAGACGAAACATTGACGAAACCATCACCAGGGAACGAAACAGTAACATTTGAAGACATTTTTTTATAGTAGAAGCTCGTTATTCTCTCACTCAACACCTGTATTAACGTTTGATGGAATGGTTATCATATAGTACAGAGATAAAACATGTCAAATTGACAGTTGGCTCTTTCCAAATATGGAATAATCTCACTTTTCATGTTGGTATGATATTTAGTAATAGACACCAAAGAAATACAACTACTATATAGGAATGATGGAAGTGAGATATTGAAAAAAGCAAAGAACCACTTGTACTGTAAAATACTGAATTGTAAACTTGGTGAGACTTGATGTCATCAAATGCGTACTACACAAGATTAATGCTTACAGTAAGTTTCTAGTTCATGAAAAGATTCTGATGAAATTGTTGGTCCACAGTGATGGAAGGTTTCTTCAAAGTTTAGAATAGTTTGGTTTCTGACCACAAAATATTCGAAATTCTCGAAAGTTTCAACTTGATTGCAATAGTTTCTCATTCAATCATTGCAATGACAGATTCACTACTTGGTAAGGGCATGAAATTCGAAAGTGTTTCACCAGGAGTTTCATTCGAAAGTGCACTACTGCTCGATGTTCCAGAATTTCCCTGCAATATTTGCAATGTTGCATCACCAGGTGATAAAACCATTGCACTCTTCTTATTATCAATTGAAAGAAGCATTGAATTTCTATTATTCGATTCGTTTCTTCTACTTTCAGATAGATTAGAAATGTTTGACTTTGTATCATCAATATGCAATTCCTTAATCACCGTCTCTGTCTGAATAAACAATGGATAGAATAATCCAAGTGTCAAAATGGCAAACATTAAAATTCCAGCACAATTAATGAAATGCCAAACAAATTTCAATTCTTCCCTATCAGAAACCAAAACTGCTCCGACAATTACTGCAAGGAATTGAAGTAAAATGCAAGAAATTAAAGCTATCAGTAAGGAAAATGTGACAAGGAATGGATTTTCCATTTTCTTGTGTTGAGTGGAAATGTTCTTAATTTTCAGAATGGACTTTCGAATGGTTTTAATGACCAGTATTCCAGAAATGAGAATGGCAATGGTATCTTTGGAGTATAATAGAACGATTAATCCTAGTAAAATAAAGTTGACTGTGTTGCTTGTTGATTTTGAAAGGTAATCGAATTTCAATAGGGGAACTGAGATACTAATGAGGATTAGTAAGACGAAAGCAGCAAATACAAAGAGAGAAATGGTGATTTGAGTAAAGATTCTAACTCTCTTGAATGTCTTCTTTGAAATGGCTCTCATTGTTGCGGCAGTTCTCCAACTAGTTTTTCTGTTAGAAACAAAATATTAAATTATTCGAAACTTACAAAACCATCTGAACGAAAAATAGAATCACAAACAACATGATATAGTTAAGAAACATGAAGAATGATGAAATACTAGTCAATGACCACATGGCTGCATAGTGAGCGAAGGTTATCCTTTCACCTCTCTCAACAATTAATCTTGCCTCCATGAATAGGATATCAGAAACTAATCTGATCAGTAAATTAATACATTGAACGGCAACCATGGACCCTGCCAATATGAACATGATCACATGATTACGTTTCATCACTTGTTTAGTTCTGTTTTGATCCACTCTCTTTCGAATAGTTCTAAACAACAAGCCGAAACATATGAAATAAATGGCAAAGAGAACCAGATAGAAACCAGAATTAGCCATCGAAGCAGCAGTTCCCCACACAGGAGGAAATACATTCACAGACGAAACATTGACGAAACCATCCTCTGAAAATTTAATGGTTTCATTGCAACAACCTTTTGACATTTTTTCCACTTATCCTAAAACCATTCGCTTAAATTGCTACCATTCAAAGTTCTGAAAATTTCACTTTTCACATGCCAATTAGGATTGTCATCTTCGTTAATAGAAACTCCACAATGGCGTTTGAAAAGAATGAAGTTTAGGTGGAACAATGAATTATGTCTCAAAAATGCAATCCAGCCAATTTTTAATACCATATCTTTTTTCCAACTGTTTCTTCTCAACAATTTCAATGAGAAAGAATGAGAACAAATCATGAGAATAGCTTCTCTATACTCTTATCTTCCATTTAATATCTTCAATTTTCCAATATTTGACCTCAATCTCCAACCATATGGCAAATAATCATTCCATAATCAAAATTCTCAGAAAATCATCTTTTGGCTGATTTTTGGTAATTTTTTATTAAAAAAAAATGTTATCAAAAGCAGATGCCGATCAAAGAATTTTAGATTTTCCGAGCAGTATTTTTAGTCAGGGTACAATTTGTAGGTTTTTACATGATCGGAATGTGTTGATCATTGATTATGATGCCAATCCTACTTGGATTTTCTATTTTTCCAATTAATTATTATTATTAATTACTATTAATTATTATTATTTAAATATTTGATGATCAAAAATCAATTCAGGGGTTTGTGGAAGAAATGTTGATGGACAATTACTTACACCATGTAAAGATACAACTTTCCACTCAGTATCAGATATTCTTCCTGTCGAAGTTTCTGAAATATTTCCATATGGTGATAGTTTAAAGTGGATTGGAGCTGGAGATCATTTTACAATTCTCGTGACCAAATCAAATGTTGTCTATGCTGCTGGACAAAATACGAGTGGTCAGCTTGGATTAGATCACAACAAGGTTTTGACTGAAAAGGTTGTTCGAGTTCACTTTTTTGATCACAAGAATATTGCAAGTATTAGTTGTGGAGCTTATTATACGTTTTTTATGGAGGAAATTGGAGATTCACAAATTGTTTATGTGTGTGGAAAGAATAATAGTGGAGTGAGTATTTATTGTTATTCAAAATGTTGCTGAACGGAGTTTTCATGAAATTGTTGTGAATATTGTGAATTTATTAAATATTATTAACGGAATAATATAGCAATTGGGAATTACATACAATGAAGATGAGGATAATTTGATCTTTCCACCTCATAACTTGAATTTATCATTTATTGAAAATGATAGAATTGAAAAGATTGTTTGTGGATATGAAACTACCTTGATATTATGCAGTAAGTAGAGGTATCAATTTCGCATTGCGAAATACTATAACCATTTAGAGAGTGGAAAGCTTTATGGTGCAGGAGCAAATACCACCAATCAATTGGCTAGACCATCATCAGATCCATTACTACACAAATCAGGAAGTTTTGAATTATGTAATTTTGAATCCTTAATTTCCGATCACGAAAAGATCATCGACGTTTCCTTGGGAACAAGTTATGTTCTAATTTTAACAGATATTGGCAATGTGTACAGCAATGTGAATACATCGTATCCATTTTTCAAGAGAATTGGCTTGAATAGCTCACCATTTTCCAAAATTCATTTTGGAGCATCAAATGGTATGTTTCAAAAATTCAAGAATTTTACAATTTCTTGAAAATAGCTTATTTGAAAATTTCAGATAATCACCCAAACGAAGATATTGCAGGAAAGATTACACAATTACTCATTGATAATCAATCGGGTTCATTTGACAATAATTTGAATATACTAGACCCAGTAATTAACAATTCAGATACAAATATTGCAATTATGAGTGGATTGACAGGATTCTTTTTCATTTCAGCTGACTATTCCCAAGTATTCTCCCTTGGAAGTTCTGGATCTGGTGAATTGGGTTATATAGTACATTCTGTACCTGTTCCAGAAAGGAATTTTATTGTAGAAACAATTATTTCAAGAACTCGATCCTCATCCAATAGAGAACTAGAACCAAAAATTGTTTGTGGTTACAGTCACACATTATTGTACTTTTCAGATGTTAGATCCAGAAATTATCTTCTCTTTGTTGCTAATATGGAAAAGCACAGTCACACTACCACTTATCTGTGTGATATTTCTTTTGTATTTTAATCTTGTTTTCCTCTTCCGCCACTGCCATTGCTATCATCATCATTATTTAATTTCTCACTAATACTTTTATAAAGATCCGATTCAGCAAATTGCTTCATTAATTTGTAATCCGATTGGGCAGTACTACTGGCTTGATCTGAGCACATCAGTGAATAGGTAGAATTGGCCTTGCTGCAAATACTATTGGAGTTTGATTGTCGGAGAGATTTGACTAGAAATTTGGGAGCACAACAGGAAATACGTGACGACATTTTTTTCAAATTGAAGTTATAAATGATTCTATTTCGTGTGTTTTTAATTCGCCTCCACTTGACTTGTTCGATTCCTTATTTTTTGAGTTTCGCCTCAATTCATTTAAATTAATGTTTTAAAAATAAATATTGATTTATTGTTGTGCTGTAGTTGGAGCTTGTTCTGAGTTTGAACCTTCTCCCTCTTTGGATTTTTGATAAGTGTAAAGTGGAATGTGAAGTTCTTCTTCCTCTTGAATTTCGACTTTCTTTTCAGTTGGTATAAATGAACTTTGTCCATTGAAAGCAATCATTTCCAAATACTTTTTGGCATCTCTGACCTTTCTCAATTCATGAGAGACCATTTCCACAATAGCACTATCTACAGTGAAATGAACATTGGCAATCAACTTGTCAATATAAAGATCTTCATCACCTTCCTCATCCAAATCGTGAATTGATGCATACGAAGCTGTCTTTTTAGTTTCCACAACAGTGACATTGTTTTGCATTGGCATTGCACCCTTACTTTCTTCCTTCTCTTCCTCTTCCTTTCTTTCCTCAGAAACTTGGGTTTCAAATGATTTCATAGCATGGGCAATAGCTGATTGCTTGAATTTGATAATAGTATTACAAATTTCAATACCTGCACACAACATGAACACCTCAGCATTGGTCTCTCGTTTGGTCATGGCATCACTCATAAAGAGGTGTAATCTCTTTGAAAATCCTTGTTCCTTATAGAACTTGTCAAATCTACTTGACATTTTTTGTTGAATAAGACTCAGTAGTGAGTCAACTTCATATAATCCTGTCAATGCGGTAATCATGGACACTAAATTCTTCTTTACCTTTTCTACCTTTGTCAGCGATAAATCCCTATGATTTTCCAAAATAATATCCTTTGCTTTGAGTTCCTTCCCCAAAGTTGAAGATTGTTGAGCATTTACAAATACACTCTTCACAAGATCTGGGAGAACAAGCATTGTAGATCGTGACAATCTATCGATACCCATAGTCTTTTCCAATGTAATATTACCATTACATTCTTTACACATAATGGTACAAGTACCGGCCTTGAGTCTCTTTCTAATCTTGGTAGATCCGCAAGATGGACATTCCTTTGTATCGAAATTTTTACAAAAGGCAACTGTTGGATAAATACCAATACAATTTGGTAAATTAAAGTTTGCAATAGTATCGATCATGATATCTCTAATTTGATTCTTTACAGCATCGGCCTTATTTAACACAAAAATGATTGGAATTCCCTTGAGCTCATCTCTACAAAATTCTGCTTCAAAAGGTTGGAATCTAGCTTGAGTTAAATCAAGCACATACCAAACAACGTGTACGTGCTTGGCAAGATCTTTTTCACCTCTAATTTTCTTGAAAAATCTTCTTGTATCAGCAACAAATCCATCTTGAATATATCCGTGTTCAATACCTCTACTGTCATAAATAACAACTGGACTGTGTTCACCAGCATATTTGGTATATTGTTGTGTTACTGGTTTACCTTCACCAATTTCGGCCAAAGATTTACCAAAAACCGCATTAACAAGTGATGATTTTCCACTTCCACTACCACCTAATAAGAGAATATTTGGTTTGCTAGTTTTTTCTGCAATTGTACTACAGTCACTAGAGAGTTGTTCCTTCATTTGATTGACTTGACTATAAATGATTCTAGAGTTTTCATCCTTATCGACAATTGTTAAATTTTCCCCGAATTGTGTTTGCAATGAATTAACTTCACTCTTCTCCACATATTTACTTCTTATTCTTGACCATTGTTTTCTTCTAGCAAAATCAAAAAGTGAATTATAGGCGTGTGACCAACTTTTAGAATCATCACTCCATGAGTGACAATATTCCCAAGAATCCTCTCCTTCACTAGTCCACTCCTTTGACAACCAACTCCAACCACCTTCCGTAGCCTTCTTTTCCACTGCACTAAAAGTAATATCCTTAAAATCGGCAGTCTTGTACACTCCTGATTTTACAGCAGGTTGAAAATCACCAAACACTCTTCTTGTTTGGTATTCATAAACAATATCAGTTAATAAAACTTTTGTCTTTGAGTTGGATGCATCTATTAATTGTGTTCCGGATGATGAAGAAGGAAAACTTGTACTTGATGACGATGATGCAACAACAACTTTATCTTCGCTCATTTTTTTCAATCAAATTTGTTTCACGTTTTTTAATTCCAACAGAAAAATCCGAACAACAATTATTAATAGCCGTGTTTATACCTACAATTGAATTGGAAGGCAAATAATAATGAATAGGAATGAATTTTGATATAAAGTTCAAGAATTTAATTCCTTTTAAAAAAATATTTTTACCTTAGAGTGTCCTTAGAAATATGGTACAATAGTAGGTTCATTATGTGATGAGAATTAATATAACAATAGTAGTGCTAGTACTAGTAGTGAATTTACAATTGGGGTTGGAAAAAGCCTTAAATAATATCTTGAACATTCTTCAAATCGGTTTCCTTTGAATTGGATGCTGAAATTGATGAGAATAATCCACCTCCACCACTATTTCTTCTCTTCTTCTTTTCATCTTCGAATGGATTGGTTTTTGGTTGTTGTCCTCTTTCGAAATCTCTCATCTCCCTCACAATACTCTCAAAACATTCCTTGAGATTTTCAGTAGTTTTGGCACTAGCAAAGAATAATGGTGTATTCTCTGGTAGTAACAAGTGTGTTTTCATGAATTCTTTGGTTTCCTTCTCGGTAATTCCTTTTAATTTTGGATTTTCCTTCAGCATATCAACCTTATTTCCGATTATAATTATTGGACATTCCTTTCCATCGACTGGTTTGTTGACATCCATCTTGATTCTGGAAATTCTCTCGGTATACTTTTGTAATTCTTCCAAGGATTGATGAGAAGTACAATCAAAGACCAGGACGAAACCGAATGCTGTTCTCATATAAACATCCTGGAGAGCAGAGAATTCATCTGATGTATTATAGAATTAATAATTATTATATAATTAATAATATTTTGATGATGATGAAAATAGGATAATTTAGAAATTAATTTTCAGAAACACAAACCTTGTCCAGCAGTATCTACAATTGTCAAATAGGTTGTTTTGTTATCAACTTTTCTAGCAATATCAAAGGTATTCTCAATAGTTGGATCATAGCTATTTGAAATATTCCATAATGATTTATTATGTGATAATACTTACATTTCAATGAATGTATCTTGAGTCCATCTAATGGTGATTGACGATTTACCAACACCTCCACCTCCACATACAGCAAATGTAAAGCATTCTTCTCCTTTATCGTTCTTTGGCATGATGATTTTTTTTGATTAGTGATGAATAGCTGTTGACATCTCTTGCATTGCAAGTTGAAACAAAGAACAAGAGAAGAACCTTGTTCATGATGAACATGAGAACTAATTTCAACCAACTCATCTATGTTCTGAACAAATTAAATATTATTTAATATATTATTAATAATTAAATAGCTATGTTATATATATTAAATTAAAACATAAGCCACTTTCCTTTCCTCATCAAAATACCGAATAGGGTTGGGAATTCTAACAACGGCCCATTCTAAATAATTTGCAAAACAAAATGGAAGACATGTACCTGTGGGATGAAGATTTGATGGAGGCTCTTCATCAATCCAATATCGATCATTTTGCCACTAATAAATCATCAAGCAACTCCTCCAAGCACAACAAGAACAGCACAGATTGTATTGAATTCTCCAAATTAGAGTTTGGTAATTTCGATGATCGAGAAATGACCACCTTCCGAAGGGTAACCACTCGACACTCCTTTCATGATGTTCATTCGACAAGTTTCAAGGTATATTGGAAGGAAGGTGGTGATTTTTCAGTCTTCTTTCTGATTAAACCTCATCATCAGTTTTGGATTGAAATCAATAGAAACATTATACGGAAGGTAATCATTGTTGATAATGAAAGTATTGCCATTGTACTGGATCAGGCTCCAAGTGTTCACAGAAAACGTGATGGTGATGATAACAAGACAAGAATGGCTGCTCCAACTGATAAAACTACTCAGGCACATAGTTTCTGGTTGCACAATTTCAATGTGACAAAATCTCTGCTCCTCTCTGGTATTCGATATGAGCATGTGGAAATTCTCAAAAGTAAGACTTCAAAGACACACTATTTATATGGAACAAAATCATGTACAGCTCTAACAATGAAGGATGTGAATGGTATGGATTGGAAGGGCCAATTGAATATTGAGCTTGGTATTCCATTTCATACCATGTATTTATTATTGTGCTTGAATTGTAAAGTTCCTGGCTTACTTGCTAGTTATGAAAGATTATCAGAGATTAAGCAACTCTTTAATGAATTGAAAGATAGTAACAACAACTCATATGACTTGGTGAATGTTGCTCTGGAAAAGTGTTTACAACACGAAGGGTTCTTTCCTTCAGAGTTTACTACTCTCTTCAAAAAACATTCTCACAAACGCCAACACAAAAGCTTTGTAAAGGTTGATGACAATATGTTTGAAATCAGAAAGGTAATGATCACACCAACAGGAATCAAGTATTTCCCAAAAATCCTCGAATCTGGAAATCGAGTCTTGAGAAAATACAAGCAATACGAAGATAGATTTCTCAGAGTGACATTTTGTGATGAGGGTCTTAATAGAGTTAGCGCTGAAAAGGTCACAAACATGCACCCTCGATTGGAGGAATTCCTTAATAATGGTTTTACTATTGGAAATAGACATTATGAGATGTTGGCCTATTCGAATAGCCAACTCAGAAGTCATAGCTGTTGGTTTTTGAATACGGAAGGAATTCGTGAACTGTCAGTGAGTTCTATCATTGAAGGTCTTGGTGACTTTTCTGATATTAAAGTAATGGCCAAATATGCTGCAAGAATTGGTCAATGCTTTTCCAATACTTTCAATGGTATCAAATCAGAATTTATAGAAGTAAATGATATTGTCTATCGAGAAATTGAAAGAAATGGGGACATTAAGGAAAACGTTCTCAATGACGGATGTGGCCGAATGTCTGTAAGTTTTGCAGAACAGGTTAGCAAGCAAATGAAAATTAGAATTCATGGCAAAGCCTACATTCCATCAGCTTTACAATTCAGATTGGGTGGCTATAAAGGGGTAGTAGTACAAGATAAGGATGTTGCTGATATATTTGGAAAGGATCTGGTTCTCACTAAGAGTCAAAACAAGTTCAAGGACGAAAAGAGTGATGAATTTGAGATGGTAGCCTTCTCGAAACGTCCAAAGTTTTCCAGTCTCAATAGACAAATTATTATTCTACTTTCCTCCAATGGCTTGCCTGACAGTGCCTTGATGAAATTTGTAGATAGAGAGATAGAGACTTGGAGGTCAAGAACAACAAAAAAACTGAGTATTAGAAAGTTACTGAGAAAGGTGTGGGAAAATGTGGTTGGTTCGAATATCAAAAAGGTCATTTCATCAGAGTATTTAGATCTCAAAGCTCAGGTCCTTGCAAGTCAGGTCAAAGGAATGTCACAACAACATGTTGAATACTTTTACAATGTTGATCCATTACTCTGTACTCTATGCGATAAGATTTTGATTAACCAATTCTCCAGCTTGAAAACAAATCTTCCAGTTGATAAGTGTTCACTATTGATGGGTGTTGTTGATTTTTATGGAGTGCTAGAAGATGACGAGGTTTTTGTACAACTTTCTTCATTTGAGAGCTATGAAAGAGATTTATATGATCCTGGCTCGTATGCTGAAGGTGGAATAGTGAGTGGAAATGTATTTGTTACAAGGAATCCTTGTCTTCACCCAGGAGATGTTAGAAAGTTTAAAGCTGTCAGTGATGACAGAATTAATGTTCTCAAACATTTGAAAGATGTTATTGTATTCAGTCAAAAATCAAAACAATCCCAGGCTAGCAAGATGAGTGGAGGCGACTTGGATGGGGACCTTTTCATGGTGTGTTGGGATCCAGAGCTTTTAAATTTCACAGAACATAAACCAATGAAACACACTCAACTGAAACCTTTGGAAAAGAATGATGGTTTTGATTATAAGGCAATCAGAGATTTTCTTAAGGAGTATGTTGTGAATGACAATTTGGGAGTAGTTGCTTTTATGCATATGGAACACTATGATCAATCTTCAAAGGGAGCACTCGATCAAAACTGTTTGGATCTTGCTGATTATCACTCTCACCAAGTTGATTATGCCAAGACTGGTGTTAGAAAGGCCTTACCAATGGAGCTGGTATCAGAGTATAGACCTCACTATATGCCAAAAAGTTTCATGAAGAAGACTTATCATTCAACCAAAATTATAGGAAAGAGTAAGTTATTGAGAATTTGATTTTTCTAACCACACAACAGTTCATGATAAGGTTGAGGAATTTATGAAATCAAACAAAAAATTGAAAGAGAAGGTTAAAGAATCCGATCCCTTCCATCCACATTTTAAAACTTTGGATCTATTATTTGTAAAATACAAACCTCTACAAATGCTTTTCATAGAGCATGACCAATTAAAGGAAGTGAAGAATGCCAATGAGGACTCTTTAATAACCAAAGATATTGCGGATATTTACAATTCAATCAAGAAGCTTTATAAGGAATACAAATCAGATTTGAAGAATCTAACCTCAATGTACTATGTTACTGAGCCCGAACTGGTGGTTGGATCTATAGATTTTAAGAAATTGGAGCATAAATGTGGAAGCAGTTCTTTCAAGTTAAGAGAAGAGATTCAGTCTAATGTGGATAAATTCATCAAGTACTATGCCAAGACAAGTAAACAAATTATCAAACCAAGTACTCTCTCAAAACAAGAGATTGCCTCCATATTTTATATTGTCGTACGTAATGACAATATAACAAAGAGAAAGTTTAAGGAAATGTTTGGGTTGACCTTTTATTGGCTCGTTATTGACAAGATATTAAAGTGAGATTTATTCGTAAATATTTAGAGAATTCTTCATTAAACAAATTTATTAACATCAACAAGGTCTATTCTTTTTACCAAGATACTGACTCACATCAAATAATAAGTTTGGCCTCTCATGAAGAGCTTGATTGGCTAGGGAAGTTGGAATCATTCCGTTGGGATTTGATTGAACCATCATGGTGCACTTCACATCATTGTCAATTTGATAAAATTTGAACAATGTGAAATAGTTAGTTCCTCTCACTAATGACTTGTCATTAGAATTGAATGAATAATAATCATCAATAGAGGTACTCAACCATCCTATGTATTCATTTGAATGGATGGAATGACCAACCAGTATGAAATCTCGTTCAGAAACAAAACGAGCTGTTGATGATATTTAAATATTGGAAAGTTCAGAAGAAACTACTTACATGGTGAAGAGAATATAAAATGTCTTATACTCCAACTATCAATTCTCTCAATTTCCTTGAAATATTTGGCCTTCTTATCATAACTCTTCACTACTTCCCAATCTGGTGTTTCGAATAGCTTTAAAATTTGGTCAACCTTACAATTTTCCGCAATCGTCTCACCCTTAATCACAATTCCCCTCTCAGAATCGCCTTTGTAATGAGAAATGGCTACTCCATTAACATCTTCTAAATATCCTTCAAATTCCTTCTCTGCATACACTTCAGCGTTCTTCAATTCAACGTTCCAATGTTTTTGGATTTCTTCAATTTTTACTTTTTGCATTTTGTTTTTTTTTAATTTGTTTACAGATTTTCTTTAAATATTGTTGGGAGAAGAATTATTATTAGAATGAAGTGGAGGTTAAATAATAGTACGTTGCCATTTTGTTACCATTTATACACCAATTATTTATTTTTTTGTAATCTATTTTGTCAATTCCGAACTATTTAATAGTATTTAATATTTAAATAATATTAAATAAAATTGTATTTATATTAAAAAAAAAAATGTACAATCCAGTAGCAGAGGAAATTCCATACAACATTGAGGAGGAAGAACCATCCATCCCTCCTCCATCATCAGAAAATACATTTAATTACCAATCCAATCTTAATGATCATCAATCAATTACATCATCTGGTAGTACTTCTCATAGTAATTCCATAGATTTTGAAGCTAGGAGTGATAAATCCAATAATGCACCAGAGTTTAGATATGGTCGGAAGGAGATGAATATTCGAGTTAATAATCTGCTCTTAAATCAATCGATTGATTATGAATGTATTCCTCAGGTGGTTCGGGAATGGATTAATCAAGATCAATTAAGAAGATTTGAATGTAATAATAGTAATAATAATAATAATAGCAAAATTGAGGAAAATGGAAAGGATTGGAGTTGTTTGGAGAATTTGCCACAAGATGTCAAATTTGAAATTATTGATTTCATTCCGACCTTTTCGATGAGGAGAGATTTGAATATAAAACTCTCTGATAGGGAAACTGATGAATATATTGTGGATGAGGAGGCAGTGATTGGATATATTGATGAAATGAATCAAGTACTGCAATGGAAGGAAAGGAGAATGGAACAATGCTTGATTGTGAGAGATGTTCCAATAAAGACAATGCACAAGATGAGAGTTATCTCAAAGGAATATGCAAAGAGAATGAAATTCAAGCTAATGACACTTTCACATTTGGATTTACCTTTTGCACTGTCCAAGATAGGATTGTGTTATTTTGCCTCCTTTTTAAAAGCTCAACAATTGTATTTGGATAAGAAAATTGATGAAAATGGAGAAGATTTTTTAATTTACAAGGAGATGCCTTATATTAATAGAGAACTTGATGAGGAAATTGAAGAGATTGACGATGCTTTGAATGAAGTAGATAATTTCAGGACGCTCTATGAAGCATCTCCGTTGGAATTAGTAATGTTTGAATATGCAGAACCCGATGAAAATCTACTTCCAAATTCTCTAGTTGAATTTGTAGGATCTAACATTGTAGTTAAATCAGTCAAGACAACTAGAAAGCCAAATATTATAGAGCTAATATTTGCCACCTGTAAAAGCTTACAGTCCTTTGTTTCAGATTCCAGAGTGCTTGTTCATCACTCATTACCTAGTTTAGAGCATTGGACTTGTGCATTCTTTTATGGAGGTGATTATCATTTCGAGTCAGAAATAGAAAAAATCTGTGGGGTGGCTCCAAATATTAAAACAATAGACATGATATTCACTGCTGAAAGACAAAGGAATTTCAAACAGGAATTTTTAGATAATATTGATATTGGAGAGGATACTAAACTGATAGTGGATGGTTTTGTCAATAAGATTATCCCACCCTCTTCAGGTAAGACTGAACGAGAGGTCAATATTACTATTACTCATTTGGAATCTTCAGATGTAAATACCATTATGAAATACATGGAATACTTTAGACCACCTACAAGTGATTGTTACTATCTGAATGACCTTATCTTTTCACAAAGATATTTAACCTTGGAAGAGAGAAAAAATCTGGCTGAGAATTTGTTTACACGAGAGGATGAAAGATTTCCAATTGAACGGCTCAGATTTGATCAGCATAGTTCATATTCTCAAGAGGATGCAATGGACATGTTTGCCTACATTATTTACCTTTCAAACGAATATCAGAATGGATTTTTATTTAACTTGGTTACTTATCTTAATGAACAGGTTGTTGATGATGCCTTGGAGTATGGATGGAAACCTGCCAAATGGGATGAACTCTTACTGTTGAAATCAAATTTCACAGTGAGTCAAGTTGAAAAATTATTACAATTAATTCGTTGTGAATATCAAAACGATGTGAATTTCTTCAAATATGTCAGACTATTACTTTGCAAGGTTTACTCTGAAAGATATTCATTTGCTGCTACGGACAAAAGTTTGGTGAGAGGATTGACCAATTATTTAAGGAAAAACAAATTCAATTCAAGTTTTATGAAAGTACTATTCAAGCCGTCACAGCTCTGTCTCTCCAAGGACTACTTTCCAATTATCAAGTACGCTACCATTCTAATACCAAATATTATAGCAGTCTCCTCTGATGTTGTTTCCTTTGTATCATTGTTGGATTTCTATCCTGACGAGTATTGGAATTTACAAAATGAGAATGGAGATAATATTTTACACATTTTCCTGTTATCACGTGAGCCTGGAAGTGAAAATGAATTGCTAGCATTGGATAAAATCATTAGGAAACATCCAGAGCTATTGAACATGTTGAATCATCAAAATAGATCACCTGTCCATATTGCCTTCTCTACTGAGGATTCTGGTATTATTAGATTATTTTCCCTTTATGATATTAATCTAGAGGAGAAAGATTGTCTTGGAAAAACGCCTTTGGATTATTTAACCGATGACTCTTTAAGGGATTATTTTGAATAATATTATGATTAAGAAAATAATAATTAGACTGTATTGATAATTTATTTAGCGAGGATTACAACATTAGCTATGGAAATTATCTCAATTTCTTCATCATTGTTGCTGATATTGAACTCTCTTCTGGAGACTTGGTCAATTCTGTCCAGTAATTCCTTCTCAGTGGAGGTAACTTGTGGATTTTCTTTGAGATATTTCTGAACAAGTGTAGCAAACTGATTGCCCATATTGAAAATATTCTGCAATTCAGAATATTTCATTTTCAAGGATTGTGTCACTTGTCTGATTTCAACATGTTCAAATCCTGCCTCCCTGCAACGTTGCTCAAAAACCTTTGGATCTTGGAGTGCAAATGGAGGTCTATTTTGTTGCAACACTTCAAACAAAGCTTGAGATGAGACACGATTTGGAAAATCATCAGTCCAAGAATTCACAAATGCCATTCCTCCCTTCTTCAAAACTCTTTTAATTTCAGATAATCCTTGCACCATTTTTGGATAAAACATTACTCCCATATTAGAATAGACAATATCAAATGATTCGTCTGGGAATTTCAATTCTTGACCATCCATTACTTGAAATTTCAAATTGTCCCAATCAAATTCCACTTGTTTCTCTTCAATTCTTGATTGTTTCTTATACTCTGCTCCTTCAATCATAGATGCAGCAAAGTCAATCCCATCCAATGCGGAAATCTTGATCTTATCAGGGAGTATCTTCTCATCAACAAATTTGAAAGGTACCAATCCAGTTCCAGTGGCCAAATCAAGAATACTAACATTTCTCTCCTCAGTTGTGATGTTAAAGTACAAGTCAATGGATCTTTGAATGAGATCAGATGCAAAGAAATCTAGAAAAATCTTGGACTTTTCCATTAATTTGACCTTGTTTTCCCAGTGGTTTTTGTTAAGGTCATGATGTGTAGTGGTTATGGTTGCAGTGTTGGACATTTTTTTATTGTTGTTATGAAATTTGTTTTGCATTTCTAATGAGGGGTATTTATGCGCTTTGAAATGGATACCATGGAGTGCGTAAAGGTTTATTTTGCAAATGACCTTTATTGGAGATATTTGAAGCACTGCTGGTTCAACAAAAAGATGAATCACACATCTTTCATCAATGTTTTAGATTATTGGGTGTATTAGGATATTTGAGAGTTTTTTATTAAAATAATAACCAAATGAGTTTTTGATTTAAAAAATGTTAAGGTTAATTAAGCAAACACATCTAAGAGAAAAATCTGAAGTAGTACATGAATACAAAAGAAATGGGTTGGAGGCAACCTCAAATTCGAATTTTTTGTGTATATTTAAATTTAATCAAGGTGTTTCTTCACTAACTTTTAACAAAATCTTTCCAGTTGCTTTACGTCCTTCAATTTCATTATGAGCTTCCTTAATTTCTTCCAAATTGAAAACCTTGTGAATGTTAATATCAATGAGCCCTTGTGAAACCCAGGAAAATAATTTGTGACTCTTCTCTTGTAATTCATCAAAGGTGGTTACAAAGTCACCCATTTTAGGTCTTGTAAAATTAATTGAACCTCTTCTTGATAAATCCAAAGGATTAATTAAACCAACAGGTCCTGATGCATTACCAAAAGAAATGAATAAACCTCTCACCCCTAAAGAATTGAGTGAAGATTGATAGGTATCCTTTCCAACACCATCAAAGACAATATCCACTCCCTTCCCATTGGTAATTTCCTTGACTCTCTCCACAACATCTTCTGTAGAATATTGAATAACATGAGTACAACCCAATTTGAGAGCCAAATCAACCTTTTCTGGAGATCCAACTGTTCCAATAATTGTGCTACATTTCTTAATCTTGGACATGATTTGAACAAGCAATCTTGATGTACCTCCAGCTGCAGAGTGAATCAAAACAACGTCTGATCTAATGCTTGGAATGTCAAAAGCCAAATAATAAGCTGTCAATCCATTAATCATACAAGCAACAGAATCCTTCAAACTAATTTCACTTGGCAACTTGGCAACACTATTATAATCTACAGCAGCATATTCAGCATATGATCCAGAAGAACTAGAAAAGGCAACACGATCTCCAACTTTTAGTCCACATTCCTTTGGCACTTGATCACCAATCTTTTCAATTATACCACTTCCTACACAAAATCCAATTTTCAAGTGTTGTGTACATTAAATTAAAACGTTAAAATTATTAAATTAACCATCGAACAAATAATTTTCAAATTTTCCAATCATCACAATTTTGATCAAAATAAATCAAAATATTAAATTAATCAAATATTGATCAAAAATTATCTTCCTAAATATTTAAATATTAGAAACTAACCATCTTGTCCAAGAACCTTTGGAAGGGATGGAACAGGATACAATCCCGATCTAAAATAGGTATCAATGAAATTTACGCTCGAGTAGGCAATTTTGATCAGGACTTGATGGTGGGAAATTTCTGGGATTGGCACATTGGTATCTACTTGTAAAACGTTCACGTCGCCGGTTTCGTGTATTCTGACTGCTTTCATTTTTTTTTAAATTGTGTGTTTTTACTATTATTTAATAATTGCTATTTTTGTAAAGTTGTAATATATTAATTAGTCCGATGAAGCGGCTGGATTATTTGATGGAAGGATTTGAGATTTGAAATTTTGATGAGGGAAAACATGTTGCGAATGCACAAACAATCGATTTTATATGAAATTTCTGTAAAGTGAATTAATGAAATATTCCATTTAAGGAAAATACTTTAATCACCAAATGTTGAACAAACGCACGTTTATTACACCAGTTTAATATTATTACACCAGGTTCTTCTCCAATATGATATCCACTCTGGGAATTTGGATCCTAATGCTTGGTTGGCAAAATATAGATTTGCAGATATTGCAGTTAATGAATTTAAGAAACTTAATGTGAACGTGTATTTTGCTTACATCACCACAACAAGAGTTAGCGCAGAAAATATAGCAGCTTTGGAGAAACACAAGCACTACGACAAGGTAATTCTTTTCAGTCATAATACAGAATCTGAGTATTTCCCACCCAATTTATTACCTTATTATAAGGGATTTTTATTTACATTTTAAACAGAAAACCCCACCATTACTACCATCCTTGTCCACTGATAAGTATAGTCAAGAACAAGAACACCTCCAATCTGAATACTCCCAAATCTCTCCCTTTTAGAACATATTTCTCGACTGTAATTGCACATTTATCCTATATTGATATCTGAAGATTTTTGGATTTCCAGAATTATCGAACCATATTATCAATTCTATTGAGGGATATATAACAGTGGAGAGTTTTGTCTTGATGGCAAACTGGTATTCTAAGGAGGAAAATCAGCACGATGAGTTTGTAATTATAAACAATATTATCTTTGAATGTTTCACAAACTGAAACACACAACCTCAAGCTTGGTTGTGGAGAGGTTTAAGGGCGGCCGTTATTTAAAAACAAGTTGCGATGAACTCAGTTCTGTTTCGGGTTAGAATCATGATCTTGTATGTCCTTATTAAGTCAATTTTGAAATAAACATTAATTGTAAACCAAAGAGTCCAAAACAGGTGCATTCACTAGAACCTTCTTTTACCAGGGCCTTAATAAAAATCAAAAAAAAAACAAACAAACAACAAAATGGTTGAATCGCTCACTCAACAATTAAGCACATTGTCCATGTCAAGAGAACTCTTCCAATCCGACTTGACCTACTATGTCAATGAACCAAACTGGACTGCTATGGATGAACACGCCAAGACTGTGCCAGAGGAACTTACCAAGAGCTTTACCAAAACTGTACAATATTTAACAAGTAAATTTGAATCTCCACAAGAAAAGGCTCGTGCCATCTTTGCCTGGATTGGTTACAATGTAACCTATGATAACAAGGTTGCTGAAACTGGTGATTTTAGCAAGTATGAAAGATTTAGAGAAGATCATAAGGATAAGTTTACTGAAGAGGAATGTAAGGAATACTCCAGCTATGGTAAGGTTGTCTACTCTTTGAGAACTGGTGTCTGTGGTGGATTTTCCAACTTGTTCAAGGATATGTGTAAATGTGCAGGAATTGGTGATAGATGTGAAATTGTTTCTGGTTTCACAAAGGGAGGAAATGGTGTCAATCCTGTTGAAGTAATGGCAGCGCTGAGGGTGGTTCTGCATCTTTCACTCCAAGACACTTCTACATGAGTCCGTATGAAAGGATTGCTTCTCACTTCCCAAAGAAGGATGAATTCCAATGTTTGCCAACTCCTGTTCCTGCCAATGTCATGGAAAAGAGAGCTCAAATAATTCTCAGTGGTTTCAAGTGGGGTCTCAGAACTGTCTCACATCCTGATGCTTATTTGATTTTGAAGGATTCCAACGTTGTTGAAATTACCCTCCATATTGAAAAGACTGGTTTGCAATTCTATTCTCAATTGCTCGATAATGCCACAATGGCCGAAACAAAGGGAGTTACTGAAATTATTCAACATGGAAATACTGTTAAATTGACAGTTTGTGTTCCAGAAAAGGAAAAGGACTATAAGGTCTATATCTTTGCTCGTGAATCTGCCGATCAAAAATTTGAATACATGCTCGGTTATGGTTTCAATGTTGATGCCAATGCCACGATGCAAGAAGTTTCCTTCCCAACCTATTATCCAGATATGGCTAATTATGGAGCTGAACTCATTTCACCAAAGCATGTCAAGATGCACGTTGGTCAAACCTACAATTTCAGAATTAAATTCCCATTCGAAGATTTGATGAGTGTCTTGATTCTTCCAGATAAGAAATTCAAGAGTTTGGGCTGTGGTGAATATGAACTTGATTTTACACCAACTGCTGCTGGTAAGGTATTGATGTATGCTTGTAAGAAGACTGAAACTCAAGCTAAGGGTCTTTTGCAAATGGTTGTTTTTGAATAAATTAACAATTGTTAAATATTGTAAATATTGATACTTTGAAAAGATTGTTCCAAGTTCAATGTGCCTTGTCAATTGTTTTCAACAAATCAAAAAAAAATGCTCAGCTCATCCAGCAAATCCTCCTCATCGTCAGATCAGAGAATCATCTCATTTTCCATCAATAAGAAGGAAATTATTGAAAAATTCCCACCATCCTTCTTTTCCAAAAACAAAGTCTTTCTCTATTCTCTACACTCTGATCAATTGGATTATGAAGGTGATTTAATTTATTCGAGATTTAAAGCAAGGACTCGACCAAAAGCCTATAAGAAGGAAGTTGCAGAAGATCAGGTGTGTGAGGTGATTGTTTCAAGTGATGGTTTCAAGTATGATGAAAAGTTGAAGGTTGGGGAGGAGAATGCCAAGCATTGGTATTTGAATTTTGCAGATGAGAGATTGTTTATTGCTTGGAAAGGTCAATTGTTTGCTCAGGATGAGATTCAAGTTTGTGAACATCCAATTTTGGGAAGTTTGTGTGAATATTTGAGAAAGGAAAGTTTAAATGATGCAAGATATAGTCCAATAACTCAACAAACATCTCCCACTCCAGTATTGATTCAGAATGTGGATAGAAGAATTGCAGTCAATGTTAAAGACTATAATATTTATGGAAATAACTTTGCCAAGGCATCTACTGATATTATTGAACAAGCAACAACTGTTTTGGACATGAAAACGAATAGAAAATCAAATATTTTGGCAATTAGTGCACCTAGGTAGGTTTTGGATTTGAATTTCTCATATTTGAAAATATAGAGGTGGACATGGAGAGTACAAATTGGGAGAAGTTAATTTCATATTCGATACTTTATATAGTGGATTTAAGGCATGTTGCATGGATACTGAAATGTATGCCCAGGATCCAGAAAATCCACCAACTGTTGTCATTCACACAGGTAATTTTGGTTGTGGTGCCTTTGGTAACAATAGAGTAAGTATAATTGTTGAATAGAAATGGAAACTAATCTTTTCGAATAGGAATTGATAGCAATTCTTCAAATATTGGCAGCAAGAATGGCAGGTATCAAGTATCTATATTATCATGCATTCAGTGAGGAAGGTGTAAAATCTGTCAAAAAGGCCATTAAGGTAATTGATGAAGAATTTGATTTGGTATGCAAAGATCCATCCGATATAGAAGGTAATTTAGTTTCCCTTAATAAGCTTTTCGATATGATTTTACAAAAAGGATATAAATGGGGTTTTTCCGATGGAAATTAACTTTATTAAACAATATTCAATATTAATATTAACAATTTTAAAGATCTTTAAATATTAAAAAAAAAATGAAAAGAAGTATTCAAGCACTTGACCATGAAGAAAATCCACAATCAAAATATGTAAAATTACTACACAATGATGATGCTCAACAATACCTCTTCTCCAATGATGTGCTCGGAATCATTTCATCCTTCCTTCCATTTCATGATGGAACTTTAAATTGTCGTCTTGTTAATCATCAGTGGAAGGCTACATTTGAGAATGATTATCGATTCATGTTTATTCAAGCTGTAGAAAATCATCTACTCGCCAATTTGAAAGGAAATGATGATTCGGAATTATTGGATTGTCAATACTTGATTTCTATAAAGTATTGGATCGGAGCAAGACAGCACTTGTTGAAATTGTTAAATGAAGATGTAAACAAGTGTAAACAAGAGGAATTGAAAAGATTGTGGACTAGGAAAGATGATGAATTTCCAAATATTAGGTTTTTGGCTTTTGATAGAACAAACACTGAAGAATTTGCTGTTTTGATGATTAATTTAAATGTAAATACAAGGTTAAGGATGACAATAATGTATTCAGACTGTGAGGATTTTATAATCTATGTGGATGTTGTGGAGAATGGTCCATCAGTGTTTGATTGGAAGAACTTGTTGAACATTGATTCGAAAGTGGAGAGAAATGTAGTTTTGAAAGTGAATGCAACATTATATGAGGATCCAACAGGGATTGCAGAACAGTGTGTGAACGATCCATTCTTTGATAATCTCTTTAAAATGTTGGATATTACTGAGCCAACGCCTTTTGAAGTTGAATCACCAACACCTTTTGGTGTTTTATTATGGAAATATGGATATGAAGAAAGAGTTATTTATGGAAATAACGATATGATTCAAAATGTTGAATTTGAGAGGAGGTGCGAAATTTATGAGGAGAGAGTGGATCCCTTAGTGAAACTAGTAAATTTGGATCAAATCAATGAGTTGAAAGTATTGGAATATGCTTGGAAAAAAGCCAATAGGATCTATACAAAAAAACGTGAGGAGAATTGCAATAATACTACATCAGATATTTCAGTTTCCAATGTAAATGGAAGACTTGTTATTGTGGATCTGTATAGAGCTCCGCGATTTGTTACAGAAATTTCATTTAATTTGAAATTTAAGGAAAGTGAATTTATCGTCAATTCCAATTTCGAGCTGGAATTTGAAAGTGAAATACATAGTCCATGCAGAGTTTCAATACTCAATTGCACCTCTGTACGCAATCCAGCACTAAGATATCAATTTCACGTTTTTCCAAACGAAACTTCTTTAATATGGGTGGATAGTTGCCTATCACTGATGGGCGAAGAGAGTCCAATCGATTTGACTATTCCTCCAAATCCATTCGAAAATGACCAACAAGATCTCCAATTGATATTTGAAAAGGTGTTGAGAATTGTTCCCAGATATTGCCTATTCAACAGTGATAAGAATCTATCCATTCCAGAATTATTGAAATTCTTTGTTGGAAATGAGAGTTTTATAACATCCCAAACATCCATCATTTAATCATCACAAGCTATATATTTATTATTTGATTTCACAAGAGAGTTTTCATTCTCAAGCATAGAGAATTATTTTTGATAAGAACCACCTTGGTATTGTTGTTGACCAGAAGTTCCAAATCCTTGTTGAGAGGATGGAATATTTGGAATATTAGATTGACCAGGTGTTGTACCAGTTGTTGTGCTAGTCCAAGTTTGACCAACAGTTTGTTGACCAAATCCAATACCTCCAGGTTGTTGACTTCCTAATCCTTGTTGACCAATACTACTTGGTTGCAATGGTTGTTGCTGGTTAAAACCTTGTTGACCAAAACCACCACCATATGATTGTTGACCTGTGCCAAATCCTTGTTGTCCATAAGTTTGTCCAGTTAAGCCAGGTTGTTGACCAACACCATAACCATGTCCAATACTTGGCTGTTGTCCAGTCAATCCTTGTTGCTGTCCATACAAGCCTTGTTGCTTCTTTCCTGGAATATTTTGGATTTGTCCTCCAGATCTAAGGTAAAGGAATGAATTGACAAATTCCTCAATTCCAACTCTTCCATTTTGGTCCTTGTCAACCATTCTTCCAATCAGTTTACTCTTAACCTTGTCATAACCTAATGCTTGAACTGCTTTCTTGAATTCCTTCTTATCCAAGAATCCAGTACGATCACGATCGTATTGGTAGAAAACTTGTTCTGCTTGATTAATGTAAGTTTCCTTATTTTGCAAAACCTCATTGGAAACTGTAAAGTTTTCTGGTTGCCATCTTGGAGTCTTTCCTCTGTACCAAAATCCTTGCAATTTTCCAAGAATACCTTGTTGTTGACCAGTTACTCCGGTTGGTTGAGTTTGAGAGAATGTAGAGTGCATTTTCAATTAAATTGTTGTAAAATTGTTTTTTTGATTATTGGAGAAACAGAGAGCCAACTAGTGTGGAGATTTATAGGATTCAAAGGCACGATCCATTATTGGTAAATTCACATAAACAACCAATTAGGTTTGGATCTTGACTCAAAACAGCTTGGTTTTTGAATTTGTCTTTTACAATTTGGGAGTTTTTCTATAAATGTAACATGAATATTAGATCAATAACCCATTCTTTGATAAGACTGTCTTATATTTCCAGGGTTTTGCAACAAACCGTGCTGTTGAATAGCTATTTCCTGAGGAATTTCCACATTTCAGTTTCCATTTGTACGTACACGTGTTGGAGAACAAGATGTTATTCAAATGATTCATTCCCCTCAATGCTATCAAACGTCTCAACTTATGGGCAATACACAGATTGAAAGATTTGGAATGATTATACAATTTCAAAACCTTGTTAAGATTTTCATCACTTCGTACTGGTCACAGGAAGGGACAGCAATTAAATTTGGATGCTAAAAAATTACCCCCAATTTTACGGTTTTTATTGAGGGGATTATCAATATTTTACTATTAATTTACAATATCTTTTATTAACCTTCTGTTTGGAATATTAAGCCGTAAGAAAGAAAGAAAATTATTCAAGTAAATTTTTAAATATCATAAAGCAATTTTCGTGTTTTTCCTTTAATTACAAATTTCTTTATTGCAAAGCACCTGTTAGTGGAAATTTCATCAACCAAGGCGATTCTAACAACAGAGAATGGAAATTCACCATTCTTGTTTCTTATCATCTTTTGTAAACTTTGTTTCTAAGGTTATCATTTGACGGAGTTGCTTTGATTGCGTTTTCCAATTTAAAAAAAATCGTTTAGCTCCTCCATTCCCAAGCGGGCGTTTTGATCCTTTGAAAAATCTTTGCGTTTTTTGTCTTCAAAACTCATCAACAAGACTTGTTGAATTATATCATCATCATTGTCATCATTATTCCAAAATAATAATATATTAGGTTTATAATCAAACTCTAATTTTTTACCACAACCCTCACTGCTGCTGATATTTATTTAATATCTTTCTCTATAGATACAAATTGTAATTTTAAACGATGCAACAACAAGAAGAAGGAACCAGTAGAGAAATTATTCTCACCTCTGATCTTGCTACTAATGAATCTATTATTCAATCTAAAATTCCATCGAAATTTATATTTGCTTTTGGAGCAAGCAAGATCCTCCACTCTGCTCGTATTAGTTTATTAGATTCTGAACGTTTGTCCAACTTGAGATATTTAATCCTCTCCGATGAAGCTATCTATATCTTTGATGATCAAGATTTTGAACGTAGAATACCAAATGAACACATTTCTGAAATTGTCAAGTCTCGTGAACCAAGTGTTTCATCAACTGAACAAAAATCACACAGAATTCTCATCCGTGTTCATCATTCTAATGAAGGATCAGATCTAATTATTATTTCTAAAGGTGCTACTGGTGTTTTGGAAGCTTTTGAAAAAGCCAAATATACATTCACACTGGTAGATCCTTCCGAAGATTTATTTTCTATGGCTAGATTTGTTTCTGACAATGCTCAACAACCATCAATTGATTCTCTGAAACAACATTTGGATAAGGCCTTACAATCATCAGATTTAAAGAATACAATGCTCTATTTGGAAACTTTGAGAAGAAACAAACATGCTGATTGGGAAAATGATGAATTAATTTCAAAAGCTATTGAATTTGTAAAGAGTAAATAATCAGGATAATTTTCAAAGCTGCAATTCTCCTCTTTTCCAATCTTCCATAAATCGTTCATTAGTATTATTTTGAATAATACCAATTAGAGTTCTTGATCATGATGATCAACAACATTATTATTAATTATTTAAATAATTGATTATCATCGGATCATGAATTTTATCAAAAAAATAATCTCAAATTGTTATATTACTTGATCGTTATCTTCTTCCTGTACATATTTAAATATCAACAATCATCATCATTTTGATTATTATCTTTTTTGTATCATATATAAATTAACCTGTACAGAACATTGTAAATATAGAGTTGGAAATAATATTAAAATTTAAATAATACTATTTAATCATCATATAATAATAACAAAAAGGAGATGGCTGTTGTATCTAGTAAAAACTACCTCACCCTATATAATTCATTGGCAACATTGGAGTGGATTTATTTATTACTTTTTAGAACTCTACAACCACTCATTCAACGACATTCTAGTAGATTAAAAGTAAACAAGCAGGCTGCTGATAGGATTGCTCTGAGGAAGCCTTCATTATGGCAATTGAATGGAGGCTTTTTAAAGTACATTCAAACACAAGCCTTGTTGGAATCGGTTCATAGTTTCTTCGGAATTACTTCCTCACCAGTCAGGACAACATTTGGCCAAACTTGTGGACGATTGTTTATTACACATTTGATAGGAGATGATTTACCAACGAATGATTTATTATCGGATTGTTTAATGACCACTTTACAATTATCTTGGTCTGCTGCTGATATTGTTAGGTATTTGTTTTATTTGGGTCAATTGTGGAAATTAGATCAAACACATCCAAAAGTTGCTAGTATTTTAAAGTTTTTGAGATATAATGCCTTTTTAGTATTATATCCTGTGGGAATGTTATCGGAAGTTTCAATGGTTTTGAGAGTAGTTTTCACAAAATGGATTGATTTGGAGGCAATTCACCCAGAAAATCCAGAAAAGAAGAGAAGAAAACCAGTTGTGAAAAAGCCACCCTATCCTCTTGTGAAAAAGTTCATGATTGTATTCTTCTTCCTGTTTATTGTCTGTGTTGGATATCCAACAGTTTATTTACACATGTTATCACAGAGACGAAAGAGTATGAAATGAATTCATTAATGGTGGATATTATTTGAGAAGATTTGAAATCTTGGTGATTATCATATTTTGAGAGTGTTGTGAAATCAAAATGGTTCAAAGAAATTGAATTTCTTTTCAACAACGATCAGGACTAAATATTTCTCATAGTTCCATTTAAAAGAAATAGATATTTCATAATCCAATTTATCAAACTATTTATTGCCCAATAAGGGATGGATAAATTGATCTTGGATAACCACCCTCATTAAAAACATTAATAACATATCTATTTCCGTTAATTTTAACATCAGAAAGATTCTTCTTTCCACTTGGTTGTAAACTCTCCAAATAGGCCAGTGTGGAAAGTGCCAATAGGCACTCTGGAGAAATACCAACAAAAAAGCTTCCACAAGATTTGAATAATTGATTATCAGATTGACCATCTCCATCCACGTCTTCATCCTGTTTGAAACGAACACAGACATAATCAGGAGTTGACTCATTATCCAATCTTCCAGCAAATGAAATCACATCTTGACCTGTATGATTATCAGTCGAATCATCCAACAAGTATTTGAACCAATAGTGATAACCACTCACTTTATCACCATTCTTCTCACCTACAACAAGATGCTCAAATCCAGACAGGTCCTTATAGTTGTGTAAGTTATATTGTTTGAACCAAATTTCTCTCAATTTCACTTTCAACTCTGTAGGTGTGGAAAGTTTCATATATTTCTGGCCCAGAATTCTCATACACTTGGTTTGAACAATACTTTCAAGAAATTGCTCAACTTCCTTTCTCTCCTCCTCAGTATTCACCTCGCGACTATGTTGATCAAGTGAATAATTATCAAATAATCTGGAAATTAATTTGTAATTCTTTGCCTGTTTGCTGTTAGATTGTAAAAATTCGGAATTCTTCACCTGAACATAGACATGCTTGGTGGCATCGTATTGGTACAATTTGAAGAGTGTAAAATTTGGATTGGATCTCTTACGATCCATTCCACACACAACACATATGTATTCTCCACCAATCGGACCTTGTGGTTTGATCTTGACTGGAGTGAGACGATTCTCATCCGCTTGCCAAATCTCATCCATTAACGTTGCAGAGAATTGATAGGAGTGTGAAGACATTTTTTTCTTACTTGTTTGATGTGCTGATGTGGATGAATCATCAACGATTACAATAAAAGTTCATTCATACTTCAGTTTACTTGAAAAAATAATTTATCACAATAAATTAACACTTAATTGAGGGAAATCTTACTCTTAATTGCTACTTGATAGAGAATCTTTCTGTTATCGATATTATCTTCGTTGGAGAAGAGGGCATACTTCATCAAGACAGCATTTCTATAATTACAAACAATGAATGTTACAAATACTTGTTCTCCATGAACAAATGCACGGCAACAGGTTTGAATGGCCTTGACATATCTGTGACTAGTTTGTTCTCCTCTCACATCTTCATTAAATGACAAGAGAGCATACTTGGTTCCTGATCCATTTTGAATAGTTTTCAAAAAATCATGATTGAGTTCATCAAATGCTGTATTTACATGTTCTGCATCTGTCTTCAAATAGGTAATGGAGAGTGAATTCTTAGTGAGTGGATCAATAAATGACAAGAGCATATCTCTATTTCTTGCAACTTCAATACTATCTGAATGAAGAACAAAGGATGTAGGAATACTTGGTTCAAAGAATGGTATTTTCAAATCTAAATTACAGAATGAAACACTTGTATCATGCGCAGATGATAACAGAGTTCTAGATCTTGCAGTTCCACTAATTCTATGAGTAGTATCCCACTTGTATTCAATGTGAAGTACTCCTGATTTAACTCCTTGCAATTTCAATGTTTGTTTATATGATACATTGGCTGTTATTTCATCTGGAACAATTTCAAATCTAACTCTTCCTAAAAAGTCCTACATTATTTTCACAAATCATTCAAATTCCAAATCAATGACAACATGAACATATTCTCACTTACATCCTTTGTAAATCTATTTCAATATTATAATAAATATTCAACCAAAATCATTGTTAGCAACCTACCTATCCCAATCAAACACTTCAAACAATAATTTAAAAGTAGCAACATCTTCCGAACAAATAGAAAATCTAAAAGTTGAATTCCAAACAGGATCCAAAGTAGCCATACATGTTTTAGTCTTTCTCATAATTCCACAATTATCTGAAGCATCATCTTCAATCACCATACAATATCTATATTTTCATTATCATCATCAATACAATCATCATCATCATCATATACATAAATATATATAATAATTCATTCCGCCATCATCATCATCATCATGATTAATTTTTCATCACATACAAAATTCCGAACATTAAACTCAAACTCTACTTTATATATATAAACTTACGGATCACTACAATATTCTCTGACTAGTAACACTATTATTTACATAAACCAAAAAACCTACGATTTTCCATTAATATCAGAACTCTCCAATTTTTCTGCCTTTTCCACGAGTAGTATAATTTGATCACCTGGTTGAAAAGATGATGTTGCCATATTTTTTTTTTCTTCTAATTTGAAAGTTCTGGGAACTTGAAGTACAGAATTGGAAATTAAAAAGGTTGCATGGAATGGTGGCATGTTCAAGGTGACATGTGGCACCCTCAATGATGGAATTCGAACAGGATTTTCAATAAGGTGCAATTGTGGAATGCGTTTTGGAGTATAGTGGAAGAATTTAAATTGAAAAAAAATGAAACGAAACAAAACGAATTCAACCCGCAAACAGAAACTTCAACAACTGCAAGAGAATTATTATGGACAACATTTATTATTTATCACATCGGGGGATGTTTGGATAAACCATGTATTTCCTAGAATTGATTTATTAACCATTAGGTCTCTTTCGTTTGTTGATAAAACGTTTAGGCAATTTATATCGGAAAGTATTGATCAATATTTTTGGAAAATGAGATTACAATTATTTCCACAAGAAGTGGGAGGGAAATTGAGCGATGGTGATCAGTACATTTCGAATTGTTTCTTTAAAAACTATTCGATTGAAAAAAAATTAGAAAATGAAACGTTTCAGAATTTTACATTCAAAGTTATGAGAAATTACTTGATGGAACAAAAAAAGAATCAAAGAATTTATGTTCAAAAATCAACATTAAGATTGGCAAAAAAGGTTTTGAAATCATTGCCCAATATGAAATTCACATTATTGGCAGATTCTGATAATTTCACTTTTGCTAAATTATTACTGACATGTTTATCTACGGGAGAATTCGTTTCAGATTCCTCTCAATTAATCCAATATCTCTACAGAGATTCATTTAAAATTTTATCAGATTCGAAAGCTAAATCAGTGGAAATTCCATCTTTGGAGATTCGTTTGGATAGTTTGGAAAATAGTAATGAAGAATTAAAGGTCTCTCCTGTGGAATACACATTTGATGGGTCGTGCTTTGTGGTGCTTTTCAATAGATTGGATAGAGAAAATTTTACATCTGCCACCAATAATGCATTGAGATATGTCAGAAATCATTCATTTAATGAAAAGCCAATTATTCTAATAGGATTTAATTGGTGCAGATTCTTTCTAAATTATTCCTATATGAAAACACATTTCATGCACCAAAGAGTTTTGAAACATTCAAAAGATTTTGTGTCAAATGATGAAATTCTTTCATTTTGTCAAAAACATTCAAATGTCATTGGATACATTGATGCCAAGCCATCCAAAGAACGAGATATTTCAGATATTTTGATGAAACTTGTGTCATTGAGCATGCTCTCCAAAAGAATCAATTGTCTTTCAGATTTGGAAACTAGCTCATTATGTCTTTATTAATCGATTTTTAAAAATAAAAATTGTTACTACTTCACTCACTTCAAAATTTCAAAATGAGGAGTATCAACAATCGTAAGTTGAAATGGAGGGAAAATCCATAAAATATTATTTTGGTCAATGGCCACACTTGAGCCTCAACTAGGCGTGCAGGTGGATACCACGAGATGATCTCTTGTTTCAGATGGCATTTCGGCTGTTTACAAAACGCCAGTTTTTTAGTGGCTATAAGAGGATCCACTCTCGATTGAGTTGTCAGGCTTGAGAGGAGTATTGAAAAATCCTTCAAAAAAAAACAAATAACGCTCAACCTTGAAAATTTGATACTTGAAAAAAGCTGGTAACTGTTCTGCTCAATCATTATCATTCAAGATATTCATACACAAAAACGCATCATCTCAGTTGAGAGAGTCTCTGGAATATTAATCATCAGAGAAGAAATATTTCATCTCAACATCATCATCGCACCATCAAACAAGAAGCCTTTGAAATATGAGCAAACAAAATAATCATGAAGAGGATCTTCAACAACCTTCCTCTAATTCCTCTTCAATAGAGAATTCAATACAATCATCATCGCCACAACAACAACAACAAGTTGCTACTTCGAATATTGCCACTCTAACAATAGAAGTTCATGAAAATCCAAGTGAAACTCAAGAAATAACAATCCCTCCAACAACAACAACAACAATAACCACTACCGACACAAATAACAACATCAATAATACAATTGGAATGTCTCGAATTGGCTCTATCAATGCCATCTCCACAATCAACACCAAACAACAACAACCAACATCCCCAACTACTAATATTGCCTCCCCCACAGTCGTCAAACCAATTGAAACAAAGGAATGGCAAGTAGACTTTTCCAAATTCCCCATTGTTGATACCGATAGAATGAAGCAATCATCAAAGAAAAAGTTGAGAAAGAAGGTTTCCCAATTCTATGAAAAACAAAATGAGCTTGTTGAAGGATATGCTGAATTATATACCAATACAGTGACTAAGGAATTTCTGAAGGATTCCGATGAAGAAGGAGAGGAAGGTGATTCCTTTTTAAAAGATACCAGTGCTGATGATGAAAAGAGAGAAGCAGCTGAGGCCCTTGAGAGGAAGGAGAGTAGATATGCTTCATTTTGTATCCAAGCCAGTTTTTGGGTCAATGTCTTGCTCTTATTCTTGAAAGTTTCTGCCAGTTTGCTTTCCTTGTCCCTTTCTGTTATTACATCAACCATTGACTCGATTTTGGATTTGGTCTCTGGACTCATTCTCTTCTATACAAACCTTTTGAAGAAAAAGAAGAGTGATCTTCACTTGTATCCAGCTGGTAAGGAAAGATTGGAACCATTAGGTTTTATCATCTTTGCCACCTGTATGTCAACAGCCAGTTTACAAATTATTAAGGAAGGTGTTGTTGGTATCATTACAGGTCTAGTTACTGGCGACCCGTATCTCCCAACAGATTCTCAAAACATTGTAGAATGGATTATGAAACCAGAGTTACTCAATGGAGAAATGGAATGGATGCTTGGTATCAAAATTCCTTCCACTTTCAAAATGGTATTTTACATTTATGGTCTTTTTGTATTGTTTATTGCTATTGTGTTGAAATCTGTCCTCTATGTTTTGTGTATCAGAGCTAAGGATTCTCCATCATGTGAAGCTTATGCCTTCGATCACAGAAATGATGTATTGAGCAATACCTTTTTAATTATATCTCTCTTTGTTTCTCAGTGGGTTTGGTGGTTGGATCCTTTTGGTGCTACTCTGTTATCCATTTATATTATTTATGGTTGGGTTGGTGAGTCGATGGAACATGTGACTAAATTAGTTGGTTTGACTGCCGAATCAGAGTTTATCAAAAAGTTGACCTTTATTGCTGTAAATCAGAGTGAAAAGATCATGAAGGTTGAAACTGTTACTGCCTGGTACAGTGGTATGAATATTATTGCTGAGATTCACGTTGTACTTCCACCTAACATGTCCCTTAGAGAAGCCCATAATATTGGTGAGGATTTGCAAATGAAGATAGAGTCTGTCCCAGAGGTGGAACGATGTTTCGTACATTTGGATTTCAATGATAACCATAAAATAAGTAAATAATTAGTTAATAAGAAGTGCTAAGCTTTTTGGAACGAAATGTTTTGGTTCTGATTTAAGTTGTTTCTCTAGCTGAAAGTGAAACTCTTCCACAACTTTCAAAAATTGTATCATTGTCAATGAAATAGTAGTAAAATTATGCTTTCTGTTTAAGTGTTATAATTTCCTCTTCCAACAATTTTATTTCTTTCCAATAGTTCTTTCACTTGTTTGTTTTTTTCAAATGTAATTTTATCCACTTCCTCAGCTAGTTGAGAGTAACTTTTCAATGGCATGATTTTCTTAAATTCTTCAATTTCATTGGTAATGTTCAATGTTAAATCTTTAATTTCACCTCGCAAGAATTTCAAAATATTCTCAATTATTAAAAGGTGTAAATAACAATTCAATATTTTGGTTGAATCTCTTTGAATCATTGTAATGATACATCTGATCAATAGTTCATTAATTCCAACTTCTGGATCGATAGAATGATTGATCAGTTTTTCAATTGCATAATGTAATTTCATTTCTCCTTCAGTTGTTGTTATTACAGTATAGAAATACTTTCCATATCCACTAAAGTATGGATAGCCATTATTGTACTTTGAAACATCTGGATCAGTTACAAATTTTTCATCCAGTTGTAATGGACAATTGGTCAGTAATTTCAAAAAAATACATCCCAAAGAGAAAATATCAGATGAAGTGGTTATTTGTCCAATATTGTGAGCTAATCTATCGTTATCACCATATTTAAACATGTTGTCAGTGTAATTGTCATGTGAAACCTCAGGAGACATGTAGGCATACTTTCCACGTGCAATTGTAATTGAGTGACCTATCTTAATAACTCTTGATGTTTCAAAATCAATAATTTTAAAAGTATCTCCAATTTTAACAATATTTTGCGGATCTAAATCTCTGTGAGCAATATTATGATCATGAATTGACTTGACTGATCTCAATACTTTGGTGAATATTTCAAACAATTCTATTAATTTGTCCTTGGTTAAGAAGGTGTCTCGATAAATGTCATTATTTCTGTAAATATAATGTGACAATGATTCCTCTCCAAGCTCCATCACTGAATACAAATGATTTTGAATAACAGCACATTCAAAACACTTGATCTTTCCTTCAATATCTGTTCTTTTCAATAAATTAATTGTGTAGTTGGTAGCAGCTTCAGAACCCTCTGGATCATATTTGAATTTCATGGCTCGTAAAGATTTTGTTTTTTTGTGAAATACTTTGAAAACGACGCCTTCTGCTCCATATCCTAAAACTGAAATAAAGTCATATTCCATTTTGAAATGAATATAGTAATAATTGAGTGCTTTGAAAATTTTTGCTAAATCTCCTCGTAATTCATTGTATTTACACAATATTTGTTTGTAATTCTCAAATGTTTGCTCACTTTCAAACCATTTAATGACAAAACTCATAATTTCCATAATTTCCTTTGTTGAATAAAAAGAGGTTTTGAAATTACTTGAAACATTTTCCACAACATTCTTCAAATCCTTCATGTCTGTTGTTTGGGAAGGATTATCTTTAAGAAAATTATCCAATCTGAAACAAAATAAATGAAAGTTAGCACTTTCTGAAATAGGAATATTGTTGGACAATTCTTCGTGGTTCATTTGTTTCAATATTTGGAAGGTGATTAATTTTTCAACAAGTAGTGGTGAATAGGTTTTTTGGTTGAAATAATTAAATAGTGCGCTTTTGGATTTTGGATTAAATAGTGAACTTAACTCAATAGCAAAATATAAATCCTTTTCTTCCAAATACTTTTTTGAGTATAGTTCAATAATATTTGTTGATAGCATTCTATGTAAATCAACACAATCCTCAATGCTTTTGGTAATAGAAGGAGAGAATTCTTTTGCAATCTTGGTATTGTGTTTGAATAGGGAGAAAATGAAAGGAATATCTCCTTTAAATGAGTTATCAACATGTTCAAGTACCAATCTATTTTGTTTAACAGCTTCCAATACTATTTCTCTATCTTTTTTAAATGATTCATCTGCACGTTGAAGTGCATTTCCATTTTGTTTAACAGCTTCCAATACAAATTCTCTATCCTTTTTAAAAGATTCGTCAACATATTCAAGTACCTTTCCATTTTGTTTAACAACATTCAAAACAAAATTTCTATCTTTTTTCAATGATTGATCAGCAAAGTCAAACAAAAATTCATGCAACACAACAACTTGCAATAAAAATTGTCTATCTTTTTTCAATGATTCATCCGCATATTTAAGTAACAGTCCATATTGAACTGCAGCATTCCAATCACTATCAGTTTCCTTTCCTTTAACAGCTTCCAATATTATCTCTCTATCTTTTCTAAGTGATTCATCAGCACATTGAAGTGCCAATCCATTTTGTTTAACAGCTTCCAATACAATTTCTCTATCTTTTTTGAATGATTCATCTGCATATGTAAGTAACAATCCATTTTGTTTAACAATATTCAATACAAATTCTCTATCTTTTGTACGCTTCAAAACTCCCAATACGATATCTTGTAGTTGTTGTTCTTGTTGTTCTGTATTATTGTTATCATTGCTAGCTATCATTGCGATTGCGATAATGGTACTTTAACGTTGTGGATTTTTTTTTAAGTAAAACGTGATTCTAAATTAATGTACTCATGAATGTCAATAATTTTACAAAATGTACTCGTCATTCTTGGGCACGGAATTGTTGTGAATCAGGAAAAGTTGAATAGAGCTACAGCTTGTTCCAAATCCTATCTCATATATAATTAAGGCAAATTTTAAAAATTGAAGCCAATAAATGAAGGAAAATTCCGAACAATGATATGGTTGCCCATCTTTCCATTTAGATCGACCAGTGATGATTTTACTGAAAATTGACTTTCATTATCCTAGTTCCATCCTAGTTACAAATTTATATTAATCCAATAATTAAAAATTCCACGAATTATTTTGATGATGTTAATATATTGTGATGGTTTCATTATTTGATGAATTGAAACCATGTTGAAAATCAACAAACTTCCGAATCATTGGTTTTCACTGCATGTTGATTCAGTTTTTGATAGTGTAAACATCAAATAATTATAGTTAATAAGAAGTGGCGTTTAGACCTTAATAAGGGAAAATTTGTAAAACAGCTGATCCTGGCAAACTTCAATGTATTCTGTTCCAAGTTTATTTGGCTCAAAGATGCTGTGTTTGAAATGAAATTACCATGAGTATTCAACAAACTGTAGGGGGTTTTCATGTATAAAATTCCCAGAGATATCACTCGACGCAAACTCAATTATAAATCAATTTTTAACGACAGTATCCAAATAGAAGTGGCTGCGCTTTGATATACATTAGCCATGGTTCCGATCTAAGGATCTGTCGAACTTTGGCTGTGGCTTGTGAAGAGTCAAAAGCAATTGTGGTGGTCAGATAGCCTTAATTGGTCAAATATTTGAATGAACTCCCCACGCCCAAAACAACAGAACACAACAACACAAACGGCAATATCACAACAAAAACAATAAAAATAAGAAGAACCCCAAACACAATTTAATATGAACCCGACACAACCGAGCAGCAATCCCAATCTCCTGCAGGTACAAGGCTCTGCAAACCATAATGTCAGTGGTGCTAGTTTAAGCTTTGATGATGTTGGTAGTCATCATAGCGGATTTGGAGGCATTGGTTTCAATGGAGAGTCAAGCCAGGTAGATCCCTCCGTTACACAAAAGAGTCGTTCTAGTTCCAATAATACGAATAATCCTTTGGTTATATTTGAGAGGAGTTTTTCGATATTCATCTCGGCGTTAAGGAATACTCTAGAATCAACAACATACATATATTCTGTTCTGCTGTATATTTGGATAATTTTGCAAACATTTTCTTTATCTTCCTATTATGAATACAGGTGGGGAAATATTGCAGGATGGATAATGAGAGGAATAGCAGCAATATGGACATTAGGGTTTGATTTTATGCCATATAATGTAAGTATATAGTGATTAGAGGTGTAATGATTAATATTGTGTTTCCTTAATGATTGTTACTACTCAATTTACTGGTTCTATTTTAACAACTTCATCAACCCTAAAATCCTTTTCATCCCAATGAATAATTATTAACTTGCAATCTCTCAACAGGGTCATATTGTTATAATATCTCTGTCTTTGGCCCTTAACATTGTAACATTATTAATGTTCTTATATTGCAAATCTGCGCTTGGAAATGGCAGTAAACATTGGGATAGACTAAAACGATACACAAGAAAGATGTGTGTCATTCATCTCGTATTTTCTGTTCCGATGATGTATTGCTATGGAGTGTTTTGGCACTGTGATTATACGACACTGAAATTGTTCGCCTTCTCTGAAGTTGAATGTTGGTCTCCTTCTAATAGTGGCCTTGCATCAATATCAATGTTGGGAGCATTAATGACTTTCATTATTACATTAATATCAAGTTTGGTTCTTGTAGATATCAATCCAGCAAGTAAGGGAATATTTGTGAGTTTTACTCCATTCTTTTTTGCTTCTCTAGTTGCTTCGAATACTCTTTTTGCATTCCTTCAACAAGCTATTCCTCCTTACATTTACTATGCTGTCCCATCATTATTTATTGTGAAACAGTTATTGTTGTGTGTAGCGCTTGTTCAGAGATATCCATTCTTTAGAAGAGTGGAAAATTCAGTCATGTTTGGGGTATTGGTAGGCTCTGGAATGTGGGCAGTAGCAAATCTGGTTGTCTTCTCTGTAAATAGTAATGTTCCTTCAATTGATCTGGAAACATCAGGACTTGCAATAATGGGTGTTGGTTTCTTGTTGCCCATCACTGGGATCGTTCTCGGTTTTGTTGGTATTGAAATTGCCACTCGTGTCATTGTTTCAAAAGTAAAACATGATCTCGATAACTTAATGAGCAGTCCTCAAGGTGAACTGGAAGAAATGAAGTATTCTCATTTATTTATTCAGTGGGCCATGAAAGATCATTCCCTTGCAGAGTACGTGCGGTATCTTATTAATGAAGTTTCTTCAACCAAGGTGGATCTCTCATTCATCGATTTGATAACGAGTGCTTGTTATATGCACTATTTGGTGGAAGATTTTCAAACCAGTGCACTCTTGTTGCTTAAAAGATCTGAAGAAATGTTTGATTCTGTTTGGTTCATTGACAGATTAGAACTCCAAATAAGAAAGAGAGAAATCACTAGCCACATTCATGCTGAAAGCGCTGAAGTGTCTGAGTACTTGACAAAAGTTGTAGCTAAACAAGACACAATTCTAATTCTCCAAAGATCATTCTGGAAAATTGTCCTATCAGAAGAAATATCTGAATTGGCGATGGAACAAGCAGGAAGAAAGATATGGTCAACTCTTTGAATGAATACAGATATATTCAAAAAAATTTAGAGCTCTATGGAACTCTTGATACTGAGAGGTTTGAATCCATTAAAGGAAGATTGGCTTGGTATGCCAGTATGATAAATGAAATGGTGAAAACAGTACAATCTAATTATTTCACAGATGAAATGAAAAATGATATGCTTGGAACTAAGAGTGAAGTGTTTCTTCCTTCTCTTTCTGCTGACGGTAGCTATACGTTCAGCACAAAGAATATGACATATTCAGAATTGATGCATTTGATCGGTTCTGTTACATCAGTATTAGCCAATAGTACTTTAGAAACTTTTAGGAATACCACAAACTTTGAGTACATCTTTTTGTGGAAGAACAGGTTACTCTTTATTGATTATTTCGAGGTCTTTTGCGATATTTTGACTGCAAGAAACTTTGAACATTTGAATGCATGGTCCAACATTATTATTGGTGTAATGTCAACCCTGATAGGTCTATTTACCATATATTTGATCGTGTTTTGGGTAATTGTTGGTGGCTATATGAAGGCATCATCCAAGCTATTCAAGCTTTACAAGTTTTTACCAAAGGATGAAGTAGGAAAGCTTTTCCATGAATTGGAGAAAAAGACAAGCCAGCTTAATCAAAGAATTGAGTTTAGAAAGTCCAATCTATTATCTCCTTCAAACGTTATGATCTACTTTTTGGCTTTAGTCTTCTTACTAACTTATATTTCAGTTGGATTGATATTTTTTGAGGCCCTTTACAACTCTGTTTACAACAGACAAGCAATTTCCAAAGTTCAACATGGTACAGAAATTACGCACGATTTGACCAAGATCACCTTTGGTTCATTCCAATCCTTATTTGATGATACTGATTATCTTCAATATACACACGATGAATTGTATGAATTTGCAAAGCGGTACAATACCATGGACGAGTACACTGATTTCAGATACGGAACAGAGGATGCAGGTTATTATAATTTAATTGGTATGACATCTTCTATAGATACACAAGTTGAGCACCGTGGAACAGATGCTAAATGCAAGAATTACACTTTGATTAATTTTGATATTTCACAAATAGAATGCATGAGCATGGATGAATTGATTAATGCAAATGCTTACTATTTAGCTAAACAAGTAGAAGATATTTACAAGAAGAAATATTCAGAAGAACAATTGTTGGCAACTTTTTGGAAGAATTACTTGGTATACATTCAGACAAGAAAAAAGAGTTGGGGAATCATGCTTGAATCTGTTGATTATTTCACCTCTAGAATTAATCAGAGAATAATAAGTGGTTTGGCTTGTGCCTTGCCTGCTCTGGTTGCTCTGTTAGCGTATATGGCTTTTAGGACTTATAGTAGAATTAATAAGGAAAGATCTCTCTTCTTATTAATGCTCTTCCAAGTTCCTTGTGATGTTCTAGATAATCTAGATCCAATCAAGAATTACATTTTTAATAGAAGCTTTGATTCTGGAAAGAAGAATAAGCAATTGTCATTGGATGGAAGAAGTGAGGTTAAGGCAGTTTGTGATGCTGCTGTGGATGGAATGATTCTTTGTACCTCTGTTGGTGTGATTGAAATCTTTAACACTGCCTCGGAAACAATGTTTGGATACAAGTCCACAGATGTACTTGGATTGTCTCTTACCAAACTGTTTGAAAAGGAAGGCAGAGAAAAGGTAGAGAATATTCTGGCCAGATTGAGACAATCTAATGAAACAATGGGAGAAACTCTAGAATTGGTTTGTTTAAGAAAAAATGACAGAAAGTTCCCAACAAGAGTTTCCTTATCAGTTAGTTTGCTAAGCACTTCCAATAACATGAAAAAATCTGTCATTACATGCTTTATCAAGGATATCACCACCGAATTGAAACACAATAATTTGATTAAGGAAGAAAAGATGAAGTCTGAAGCACTCTTGTTGAATATTCTCCCTGAACCAGTGGCCAATAGACTGAAGGCAGGTGAAACCAATATATATGAAAACTTTAAGGATGTTACCTGTTTCTTTAGCGACATTGTTGGTTTTACAACCATGTCATCAACCATGGAACCAAATCAAGTGGTTGCCATGTTGAACGAAATTGTCAATCAATTTGATATCCTTTGTGACTCGTATGATTTAGAAAAAATCAAAACTATTGGTGATGCATACTTTTGTTGTGGTGGTTTACACAATTGTATGCAAAGTGATCACCCTGAGAAAGTTGTTAGATTTGCCATTGATACATTGGGTGTCATTTATATTTACAATACTCAAAACAATACTACTGTGAATATTCGTGTTGGTGTACATACTGGCAGTGTAGTAGCTGGTGTTTTAGGTATAAAGAAGTTTGCTTATGATTTGTGGGGAGATGCTGTAAATACTGCCTCTCGTATGGAATCAACCGGTTTACCTGGTAGAGTTCAAATATCAAGAGACACTTATGAAAGAGTGCACGATTTGTTCGAATTTGATTTGAGAGAAATTGAAGTTAAAGGAAAAGGTAAAATGAAGACATATGTGGTAAAGGAAAAACATCATCAAAATCCAAACAAGGAATCTCCAGAAATTACCAGTACCACTATTCTAAGAAACAGACTGGGTGAATCAAGTTCTGCAGCAAATTTATTCCAAGCTCAACAAAATATTGACCATGAAAATTCAGTTCCAAATTTACTTCAATTAACCATTCCAGATAAATATTAACTCAAAATATTATTAATTTAAATACTAAAAATACAAGAATTTACTTTCCAAGTCTTTTGTTATCCTCTTCAATAAGTTCCTTATAATATCCCTCCCAATCAATTTTCATATTTCCTCCATATTCGGTTGCCAATTGATCAGCATCAACATAGTTCAACAAATCTTGTTGCTTGTTCACCATGACGTACTTGGCTTTGAGTTCTGTAGATAAAAAGGCGCTGAGGAAAGCCCAAATAATATTAATAGTCCAAGGAGCATTCATAATCAAGACTCTACCCAATCTTTCAGGATAGTAAAAACCCAAATCATCAAAAATATCTTTCTGTAATAATTGTTAAAAGTCTCTCCCCTAGCTAACACTTACCATTCTTTTAACCAAGGACAATGAAATTGCAGAAACATCAACAATCCAATTCATTTGGAATGCTGTTCCTTTAAATTCTCTTCTTCTGAAATTTCTTTCATGCAAGTAAACCAAATGACGGAACTTGAGCTGTTTGTTTTCCTCGGAATTATCCAACAAATCCTTGTTTGTCCACATATAGAAAATAGGCATATCATTTTGACAAATACCTTGATCAATCATCATATTAGAAGTACATGTTGTGTTAGTAAATTCTTCCATTCTAATCTCCTCTGGTTTATAAACAGCTCTCCAATTAACCATTTTCACAATCAATCGAGTAGCTTCATCCAATTTCCATTCAAACCCTCTGGAATATCTGAAAAAGGCAAAATTATCCAAAGTCAGCTCTCTCAGCTCATTCCACTTATCGGCATCAATTTGTAATTCATTCTTTTCATTCTTTACCAACTCTGGAATATTCTCCAAAACATTTATACCCATAAATCTCTTTACAATCTCATCACCATCCTTCACAATCACACGGATCACCATCATCATCAAATTATGAATAAATTTTAATTTTTCATCATTCATCACCGGAGAAACATAAGTTGGATGAAGATCGCACATTTCCTTCAGTGTTGGTAAGTCAACAAGAGTTACTAGTTGTTGATCAGCAGCAGCAGATGATGATGATGATGAATTTACTGCCTGATCAGAACATAAAGATGACGAAGGAACAAGTCGCAACATTTTTTAAAGTTTTTTTTTGAAATTTTTTTGTTTTTTTGAAAATTGATGAAGGAAAATTGCAAAGGAGAATTTTTGTTTTCAGGTGAAGGAAAGAATTGATGATTATTGTGGGAAAGGAATGGGTTGGAGAGGATGGGATGGTTCTAATTGTGAGTTTGGAGTGGTGGCAACGTGATGGAAGGGAAGGAATAAAGTCCTTTCTTATGACTTGTCAAAGAAAAGATTCGAATAAATATTCGATAGAGAGACAGCACTAATACGGACACAAAAAAGCTCAAAAAAATGTCTCAAGAAGATCAAGAGGTTATCGTGATTGTAGAAGACCAAGAACAACAGAAAGATTCTCTTCCTTTCGATCAAGCAAGAATAGAACAAACTAAACTATTCGGAACTAATCAAACTAATTCCTTGTTTCCAACCAATGATCAACCAAAAACAAGATTCGTCCTCTCCATTGATGGTGGAGGTGTCAGAGGAACCCTCGCAGGTTCAATCCTTGCCACTCTCGAAAAGGAAGTCATCCAAGAAATTGCCAAACATTTTGCAGAGCTAGGAGAAAAACCACCAACCAATAACTTTAGTTTAACTTCATGTTTCGATTTGGTAGTCGGTACATCAACAGGTGGAATCATTGCATTAGGTGCTGGTATTTCTAATAATGGAGGACCTTTCGATTTTAAATTTTCTGCCTCTGATTTGGGAGATTTATATACGAATAATAGTTCACAGATATTTAGTAAGGAATTTAAACATGGAAAATTGAGAGAATTTTTGATTTCTTCGAGATATGATCCAACTGGATTGGAAATTGTCATGGAAAAGTATTTTGGAAAGGCCAAGTTGAGTGATTTGGTTATTCCAGTGATGGTAACTTCATATGATTTAAATAGACAAGAATTGGTTGTGTTTGATAGTGAAATGGCTAAACCTAAAGGAGAATTGACTATGAGACAGTTACCTTCTGATTATTATTTGAAAGATATTGCACTTGCCACTTCAGCAGCTCCAACTTTCTTTCCAATTAGAACGATTGAGTCAATTACAGATCCAAGTGATAAACATGATTATATTGATGCTGCAGTAACTGCTAATAATCCAACCATGTTGGCTTATTTGAAAGCAAAGAAAATGTATCCAGGCGATTCCATTAATATTGTTTCATTGGGTTGTGGTTATGAAGGTATTGATAGACCTTCATTGGAAGGAAAGATTGAATGGGCCAAGACAATTTCCTCTCTCATGATTCAAGGAGCATCTAATTTGACTGAATATTTAATGCAACAAATGGTAGATTTGTCACCTTTGGATAAATATTGGAGAATTGATGTGAAATTGGATCAGGCAGCTTTAGATTTGACATCTGAAGATTATTTGAAGAGTTTAAAGATATTGGGATCAAGTTTGAGAACCAACGATGGTAATGCCTATAAGAATATTAGAGATACCATTATTGACTTTTATAGAAGTAAGAGTTTTTATACTTGTTTCAAGTTGATTGAAAAAGTTGAAAGTCAATTGATGAGTCCAAAGTACAGAAAGAATGATCAGGTTAGAATTGACCTTTCAGATGTTGGATTGACTCCAATTGCATTATGGGAAGTGGTTCACTATTTGAAAAATCAAGTTGACTATGAAAAAATTTACAAAATTGATTTGAGTGGACAAACTATAACTGTTGAAATATTAGAACAATTGCTCCATTTGAGAACTGAAGAAGCTCCTGAAAAATTGAAAAAGAAACATTGTTCTGTTGAGAAACTAACTGTCAAGACTCAAATCTTGGAAGAGAAATGTTTAATTCACAAATTAATCATGAGAGATTGTCAATTGAGTGGTCAAGTCCTTGCATGGCTTGTCAATAAGAGTAAATTGTTTGATGTCTTGGATTTGGGAGGAAGTGTCAAATTGAGTGAATGTGATTCTGGATTTTTGGATTCTCTCTGTCAATTGTCTGAAAGAGGAAATGTCATTCTAGAAGGAAAGGCCTATTGGGTGATTGGTAATCATTACAGATACTTTGAGAAATTCGATCATTGCAGAAAATCTTACAAGAAAGGAAGTGAATTAGGCGATGTTGATTGTGAATATTTGGATTGCTTAATGGGATATTTCACAGATAATTTACAAGATCGAAATGAGCAACTTCATCAAATATTGAAGAATAGAAATGAAAGAGTTGGATATTTACTTGGCTTGGCAATTGAACAACGAAACCTTTCGAATAATGAACAAGCTCAACAATCAAGAAGTTCAATCGATTCTCCATCAAGTAGCTCACCATCCAGTTCATCTCCTATGAAAATTCCACAAGAAAACGATCCACTACCACCTGAATTTGTCGAATATGAAATTGAGAATCATCATGCCCTATGTGTCGATTGGTATGTCCGAGTTTCTCAATCCATATCCACAAAAGATTCTTCACAACCATGGATTGATAAGGCAAAACTTCGACTTTCAAAAGGAAAGACACTTCTTCCAGCTGCATCCAGTCTTGGCTTGGTGTTGTATCCACAAGGTGCAAATACCACAATTGGAGAAGCTATTCTTTCAAAAAAGGAAAGAAAAGATCAGCAAAAAAAGGAAAAACAAGAAGAAAAGGAAAGAGAAAAAGAAAGAAAACGATTGGAAAAAATGGAAAAGAAGGAATTAAAGCAAAAGATGAAGAATCAATAGTTGAATAGCTAGTGTAATTGTAAATAAATGTCAGAACATGATGGAACTGCAAGTTTTAAATCGCATTTCAAAGAAAGTAGACGAAACTTGGAACAAAAAAATGTCTGCATTCGAATTACCAGACGATATTTGGTTAGAAATTATTTCATTCCTAGATTCTCACGATATTATCAAAAATTGTTTTTTAATTTCAAAACAATTTTTGGGTATTATAAAAAGTTATTCGAAACTTTCCATACGAGTGAAAGCACCTTTGCATGGAACAATTAATATTTTATTAGAAACCTTGTTGAAATCATTTTCCGGGAGAAACTTGACGAAACTTGATCTGAGAAGAAATTTTATTCATGCAAAATTGGCAGAACATTTAGGGAATTTGCACCAATTGACCGATTTAAATGTTGACGATTCTTTTATTGTAGAACCTGCAATTGATTCTATTCGCTACTTGACTAAACTGTCAACACTTTCGATCAATTCTAATAATTTAAAAACAAAGGAATTGAAAATTATCAAGGAAATGAAACAATTAACAGTTCTATCGATTGCAAAGAATTCAATGCAATCTGGAGGTGCTAAATTATTACGAAACCTTTCCAATTTGACTATTCTAAATATTTCGAATAATCGAATTGGAAATGAAGGATGGAAATATTTATGTTCAATGAAACAATTAACCAAACTAAACATTTCTGGTACTAACATTTCTTCTGAAGGAATTTCATACCTAACCAACTTTCCAAATTTAACAGAATTGAACTTTTCTGGAAATACCAGTTTGAGATTTTCTCAAAAAGTACAAGAACAATTGAGTGAATTGAAATATTTAACGAAACTTGTCATCAATTACATCCATCCTATTCCAATTGATGACCTTCAATATATTCACAAATTAGAGAAACTCACCAGTCTTTCTCTCAAATCTAATTTCATGTACGATGCGTCAGCAATTCACATTTCAAAGTGTGAGAAATTAACCTATTTGGATGTTGCAATTAATAATTTGAGTGATGCTGCAGCAGAAGCATTTTCTCATCTACCAAATTTGAAATATTTGAATATTTCTGAAAATTATCTTTCCAAAAAAGGAGTCGAGCTATTACGTAACATGCCCCAGTTGACCAGTTTGATTTATGAAAGCGAATTGTTATGAATTTAAATATTATTGTTCTTATTTACAATTTGGATGGTTTTTGATTATTTTGATTCAAGAGTTTTTGAAGATTGACAAGTTTCAATGCCAACCCAATATTTCCCTTGACCTTCACAGAACCAGTCATGAATGCAGTTTGAGGAGCAAGTTTACCAGACATGATCTTGTAACAAGTGGCATCTGTCATGGTCATTGTACAGTCGATTACCTTTTCTCCTTCTTTTGATTCTGGTACGCCCATATAAACTCCACAATCTTCACCATTCTTCATATTTAAAGTCCATTGTTTCTTAATTGTCTTGTTGGAATTGTTGATGAGATCAAAGACATAGGTCACTTTGTACTTTTGAGTCAAGTCAGAATGTTCCTTGAAGAGAGAAATCATTCTTCCAAAGATTTCAGAGCATTGATATCCTTCAATATTGACTTCACTTGGTTGTTCAGCTCTGGTCAATCCAGCAACTACTTTCTTTCCTTGTTTGCTTGGAGCAGCAGATGATTGTTGTACTGGTGCTGCTAGTTGATTTTTCAGTAGTACTTTCACTTGATGAAACCTTTCTAGTGGCTTGATTCTTGGCAATATTTGTGGCATGTTTGATGATATTTTGGAAACTTTCAGCAGCACTGGAAGGATTTCTCACATATCCACTATCCTCATCCACTGGTCCATTTACACTGTAGAATGAATTGATCTTACTCCAATTCTTTTCAATAAGTTCAGTATTCAAAGCATCCTCAATTGTATCACAATAGAATGGAATACCTCTTTCATATCTCACTTTGGTAATGACACCTCCACCAACTTCATAGATTTGTCCATTTTCCTTACATTTAGAACTGCACAAGAACAAGACTAATGGAGAAACAATTTCAACCTTGAGAGCATCCAACCAATCCTTGTCCACATTGGATTGTTGCAAAATTTGAGTTCCTGCAAGAGGACTCACACAATTCACACAAACATCTCCAATTCTATCACTTTCAATAGCAAGAGTTCTAGCCAATCCACACAATGCCTCCTTACAAGCTCCATAATTAGCTTGTCCAAAATTACCAAACAATCCGGCAGCACTTGTTGTGAAAATTACACGACCATACTTTTGTGTTTTGAAAACATTCCAAGCAGCTCTTGTCATTAAAAAGACTCCATGCAAATGCACTTGATAAATTTGATCCCATTGTTGTTCACTCATATTTGCAAATGATTTATCCCTCAAAATTCCAGCATTATTCACAAGCATGGTCAATTTAGCTTGAGGAGAGAATGATTTCAATGCATCTTGAATAATCCTTGGTGGTCCTTCTGGATTTGTCATGGAATGAATGCAAGGAATGGCTCTTGGATAAGTTGCATCTGTGTATGATGTGCATTGAAGAATCGTCATAGCAATATTTTCCAATGAACAAATATCCATCCGATCATGATCCACACAATAATTTGTTCCGATCATTGTTATATTAACCAGCACATTTGATGATGTTATTTAATTTTCCGAAATATTCAATCCATAATTCATCATCAATTGTTGTTTGTTAATATTTTAATGATGATGATGATGAATATTAAAAACCTACTGGTTGGAAAAGTCTTATTAATATAATCAGCTAATTAAAATCATCATCAAAACATTTAAATTCATCATCATCACCAAAATACAAAAATTCCAACAAGTTTGATCATCAATAGGAACAAGAAGAATATCCGATCATATTAATCATCATTTGGAGGAAGAATAATTTACGTACCAGTTTCCTTGGCTGCCTTTTCATCAACATCATGAATTACAACAAATGCTCCACATGCAGCAAAGGCTAAAGCATGGGATTTTCCGAGACCTCTGGCTGAACCAGTAATGATACAAATTTGATCGGTGAAGGAGAGGTTGTTACCTTTTGGAAGGAGATTTGAAGACATTTTTTTTTTCAATATATTAAAAAATAATTTTCCTTAAATGGAATTTGGTTTTTTTTTTATTAATTATTTAAATTTAAATGGTTTGCAATTTTATCAGAAATGGATTCTATTGCGTCCAATTTAGCGGAATCTTGTTGCACTTTTTCAATTTTTTCATTATTTTCAAAATTAGAAACTTTGGAAGAAACTTTTTCATTATCATTTTCATCATTTAATAAATCAAACAATTGAATACACTTTTTTCTCACACTTTCGTTCGTTATTTTTTTAGAATTGACCAAGGCATCAAATCCACTCTCTCCATTTTGATCTTTCATTTCGAATAACTTTCTCAAATTCTTATTCTTAATTAAATATTCAAGCATTTCAAATCTTCCATCATAACATGCATAATGCAAAATTGAATATTTTCCCTTTCCAACAATAAATGGATTATAATTACATTCCTCAATTAAATATCTTAATAAATCCAACCTTCCATTTCTGGCAGTTTGTAATAAAATTGGTTTGTTCATTGGCCAGATTTCAAAGTTCATACTGTAAAATGTTTTCTTTCCATTGATTTCATTTTTGAATTCTTCCAAGGTTAGTTTAGTTTCGTATTTTGTAAAGAACTTTCCACAAGTGTCAAATCTGTCACATAAATCATTATAGAATGGAATGGCAGGATTTTCTTCTCGATAACATGTGATCAAGGTTTTGAAATCTTCACTCAAAATAATAACATTTCCTTCGTATTCAACTTTCCATCTAATTTCTAATGAATTATTCGAAACTCGTTCCTTTCCATAGCAGCCAAATTTCTTGATTTTTTTAATAAGTTCATTCGAGAAGAGTCTTTCCTTCTTTCTTATTCTTGAATGATAGGTGGAAAAAACAGAACTTGCTGTCGATATTATATCATCCATTTGATCTGAAAGTGTTTGTGAACTTTCCAATAGATCGGACGAATCAACAATACTTGACTGATCATCATTTGATACATGACTTGCCACCGAATCTTCTACTTTATCCATCAAAACAACATTTCCATGATTATGATCCGTGTCTTGACTCATTTTTTTTTGGAAATTGTGAATGACTGTCAATTTCCTTGACATTTTACATGAACAAAAAAAGATTTTTTATTAGACTCGTTTTACAAGGTAAAGAATGAAAGAATAATCAAAAGCAATACCATCGCAATGCTTGGATGACTAATTAATTGTCCATCATTGACTCTATCAGGATTTGTTGAATTTTTGGCAATGACACCTGTTGTGAAAGAAGTGGTTGGGTTGACTGAAGAGACAGCTGCTGGAACTTCTACTTTAAGCAGTTGAGCTGAAACAGTGGATTCCTGGTTGACTCCACTGGTAGCAAAAATACTTCCCCAACAACTGGAAGAAGGCCAAGTAAATACGAAACTTTGTCCATTATTCAAGTTTCCACTATCGATATTGGAAAGATTTCTACAAGCTAAATTGATATAAAATCTAAATTGACCACCACCAGTTGTAATTGCAGTGATATTGTACAATTGACCAGAAGTTGGCTTTGCCCACAATGTTTTTGAAAGACCAGTTCCATTCGTATTTCTTTGAGAAGTTTTAGAAGTTCTATTCGAAAAGACAACTGCTTGTTTCCATGTATCGAAATATCCCAATGAACCTCCATATTCCAATGCCCATGGACCTCTCATGGAAATTAAATTTTGATTCAGACTGAATTTAATTGGCTTATCTTCACCATTCAAATATCCTGAACATGATTTGAGAGGTCTGAGGGCAGCTCTAATAACTTGCAATTCATAGGCAGCTTGATTACTCCATCCACCCGGATGCAATGTGTAATTACTTCCAATTTCAACATAGATATTGAATGGAGTTCCTGTATTTCTGTCTGTAACGTAAGCTCCATAAGTTTTCAGAGTTTCAGCAATTTTTCTCAATTTTGGAATGGTCAATGATTTGGTTACGTTGAAATCTGAAGGAAGCATCAATAAACTGCCTTCTGGAATTGTTCCATAATTGGTAGCGGCTGCATCACCATCAGCAGCTGTGGCTGGCCAAACATAGGTTGGATTATTGGACAAACCATTAAATGTCATAGACAAGGTCAATGCATGTCTATATTGTGAATCACCATCATCAACTTCATACTTTCTAATCAATCCAGCAGAGCTAGGAACACCAGTGGCTCTAGCTCCCTGATAGAAGAATGCAGGAGTTCCCCAACCAACACCATCAAGAGCTGACCAACCATACAATGCTGCACGCCATGTTCCATTCACATTCTTCAATTGCCAGAATGAGTGAATTACTTTATCAATTGGATCAAAAATTTCACAATGTCCTATTCAAGTACAATCATTGAAATTCAACACACAACAAATTCAACCAATGAAACACAAAGTTAAATAAATGACAAATAAATGAACTAAACTTACCATCACTTCCACTTGCTGGTAAAGTATTAGATGGCCAACGAGGAATTGTAACACTCGTTGTAGATCCACCAATATCAGCAATGGCAATGCCAGTATTTGCAGATGGACCATAAACTAACTTGGAGGTATCATCTGCAGAAGCAATGAAAACACCAGTTGAGTAAATACCTTCACCAATGGCTGGATAGAAAGAAGATTGAGGAACAGTCTTGGAATCGTCTAAAACTGGGTTGACTGGACGACTATTCCAAGGAGAGTTGGCAGAGAATGGTCTGTAAACGCTACCAAAAGGATAAGTAGCTGCTTGAATGACTGTTGTGTCATACAGGAATATGTCTACACACACAAGTCAAAAAGTCAGTTGCCAAAAATTAACTTACAAATTGCTAGGAACAATGTAACGAGTGACAATCTAACGTATCTATTAACTTTCATTGTTATTTTTTTTTTATTGCTGTTTTTATCAACTTGGAGTTATTGCACTACTCTTCAAATCAGCAAAAATGATAAGTGACAGTTGAATCGTCGAGTTTACTGAAAGGTAATGAGTCAACAACCAGTACACCAATGGAAACTATCATAATTGTATTTTTTTGGTGCATTGAATGTAACACACCTACGTTTCCGATAGTAAACTTATCCTATTTATCTTTAGATATTTTCGCTCAAAATTCTACTGGAACCTTAATACACTCAATATTGTGGTTTTTACAATATTATGATATGTACAGCTCATAATCAATCGATCATGAAATTGTACAGTTTTGAATGTTTATTGTAAAGAATTTAATTGTAAAGAATTTGTAAATTTAAAAAATATGTAAAAAATATTAAAAAAAATACCGTTACATTCAAGAGCACACACAACTCTCTCAGACAGATAATAGCATGAAAATTACCGATTTGGATCACGATTCACTAGATAACATTCTTTCCTATTGTCCCCATCGGGCATGTTATGAAATTCAATCGATGCGAGAAACATGTTCGGGATGGAATTTATTATTTCGAGGTGGAGGTGGAGAAAATACAAATTTAATAGGGAACAATGGAGCGGAATTGATCGGAGAAGGAAATTCACTGGGAAAGATGGTGAAGGAGAGTGTTAGAAGTTCAAATTTGATGAAACGAGTGGAGGAAATGTATTTGCCTCGAGTGCACTTTCGTATTTCTGTGCCAGTTAGTAATGATGATAGTGAATTGGATTCAGAAATTGTTGATGATCAATCGATTTATTGGGAATATGTTCAGGAATTTAAAAAGATATTTGGGGATTCTGTTAGAATAGTTTCGGATTCAGAGTTGGAAATTGATTTTGAAATGGAAGAAAGTGTACTGCAGAATTTGGAAGAGGTAATTGAAAAGGATGTTGCTGTTAAAAAGAAGGAGGACTTGGTGACCTATCTCACAAATCGCTCAATCAATGTTGATACTTGCAAACTTTATCATGTTGTGAAAAAAATCGAACATGAAGAGAGAGAACTATCGAAACACATTACATTGGTTGACTTGTTTAATGATTGGAAGAATCAACCTATTTTGAATAAGGAAATGAAAGTGAATCCATGTAGATTATACAAGAAGGTCATTCTTCATTTAATATTTACTAATACCTATGATACCAATACGAAAGATATTCATTTAAGCAGAGAATCAACAATAATTGCTTCAAATAGACGTGCAAAGGGATTTATATTTCCATACCGTACTAGAGATGAAATTAATTTCAGTTGGGGAAGTGTTAGTATGGATTACGAAGTAATTTACAAATTTAAAAGTAGGAATGAATCAGTAGAAGATAGAACGAGAATAATTGTGTACCATTTACTGAGAAACAAATTAATTCCTGTAATGAATGAGACACTCATTGATTTGAAAAAATTATTTAGAAAGGACTTGTTGAACTATGTCAAAACTTTGGAAAGTGAGGAGGATTTATATTACTTCCTCACTGTGAGGGAGAATATTTTGAAAAGATATAGAGATGGGCTCTTGAGTGGAAAGATCAAATTTCCAGATTTTACAAATGACAAGTTTAATTTCCAAGTTGACAGTTTCATTATTCCACAATTTCTAAATCTCGTTGGATTAGAAAGTATGGACAATAAGCAACGAGGACAATTCCTCAAACAATTATTGAAACACATTTACAAATCTCAAGTATTACTTTCAGATGAAGCCCTAGAGGAATATTTTGAAAAAATGCAAATTGAGAGAAGAGAAAAATTTGCCATTACAGAAACTGAACGATTGAATGTTAGTTTCGAGAGAATATTCTTTGAAAGAGAAACGTCTACCATTTTTCATCATTTAGTTTCCTTTCCCTCCTTTCCTTCAATTAGTTTAGAGAAAATTGATGAAGATATTCCAAAAGAACAAACTCTAACCAAATTGACCAGTACTGGTCAAATTGACAAATGTTGGACACGAGCATGTTGCATGAATAGGGTATGTGGAATCTGTAATTGTTGTGCAATATTATCATGTTGGTGTGCAACCAGTTGTTGCTGTTACACTCAAGATTCGAATGCTGATACAGTTCAAACAGTAAGAGGATTAGGATTACCAACATGGGTTGGATGGATGTTCAATTGTATCTGTTGTTATAGACATCGAATATTTCCAATGTTGGATTGTTTCAATTGTGTTAATCAATGCTTTACTGTTAAAGATGGAGTGGATGGTGTTGAATATAGATATCAGCGTATGTATCTAGAAAAGAAAAACATGTAAATACGAAACCTTTGGTCTTTCCGATAGAATTTTGCAAATGTCTCATTGTGGTGTTGACAACAGAACTGTGACGAAATAAAAAGATTGTCTTGAATTCACTTAAATTGGCAGTTCTTTATGTTGTGTGATAATAATATTTTCAAATTATCACTAAGTGAAATTTTCCCTCCATAAATATAAAGCAGTTTTAAATTTTTCATTTCCAAAAAAGATTGGGCACCTTCATCTCCAAATTTGTTAAATCTCACATCCAATTCAGTCAATTGACCTAATTCGCTTAAATATTTAGCTCCCTGATCTTCAATCATATTGCTACAAATAATTAGAATTCTCAATTATTTCATTCCACTAATAAATTTACAACCTTCATCTCCAATTGAATTCTCAGAAATGTCCAAACTAGTCAAATTCTTCATTTCACTTATTGAAATAGTTTCCGAAGGTCCAATAGAATTGTACATAATGCTTAGATTAGTCAAATTATTCATTTCACTTATTAATTTTGCCTTCGCATGGTAAATTCCATTTTCATCAATTCTCAAACTTTTCAATTGATTCATCTTTATGAGATGGTTGATTCCTGCGATTGTAAAATTATTGAATGCAATGTCAATTTCTAATAATTGATTCATCTTGCTAATATAATTCAAACCTTCATCATCTATATAATTACTACACAAGTTCAGTTTTGTTAATTTTTTGAGTTGACTAATTGATTTGGCTTCTTCGGTTCCAATTTCATTTCTATTCAAGTAAAGTTCTTCTAATTCGTTTAATTCATTAATAAACTTGGCTATTTCAGATCCAAATCTGGTACAATTAATAGATAGCTTTTTCAATTGTTTCATTTTTCTAATTGATTTCAATCCTTCAATGTCAAATTCACAAAATAGCAAATCTAGATCCGTAACTTGATTCAGTTGACTAACATTTTCTAATCCTCCAGTTGGAAACACACCATTGGTAATACTTAATGATGTTAATTGGTTTAAATTGCCTATAGATTCGGATTCCTTAACACTAATCTCGCCAAATAAACATAATTTTAAAGCAGTCAACTGTCTCATTAATTTAATGACTTGCCAAAAGTTCTCTCGATTTTTAATTCCATTAAATGAAAGTGAAATTTCGATATTCACAATTCTGTCTAGAAATTGGCTCTTCTGCAACATGGTTACAGTTTAATCACAGCAAGCTAGGAATAAAATGTCAAGTTTCGAATAATTTTTAACTATTTTAAACCATTGCTTGGAAATTAAACAATAATTATTTAGTATTAAATATGAATTATCAAGAAAGGACAAAATTTCAAAGCAAATATCATCATTAAATATTTCCTTCACCTCAGTTTCGTTTACTTTCATTTTTTTAAAATATTAATTCTAATAATCTCAAAAGCAACATCACCACTACTCGAATATATTTCACCTAAAACTAATGAGAATTTAAATGTTTCCTAACAAGTTACTAATAATTCTGTTAATTTTCCCAATTTGGAAATTGTTCATTTCCAATAATTAATTTCTCTATGAAAAAAACAGAACAACCACAAGAAATCTTTAAACTAACTATTATTAGGAATGCCCAATAATATTACTGCTACTAGCCACAAATCCTCTCCCGTTCATCATTCCCTAACTTTACAACTTGTTTCCATCACCAAAGATCCGGACACAAACTTTATTCTCGGACACAGCCACTTTATAAAAACAGTTGAAGATTTGCATGAAACCATCTTCTCTACCAATCCAAATATCAAATTTGGAATTGCATTTTGTGAAGCAAGTGGAAAGTGTTTGATTAGAACTTCAGGAAATGATCAGAAATTGATTGAAATGGCAATTCTCAATGCAAACTTGTTGAGAGCAGGACATACTTTCATAATCATGATTGAGAATGGATTTCCAGTTAATATTTTGAATTCTATTAAGAATGTTCCAGAAGTTTGTAGAATTTACTGTGCCACTGCTAATCCTACACAAGTCATTGTGTGTCAAACTGAACAGGGAAGAGGATTGATGGGTGTAATTGATGGATCAGAGTCGAAAGGAGTAGAAACTGAAGATGATGTAAAGGACAGAAAGGAATTATTAAGAAATATTGGTTATAAATTGTAAACATTTTTCAATATGACAACAGAATATTCTAGAATATTCACCAATTCTTGTCCTGTGAAGAGGAGTAACTAAACGGAGATCTCTAATGTTGTCGTGGAGTGTTATCTCTTTTCAATTTTGGAAAGTTTTGAGTTTTCTATGAATAATATCTCCAAGAGATCCTTATCGTGACAGATTCTGAAATAGTTTGTTAATAACTATTAAACTAAAAAAATAGACCAACAACGGTATGAAGAGTTCTGCTACTAATGCTAGTAGGAGGTTAACACCTATCAAGGTGAGAAGTATAAATGACACTTGTCAAGGTGAAAATTGTTTTCTTTCAGTTCCAGTAATTTATCCATCAATAAGTAATGGGAATAATTTACATATTCCAAATACAAGAAATAGGAGTAAGACATTGGGTGTACCTTCTCCATTTCCATCCTCACTTTCATTAGTCCAAAAATCAACTCGTTCGAATTCTTTAGAACTTGAAAATATTCAAACATCAACATTTCACGGATTGACAACTCCACAAAGTCAATTAATGAAAGTATTGTATTTGAGTGAGAAGGATACACCAACAGAAGAGTCAACTGAAGCAATTCCGCAACCAAAGAAAGAGTCAAATCATCATTTGACAGTTGATACCTTTGTAAATTCCTCAGCTTCTTCAAGTAGTTGTGACAGTTTTCTTTCATTAACATTTTCATCAAATCCTCAAACTCCAACCATTCCTGAAAATCAAGAACCTCAATCACCAAAAGAGGATGCATCCGACCAAGTAATTAGTGAAGGACAAATCATTTCGAGTATATTTGTGGAGATTGTTCGATATTTGATTTTACCATTCTTTGATTTTCTCATTTATCTGATTGGATTCATGCTCAACCAAGATGATACTCCAACTATTCATGTTATTAAGGCAAGTGGATCGAATTGTTCAACAAAAAAACTTTCGAATAATGTTGGTGATTTGCTTCATAATCACTTTAATCCTCCACGTATTTCTGGAGAATTGTCTGATAAGAAATTTGTAAAAGAAATTTCTTTTCAAATTCCTGAGACAAAGGAAGAGGAATCACTTTTCCAATTCAATCTATTCCAACATATTTCACATATTAGAAATAGTTTGTTTGGATGGCTCTCCACTCACAACAAAACACTCTTTACAAGAAATGGAAAGAGTTGCAGAGCTTTGGTTAGAAATGAAGTGAAACATTTGAATACTTTGGCAACCTGTGAGTTTTCCCAAGCGAAGAGTCTAACAGATCTGATTGAATATTGGAAAAAGTCTATGAATTGACCTAAAATGGTGAAGTTTAAATTGTAATTTTCTCAGAAATGAAGTTGGTGAAATTCTAGTGAGCACTCGAACTTCAAAAAACAAGCAAAATAGAAAATTCAAAAAGTAAATTCAAAAAAAATGAAAAGAAATCAACAACTCACACTCGGAGACTTTTGCAAACCATCCCAAAAGAAAGTCAAATTAACAGATCAAGGTAGCCGTAGCTCATCGGCTTCTTCCAGTAATTCTTCCGCAAATAGTACTCCTCCAATAAAAGAAACCTTCTTGATCAATGATCAAAAGAATGGAGTTCAGGTGAGATATATTCCAAATTTCCTCTCAAGACAAGAATCTACCAAATTATTCAATGTTCTACTGCAAACATGTGAATTTGAGAAGGGAAAGTTTAAGATATTTGGAAAGGAAATTATTTCGAATAGACAAATATCGGCATTTGGAGAACGTGATTATGAACCATTGTTAAAAGAGGAAAATTATTCGAAACATCATAGAAGACCAGTCCATGATGAGTGGCCAAAAGAATTGACAGATTTGAAGGAAAGAATTGAAAAGTACACTGGTGACACATTCACATTCGCTCTCATCAATAGATATGATACTGGGGAAAGCTCAATTGGATGGCATTCGGATATGGAGCAAGATATCAAGAAGGATTCGTCAATTGTTTCCATATCTCTGGGAGCTGCAAGAGATTTCAAGTTTAGACCAACTCCCAAGAAGGAAAACTCGAAGAAATCACCAACCAAGAAGGATGAAGAAAGTGAAGAGGAAGAGAAGGTTCAAACTATCACTCAAAAATTGGAGAATGGATCAATGGTGATTATGAATTATGCCACCCAAAGACACTATCAGCATTCCATTCCAAAAAGAAAGAATCTCAATTCAGTAAGATTGAACATTACATTCCGACATGTTGTGAGAAATAAACCTTGAGTTTATTTCCTTTTCAAAGATGATGTCCACTAATAAATTATTGTAAAATATTGTTGTATATTAATCCACTTGAAACTGTTTCAGAATGTTTGAAAATGTGCAATTTTCTCTCATCCCAAAAATTAACAGTCAGATTAATTCATTTCCTCCAATTCATTAGAAGCATGTTCAATTTCATCATTCACACAATCTCTGACAATATCTTGTTGTTTGCTCAATTGTCTTCTCAAATTTAAAATTCTCAACATGACAACAAAGCTACAACCAATGAATGGCACACAGAAAATCAAAGCAAACAATGCAGTCAAGATTAAAATGATATAATCAGCTTCAATATTCAACTCTGGCATTGACTTGTATCTTTCAATCATGACATGCATAACAGAAATACCAACAGCACTCAAAATAATTCTAATCACTTGAAAGACAACTGCCAAAATGGAACAAACAAACCAAACAATACTACAATAGAAACGTAAATTAGCCAAACGTAAAGCCTTTGAAATATAAATTGGATTATACTGATTTTGTTCAGCCCGTGTCAAAATTGCACCCAAAGAAGCACCAAAATCTCCCACAGCAGAACTTCCATGTAAATAAGTAGAATCTTGTGGATTTGAAGATCCTGGATACAAACTGGCAATAATTCCTCCAATCGATCCAATCATCATGAATACAGCAGTCAATAAATTAATAATCGAAACAATCACCATGAAAATTTGTAATTTCTTTGAAAGAGACTCGTCATACTTTTCCAATTCATCAGCATCAGACAAGGCAATAAATGTATTAATGGCCACAGCAAAGACAACCATAGACAAGGCAAATTTCAACAAGCAACTCAACCAGTAGAACATTAATTTTCTCGGATGAGCCTTCATGATGGCCATTGTATATTCGGAAGGCTTTGCATCTACTACTCCTGTTGCTGTTAAATTGGGATTAGGAGTATTATCCTCTTGAAGAAGGGACATGATGGTGATGGCAATTTTTTGTGTTACTTTTTAATTGTTTGATGGACGGTTGAGGATTATCTTTGGCCATTGGTATAAATTAGGAATTGTTTGAAATTACAATGAAGAAAACTAGCAATGGAGAGTACGATATTCGATATCTTGCATTTGATGATTAAAATTAATATTCATTCCGATGTGATGAAAATAATGATGATCACTGTAAAATTTTTGTATTAATTTTTAAAAAAAGATCATCACAACAAAAGAAGTTCGGAGTTTCAATTCATCATATAGTTTTTAATACAAATAATTAATACAACATAATACAACAAATAATTTAAAATACAATACATAATAACAACAGCATGACTAATATTACATCAAAACAAGTTCCTTGTGTTCTTTGTGGAAAATTTACAGCACAAGACATTCTCTTATCAACCAATAGTAGTGGAGGCTCGGATTTGGATCTTCGTCCACCTCCAATGAAAAGAGATACAATGAGTACATGGCTTCAAAGATGTGATCATTGTGGATTTGTTTCCTATGATATTAGTGTATTGCCTGAGACTGATGTAGAAAATCAACCAGAATCTCTTTCTGCTGAATTGGTAAAATCAATTATTGAATCGGATGATTATGTTGAACAATTCCATTGCAAGAGTTATCCTCGATTGGCTAATACATTCCTCTGTTATGCAATGTTGCAAGAGAGAGGATTTAAGAGTATTCCAGCTTGTGGATGGGCTTGTTTACGTGCTGGTTGGGTTTGTGATGATGGTGTTAAACATGATAAAATCAATGAGGAAAAGCACAAGGCTAATGCTATTCAATGTAGAAAGAAGGCCATTCAATGGTTTGAAAAATGCAGATCGATTGGAAAACCATTCGTTCAACAAAATGGTTCTGAGGAATTAATTTTAATGGATTTATTCAGAAGGTGTTACATGTTTGAGGATGCTTTGAAGGAATTTACACGTGCTGAAGGTAATAAGAAATATATTGATGAATTTGTTTGGAAATTGCTTGAATTTGAAAACCTTCTTGTTGAACAAAAGGATGTGGATTGCTACAAAGTCTCCGATGCACAAATTTGTTTCAAAAAGGATTAAATTGTATTTTAATAATTCTTTTACATGACCTAGAGTTTTACTTTTCATCCATACGCAAACAACCATCCCAAACAGTACCAGTTTCGATAAGGTTTTTACAAAAGTCAATCTTTTGCATAACAAGATTATCCTTCCATGTAATATGTTCAAAGAATGCAAGACCTGCAAGAGGATCACATTTTTCAAGCAATTCATCAATGCCACTGCAATACAGTGACAAGTCCTTTTCGAAAAATGTTTCAATTTGCTTGTTAGGAATGTCACAGCGATCGAGAACAGAGTAGCATGGCAAGTAAGTGTCCTTTCCTTTCACTGCAACATTATCAACTTTTCTGAATATCATTTCATCTACAGAGATTTCATCAATGTTCAAACTCTTGAACAATCCCAAATTACGTTGCTCTGATTTGGAAATGTGTTGCTCTCTACCTTCTTGTTCTAACATTTGGAATTGGGTGACTGTTTGGTACATTGTCTCTGTGACAAGGATTTCAGTACCATATCTCTTATTGAGACTTTCTAATCTTGATGTGGTATTAACAACATCTCCTAGAATGGTATATTGGAAACGAGAATTACTTCCAAAATTACCTCTCTTAACAGGACCACAATTCAGACCAATACGACATTCTAATTGAGGTAATCCTTCACGTTCCCAAATTTTCCACATTGATTTGAGGTATCTAACACTTGCAAGAGAAACTTGACAAGCAATTTTAATTTGCTTTTGTAAGCCTCCATATTGACATTCATAGAACTGTATATTTTTCAAATATTATTATTTCTGCTTTAATACTTACAGACACTTGCAAATGTAAATAATCCACTGAATGAAGTAATAATACTTACTGACACAATCGCCAATATATTTGTCCAGAATTCCTCCACCATCTAATACCAAACTGGTGAGACCTTCAAATGCATCTGACATGACTCTTACTAACTGGTTTGGTGTCAACTTTTCACTGTATGAAGTAAAGTTCTTAATATCAAGGAATGAAACAACACATAGAATATCTTCAAGACCTAGCACTGCAGTCTTTCTGTTGGTCATCAACTCTTGGGATACACAAGTTGGAACGTATTTAGTGAAACTGGTAATGTTACAGTGAATGCCTCTAAAGTTTTCAGCAAGATCAGCAATTTCTTTATAGCTGCTTTTGATGGCCATAGATTGATTCACTCCATCTGAGTTTAATTTTAAGGTTCTTACATCTCGGAAACTATCAGTCAACTGTCTAATGGTTCTCATAAAGCACCTATCCACAATCATCAAAGAAGTGATAGCAGCCACAATAGTACCAATTGGTACGAGCATTACAAGAATGGCCATGAATCCTGTGCTGCTGTTATCTTCATAACTTTTAACCATTATCAAATTCCAAAAACCATCATAGACACTATTTTGAAGGGAGAAACCTGAAGATACCAATGAAGAACTGGCCAAATCTACTCTTACCACAGCTCCTGTAAAGGTTGAAATGAAAGAAGAATCAATCTTGTATGAATTAGGTGAGGTTGTGGTTATCAGTGGATTGTTATTCTTAACAAGAACGAATCCATATTGAGGATCTGATGTTAACAATGTTCTAATGTAGTCCTCACTCAAAATATAACCAATGCATCCATATGACTCATTATTTGAATTGTACAGTCTTTTGGATATGGCTCCAATGTTAGAGGAAACTACAGGCTCTATAATTGTTGTTGGAGAAATAATCTTCATCTCTAATGTTGACTCTGAACATAATTGAGCAAGTATTGGTTTTGTGACAATGAGGGAACTGAGCGAGGTATTTACAGATGGCAGGCTAGTCAGTTTTTTTTCAATGAGATAGTTCTTAGCATCAGCAATACCAATCTCTTGAGAGAGTTTCTCCTTGTCAGATAATGATTGAATTATTGTTTGGAAATTGATAGTACTTGATGAAAGAGTCTTGGTAGCAATCAAATCATGAGATGAATCATATGAAATGAAAATTCCTCCAATTTCATGCCCTAGAACAATATTCTTTTGTAATAATAAGTTTCTTATCAATTCAACTTGGGAATAGGAAGAAAGAGATTGAGATATGGAGTGAATTTTCAATTGTGAGATTAAATCTTCCAAATCTCTTGATAGGCTATTTACAACATACTGGAGAGCTCTACCAGTTTGAACATTTTGACTAGACATGAATGAATTTGTAGAATTGGCTGAGAGTTGAAAATGTACACCTAGACAAACAACCCACACAATGAGAGTTGTTAGAAATACAAGCGAAACGCTTAGACATGTAACTGTGAGTGGAATGCTACAAAATCCCTTTCGTTGCTTCTTCTTAGCTCGGATGGATTCCAATTCAATAGGTCGAACACCAGGACTTGCAATAAAGCTCTTGGAAGAAACGAGCCCTCTTCCCATTGGACCGCCATTACTCACCCTCTTTAAACGAGCAGAAGGCTTTACCGAAGAATTCAACCCTCCCGAGACTGAATATATCGATTGCACACTTCTTCTCATGGAAGTCACAGAGTTGGTTAGTACTTGATGTAAGGATGGTGTAGGGCTTCCAATCACTTCAATATTCTTCATGGAAAGCGTCTCTTCATCATGAAGGGTTCTTGATGAGTTAGTAGACATATTGTACAATTAAGGCTAGGAAATATTATGAAGGTATAATGATAACTATTAAAAATCACACACAATACTATTAGTATAATTAGTAGCGAATGTAATGAACAAGATGAAAATAAGAAACCCAAGTTCTTATTGTTATATTATTACTCACAATAGAAAGTCAGTTTCCTCTTCCAGAACAAAATACCAACCGACGACGACCGTTTTAAATTGCTGCTGTTGCTGCTGATAAAAGCAAGATAATCGTGTTGCGTTTGCGAGCTATTGATTGCGTGCGTTTTTTTTAAGGTTGAGGAGCGCAATTATGAGTTCTTCTCTTCGCCTTAATAGGAGCGTATTTTAGGAAATAGTGCCTTTATTTGGCGTAATCCGTATACGATTAATAGTCTTCAGTTCATTTCTTTCTTGGTATTAAGATTTAATACATGTTGTATTCACTTGGACCAAAAGCTTGTATTGAAAATCAATATGAGAGGATGGCACCATTCATTACATTGGTTATGGAATAAAATATGAATATTAACGTAAAAAGCTTCTTCGACCAACTTGTCTTTGAATTACGAAATACTTTTGGGTCACCAATTGACAGTGGAAGTTTGCTCTAAAAACATTTACCACCTTGATACTTGTATTCCTTATTTCAATATATGTGAAATTATTAGAAGTTTCTAAGATACTGATAATAATCTCAACTTTTCATACTGCAAACTATTGTAATATCATCTCGTTTGGAGCTTTTATCTCGCAAAATTCCATTTTCTTCTGCTTGTTCCATAAATGGTGTTGTAACAGATTGATCATTATGTGATTTCATAATTCTTCTTGTATGATTGCATAGTTCAATACACAAACCTGCCATATTATCTTGATATTATCATAATATTCGAATCTCCTAAATTACAAACTCTCATCTCTTTTTCAGTCAATTGAGCACAAACAAACAGTTGTACTTCCCTTCTCAACTAACTTTTCTTCAACCATCCATTCAAGCAATAGATGCCAAAAAGGCTGTAGTTTCTTCTCCTTTGATCGATTCAGGGAGAAAACCAATAGTTTAGTCGAATATAATGAATTGTGCTTGCGTAGATTCATGCCCATTTTCATGAAATGGTAAAGAGCTGATGTATAAAAAATGCAATCCTAACCTAAACTTATTTAATTAGTATCCAATCATTTAAGTAATAACTTTAATTTTCTAATTTCTTCCTCAAGTTCCTTGATTCTCATATTTTCCTTTTTAAGTTCCTTATTTTCTTGTTTTAATTTTTCATTTTCCTCGACTATTTGAGGAATCTCCTTCAGTTCAGATATTTCACTATACTTATCTTCCATTTCCTTTTGAATTAATTCAATACTTTCTGAACTATTATCTTTCAAATAATTAATAACTCTTAAAAGGATTGTTCTGTGAGTGTAGCACATCAATCTCTTATTGGGATCTTGTTGAATCATGGTAATTAAGCATCGTGTTAAGATTGTATTCACACCAAAATTAGGATCTATATATTGATCAATTGTTTTTTGGATGGCGTGGTGTAATTTCTTTTCTCTCAATAACTCCGTCAATACTGTATGAAAATAAACACCATCCCACACAAAATATCGATACTGCTCGGCATATTTCTGTACATTCGCATCTTGTAAAAACTTTTTATCCAACATTAATGAACTATTTGTCAATAATTTCAGTAAAATACATCCCATTGAGAAAATATCACTCATAGTTGAAATATTCCCAATATTTTGAACAAGTTTGCCATCATCGAGTAATTCCTCTCTATAACTGGCTTGAGAGACTTCAGGAGACATGTAACTTAACTTTCCAATAGTCAATGTGATAGATTTTCCAGTCTTGGCCACTTTTGCGATGTCAAAGTCAATAATTTTGTATTGATCTGAAACTTTGACAATATTCTTTGGATCTAAATCTCGGTGAATAATATTATGGTCATGAATGGTTTGCACCGAGTAGAGTATTTTTGTGAATATTGTTAATATTTCAATTAAATAATCTTTGGTAATAGACTTTTGTGTATAAACCTCACTATTTCTATTAATGTAATCAGACAAAGATTCCTCTCCTATTTCCATAACTGTATATAGATGATTACTAATTTGATTAGCTTCATAACATTTAATTTTACCCTCAATATCACTTTTAAGAAAGTTGATTCTCTCTTGGGCAGGAGCTACGTCTAAATATTCATAACTAATTTTAAAAGCAACATATTGATTAGTCTCCTTATTGAAAGCTTTAAATACAACTCCTTCAGCTCCATATCCTAAAACTGATACCAGCTCATAAACAATATTTTTTTGGTCTTTTGAGTAATTGTAATAATCTTTGATTATTCGAATGATTTTTAAATATTCATTACTACATTCGTTATATTTGGCTATTAACTCTCTAGGGTTATCAAAAATAGTCAAATCTGATGTCCACTCTTCATAAAAATGTAATATTGGTTCAACCTCTTTATCTGAATAATATACTTCAAATTTAGAGGCAATATCATCAACAACACTCTTAATATTTGAAAAATAGGTTGAGTTCAATTTTGATTGATATTCTTCAAAAAACTTATATAATTTAAAGCAAAATAAATAGTAATCAAAAGTCTTGAATATGTGGGGTTTAGAAGATGGATTAATTGAGCTGATATTTTTCAATATTTGAATAATGATTAACTTTTCAATAAACTTTGGAGAATAATTAGATCTAAAATTAAGAAAGTTTGGTTTCTCATTTGGAAATATGTCTTTAAAGAACAAATAACAGAATAGATCATTTTCCTCACAGAATTTCTTGTTATAATATTCAACAATACCTTTGGATAGTTTTTGATTAATAGAATTGGTATCAACTTTCTTGAGGAATTTGTATTTAGCGGTTTTAGATGAATACTTGTTGGGTAGTGAGCTGATGATCTTCATATCTTTTTTCAATGATTCATCTGCATATTCGAGTACATATCCATCTTGTTTAACAGCTTTCAATATAAATTCTCTATCTTTTTTAAATGATTCATCTGCATATTCAAATGCTCTTCCATGTTGTTTAACAGCTTCCAATATAAATTCTCTATCTTTTTTAAATGATTCATCTGCATATTCAAGTGTATATCCATCTTGTTTAACAGCTTCCAATATAAATTTTCTATCTTTTTTCAATGATTCATCTGCATATTCAACATATTTCCATTTTGTTTAACAGCTTCCAATATAATTTCTCTATCTTTTTTCAATGATTCATCTGCATATTCAAATGTACTTCCATTTTGTTTAACAGCTTCCAATACAATTTCTCTATCTTTTTTCAATGATTCATCTGCATATTCAAGTGCATATCCATTTTGTTTAACAGCTTTCAATACAATTTCTCTATCTTTTTTCAATGATTCATCTGCATATTCAAGTGTATATCCATTTTGTTTAACAGCTTTCAATACAATTTCTCTATCTTTTTTCAATGATTCATCTGCATATTCAAGTGCATATCCATATTGTTTAACAGCTTTCAATATAAATTCTCTATCTTTTTTCAATGATTCATCTGCATATTCAAATGCTATATCCATCTTGTTTAACAGCTTTCAATATAAATTCTCTATCTTTTTTCAATGATTCATTTGCATATTTAAGTGCATATCCACCATTTTGTTTAACAGCTTCCAATACAATTTCTCTATCTTTTTTAAATGATTCATCTGCATAGTAAAATGCTAATCCATTTTTTTAAACAGCTTCCAATACAGACTGACGAGTATTCAAAACCATTTCTTCCAGACAATGTGTGACAAGCTTCTGCTTCAATCAATATTTTTTTGAATTTTCAAACGTGATGGCGATAAAATTTTGATGACCACAAGCCTACAAACTCCTCAACATTCTTTTTAATTTTTTATCGAAAGAAAAGAAGGAAGGAATACAAAGTTGTGATTCTCACTCCAGGAATTACCAAGAATTAATACACTATTGGATGAAAGGAAAAAACAGAAAATTCTCTTGCTAATCATTTCCCTACCACAGAATTCTTTGTCCTGTGCAGTTCGTTGTTCCATCACAGAAGCAAATAAAAGGCAGAAAATTATGAAAAAAATGCAAACAACAACTTGAAAATATTTTGATAGGAAGAATTTGCACTTGGTGCGAAAAGATAAGACAATAAGAAGAGCTGAATAGAAAATGTTTAATTTTAATAGAAATAACAATACTAGTAATAATGCTGGTAATTCATTTTCGACAACATCATCATGGATGAGTAATAGTACATCATCATCGTCAAATGGTGTAGGAAGTGTAGGAGGTTTTACTTTTAATACCAACAAGCCAAACACCAACACCACTACTGGAACTTCTTCTCTGGGATTCGCAACAAATTCCTTCTCTACTAATAATAATACCAGTGGTGCTTCCACCAATGGATTTACTTTTAATACTTCTGGTAATAACAACACAAATAATACTATGTTTCCTAATAATAATAATACATTGGGAAGTGGTGCTTCTATTGGTAACAGCATGTTCTCTACTGTTGCTACTACTACTAATAATAATAACAATAATAGCATGTTCAATACCAATCCATTCACCACCACTAATAACAACACCAACAGCATTACCACGAATAATAATAACACTACAATTCCTTCGTCATCATTTGCTGCCAATAGTAATCCGTTCACTTTTAATTCTTCAGCAACAAGTGGTTTTCCATCATTCTCCAATAATAACAACAACAATACTCTGAATAACAACAATGGTAAATTAACATCTTTCCCTTCCTTTGTACCAACACCTTTCACTACTACCTCTGGAGAAAAGGTTAAATACTACAGCTTGACCAAGATGGATCACTACAAGAATAAGTCATTCGAGGAATGTAGACACGATTATTTAAGTGCTCAAAAGAATGGTACTCTTCCACAAACAACATTATCAACCTCCACAACAGCAACTACTGGAACTAATTGGTTGAATTCTAGTACCAACAATACTACTACTGCCAATAACACTAATAATTCCACATGGTCAATGCCATCAATTTCAACAAATAATTCTGTAAATAATTCCAACCCTGCATTCAATTTTGGATTGAATAGTTCTACCAATAATAACAGTAATACACTTGGTAGTAATAATAGTCTCGGAAGTGGATGGTTGTCAAATAGCAATAATAATAATACCAGCTCAATGTTTAATAACAACACAAATAACAATACCACTGGTAATAATATGTTTGCAAGTGGTAATAATTCATTGATGGGAAATAACACTGCTACCAATACTACAAACAATAATAGCATGTTCTCTTCTGGTTTCAACCCAACAGCAACAAGTGGAACATCCAATTTTAATTTTAGTAATGGTACTAGTGGAACAGCAACTAATAATTCCACATTCACTTTTCCTTCAACAGCCAATTCCAACACAGCCCAACCATCCATGCTCAATCTTGGCAATTCTACAAATAATAATAACAATACTTCCAGCATGTTCAATCTTGCTACTTCTACTAATAATACTTCGAGTCAACCTTCTCAACCATTCACTTGGAATGTATCATCAAGCAATTTGACATCTAGCAATCCTACAACAAACTTTATGTCATCTTCCTTCCAACCTTCAACAACCAGTGGATCTAATTTCAATTTTACGAATACAATGACTGGAGCTAATTCAATTACTAACAATATGATGTCAACAGCAACTGCTCCAATTAATACAGATGCAACATTACTTTCTGTATTGAATCAACCATATGGTGAAAATTCTCTCTATGATGAAAAGTATCAACCATCATGTGGTGTGTTCAAGTTGGATACTGAGGATGAATCAACAAAAGATGATACCACCACAAAGGAATCTACTTCAAACTTTGTTTCTAGACCAAGATTGGGAAAGGTCAAAAGGTCAACTCTCGCAGAAAAACTCACACTCATCAATACTCAAGCACAAATTGAGGAAAAGAAACAAACACAAGAAAATTTATTTGATGATCTTGCATTTAGACACAAGAATAGCTTGAAGGAGTTGACCATCTTTCCAAACAATGTCTTTAAGAAGTATGAAAAGCCAATTGATCATTCTGTTGAAGATAGAGTCATTGTTAATGAAGAAAGAATCAGTAATACAATTGTTGTCAAGACAACATCACATCAATCGCAACAACGTAGAGCCTCTCCTCCATCAAATACTGATCTCGTAAAGCCAAAACCAATCAAGGGAATGATTTTCCAAGATGCTGTAGAACTCCATACAAAGAAGGAACAAGTAACAGTTCCAAAATTCTTGCCAAAGCTTACCAAGGAAGGATATTACACAATTCCTTCAATGAAAGAATTAAGCATGATGAGCACTGCTGATTTGAAACATTGCAGAAACTTTACTGTTGGAAGATATGGCTATGGAGAAATTCAAGTATTGGGAAATCTTGATTTAACAAAGGGACTTGATTTGGATCGTATTATTTGTGAAATTGAACAACATCACGTTGACTTGTACAGTAATCACTCACCAAATGAAAAGCCACCTGTTGGATCTGAATTGAATAGACCTTGCATTATTACTCTCTTCAATGTTCATCCATCACAAAACAACAAGTCAACATCAACACCACATGAAAAGATTACTCAATTCCAAGCCAAACTTAAGAAGGCAAACCAAAAGACTGGAAGTGAATTTATCAATTATTCTAATGGTGAATGGATTTTCAAGGTTAGCCATTTCTAATAAATATAACCATCTCACTTTCATGATATCAAATATTCGATTATTCTTCTTTTATCCAATTCAATTTCATTCTTCATTTCTATTACCAAAAATCGAATCATTGTAAAACTTTAATATTTTAAAAGGTCATCAATGTGTTATACAACATCCCTGAATGGTGTAAGATTAGACAATTTATTGTGCATTCTCTTAATATTATTGTGTATTGTGGATGATTACAAAAATTCGGGCTTTCTCCAATTTGACCTCACCTGACCATTTTTACAGTCATAAAGCCGATTCTGAACGAAACTGTTTGAACAGTTGGCTCTCAATATTCGAAACCGGTTCAGCGACTTGGTTATTGAATTTACCTTTCATTCTAAAGAAAAAAGCAAAGTTTATCTGGTAACACATTTTGCAGTTTCGTCTCCTCTTGCAAACGCTTTTAATTGTTGTTATTGTTTAGAATATTTTCATTAATTCTAAATAATATTCAGAAGAAATATCTTCCGCCTCTTCATATTCTCTCATAGCACTATCTGGAAAGCATTTTATGAGATCCTCTTCAAACAAAACCAAAATACGAAACTAAACGAAACAACAAAATGACAGATCTAACCCAACAACAATCTTCATCATCTAACAACAATAACACAGCAACCTCACCATCAAACTACTTTCAAATTTCCTCTAATTTTCGTCGAAGATCTTCCGCGAGTAATCTTTCACCTCGAAATCAGCAATCGAGTTTCGAATTATTTACTTCACCACAAATACAACAACAACAACAATTTAATGTTCCAGCTAATAGAAATTCAATGAGTTTATTTCTCATTCCACCACCTTCTCTTTCACAACTTTCGAATAGTAAATTTGCAGCTGCAACAACAACAACTTCACCCATGTTTGAAATGATAAATTCATTTACGCTGACAACAGTATTCTCACAAATGATAGTGTATGGAAATAGTCTAATGATCGAAGAAAGGCCAACTGTTTCGACTATGGTTTCGTCCTTTGTTTCGAATACAAATTCAGAGCTCAAACTTCCAATTTCAGTACTTGAAATATCCAACCTATATTCCATCTTGTTAGTAGTCATTAAAAACATGCAAGATTCCCATAAGAAAATAATAGAACTCGTGGAATGGCAAAAATCATTGAGACAACTTGGAGTTGTGCCAATTTTAGTTTTACAAAATACGAAACAAGAATTAGACGAATTTTTGGAAGGAAATCAGTGGAATGGATATTCTATTGATGTAAATAACATGATGAGAGTTTCAGATTTGAATTTTGAATTGACGAAACAATTGTTTGAAAATACGAATAGTCCACTTTCGAATGAGCAACAAATTGATAGAGAAATAGTCGAATCTAAAATGTTTCTCATTAGAAATGGTTCAATAGTTTGGGAATCTTCAACAAAACCTGAAGATCAAGTTATTGGAACTATTCTGTCGACTGTCGTTTTGAAACTTCCTTGGTACGCCATGTCAACTGATGAAATTTCATCAGACGAAAGTCAACACGCCCTTCAACCACTTTCTACAGTCAATAATTCATTGAATAATTTGAATCAATCCTACAAATCATCATGTTCACTTTCGTCTGGAGGTTTACGAAACTCTATTCGATTTGAAAATGGAGCTACATCACCTTCCAACTCTTCCACAAGTGTAGGTGGCATTTCTGCCTCCATTCGAATAGGATCTCTCGTCAATGACCATAACAGTTTCATAGTTCCTGCTGGATTATCTCTCCATGGTGCTATGAGTGTTCTCCATACCATTTCGAATAACAATTTTGGAAATTCAGAGGATGAAGTTTCTTGTGAGGATGATTTCCAATTTCCAGAAAATCAAAATCACCTCCAAATGGTTCAACTCCCTTCAGATAATAATTTTGAATTCACTCAAGCAAAATCAAATAGTCAACCAACACCAGTTGACCAAAATAATAAGGAATTAATACTAATTACAGATGAAAATGAAATTAGCTTCACTCCAAAAGCAACTCCAACTCCATCCAGTCAATTACTCTTTCACAAAGAACAATCCTTCACCTCCACCAATACCAATAATACCACCACGAGTAGTGACAAGATGACAGCATCAACACATCACACCATTGGTACTCCTCTATTAGGAGCAGATTCAAGATACTGTTCCAGCATTGCCTCCATGAACTCGACACTCATTGAAACATCTGCCTCTTCCCTCGATTTAACAACCTTAATGATGCCACCAAGTCCAAACTCAATTTCCACAACAACTTCTGCATCTCCTGCATCTGCTGAAACTCTTATTCAAAATAGAAAACTATCAATCTTTCAGAAATTGAGAGGAAGAAATGATATTGAAAAGATTGCAAGTGAACAACAGAAATTGGAGAAGGAAATGCAAATTGTCAAGAAGAAGGAGATTGTGTCGAGATCTCAGAATAATTTGTATGCAGAACAGTCGATTGCAACAAGAGAGAATGTGACGAGTGGGAGAAGATCGATTTTTTCATATTGTTTTGGATCGAAATCTAGTCAACCAGCAACGACAAGTGAGAAAACACTTGTCATGTATGATCCAGTTGAGAGTCATTTATCTGAAATGTATCAAGTGATGCATGATGACATGAAACGTCAATATTTCAAATTATTTAGTTTGAAACAGTTCAATGCTGAAAATTTACTTTTTTGGGAAGATGTCAAATTATTTTACAAGAAAATTGTGGTTGAACTGAAACGACAACATGTTACCAAACAACGATTTTCACTCAAATCTTCTCAGATTGATGTCAGTCAAACTCCAATTCTTTCAAATGTCAACATTTCAAAAGAGTCAATTATAGAACTACATGACAAGATTATGAAAATGGCAAAATACATTGCCGAGAAGTATTTATATGAAAAAGATAGTGTCTACTGTCTAAATACAAGTAACAAAATGATTGAACAAGTCAGTAGTCGAATGACACTTGAAGGTTTGGAATTTATTAACATTAGTGAAAATATTTTTGATGATGTGGTTATGGAAATTATCAAAACTGTACTGCCAGATATGTTTTGTCGATTTGTACTTTCGAATGAGTATGAAGAAATGCAAAGAGTTTTACAAGTTTCTAACAATCTATTCTAAGATCAACTTTTGAATGGCGAATTATACCCAATTACAATGATTTTGAGGAATGAATTAAACAGATTCAAACAACATTATCATTGTAAAATGTTTAAGGATGACCACTTTAGTTTACTTTCGAATAAATTTGTTGATTGCCTTTCCCAGTTTTGAATGACCACTATTGAAAGAAATGGCTCAATGACCAACACCACCATTATCTTTCACAATGTTAATAGATTGTCATCTCCAAAGACGTGTCGCTTTCTTGAATGCCACCTGTCATTTAGAACCTAAAAGGCAAGTCTAAAAAAAGAGACGTGCAGATGACTCGGCACTTTTCTGACAATGATTGTTAAAGAGGATGATTGCTTAAACAAACATCTGCATTCCATAACGAAGGTTGTGGCGAATCTAGACGAAACCAATTTCATTTCGAATAACTTTCATAATTGTTTGTTATAAAAAAAAGAAAATGACTGAAGTAAAACAAAGCAGCCGATTCTTTCATAAACCTCTTCCACCACCAATTCCAAGGTAAGTTTCAAATGTTCATCAAATCTCATCGAAAATATTCGAAAGTAGAGAATCCTTATCACCAAATCAACACAACTTTCCACTACAACAACCATACTCTCAAAATTCACAACAATTGACAACCACAAAAAAATATCAACAACAAATGTCAGATGTTTCTAATAATCAATTAAACGAAACTAATGGAAAGGAAACGATTGTTCAAGATTATTCATATAACCATCTACCAGATTTGGAAGCCACATTCCCGTCCAATCCTGTCATTATGGAGGGTTTTATAATTGACACTGATCAACAAGAAGAAAAAAAAGAATCGACCATGCTTTCGAATAGTTTGGACGAAACTTTTGCCGAAAGTCCTACAAACGCAGGAGTGAGTGCTTCTCAACTACTCATGGCACAGAAAGTTAATCTATTCGAAAGTATTCTTTCCAAGAAATCAGTAAGTCTTCCTGACTTTGGAGCTATTGAAAGTCAAAAGTCTAACCTGTCATTAGATTTAGATTCAGAAACAAGTGCAAATTCCGACACTATCACAGACTATTTCTTCGTTAGAAATGTCAACACTGTAAATATCGATGATCTTGTCCAATCTAAATTTGGAAACTGTCAAATGTTAGATCATGACTTGATTTTTAATGAAAATTTAAGAAAGATTAGAAATAGATTTAAACCAATCTATGAAACACTCTTAGAAAATGATGCTCTTTATAATGGAAATCAAATTGACAATTTTTCATCGTACAGTTTAGGAAATGTTGAATTTGAACAAATAATGTCATCATTTTCAACGAATATTCAAGAATATTGTGAATATGAATTGAAGTATATGCATGATTTCTTTAAAACTGATTGTCCAAATATTATTCAATCTCTACCATTGATTATTTCATTGAAAAGTTTGACAATTGATGAATTGAAATGTACTGTCAATGTTTTAAAGAAAGTTTTGACATTGGGAGCATATACTCATCCTGAGAAGGTTTTGGTTTCTCAGAGTTTGGCACTTCCTGATCTATTCTGTTATTTATTCTTTGATAATCCAACAAAAAGTCAATCAGAATTGAATAAGGCACTTATTAGAAATAGAAGTGATTCGAATGGAAGTGATACTTCAAGTGAATCTGTTCGTTCTTCATCCACTTCTCCTTCATTGTTGAGCAAATTCTTTTCTAGAAATAGGAAAAAGAATTTGAAATCATCTCCAATTGTTTCTTTTGAAAAGGAATTGATGTATTTACAAATTTATTTAATTATTTTTGAATTTTCAGAATCAGATATTGTTGAAATACCTCATGGATATGAACACAATGTGTATAGGTAAGTGATTTTAGAATTTAATTTCCATTTATGGTATTTTCCAAATTTGGAATTTTAAATCTTTATTAGAACTGCAATCGGTGTGGGTAATTGGATACTGGAATGGAAAGAAAATTCACTTGTCATTCCTTCACGTAAAACTACATTCAAATTTAATCATAATTATCATTGCATTCCACTTAGAAGAGTTGAAGGAGATTTGATTATTGAAAAATTACTTTGTAAACTTTCAAATTTGTGTTGTTTGTGGAATGGCAATTATGTTTACGACTTGACACGTTGTAATCATCAACATTTCGTAAGAGATGTCATTGAAATGTTAGATCAAGAATGCATTTCAACAAAACTTTATTTATTTGATCAACCAAATGATCAACCTGCTAAATTATCAACTTCATTGAATGATAATATTTCAGTTGGAAGTCAATCTTCCACTAGCTCTACACCATCAATCAAAATTGGTGGAACTTCAGAATTTGGAATGAGTGTTGACAGATTTTTACAATTCATTCAAAGAAATGGTTATGCTCCATTGACATTTTTCATTAATGATCATGTGAAAGAGGTTTTATATGGTAAGAAATTGAGTCAGATGAAGAAATCGAGATCATCTCCATCCACTTCACCTCACAAACCAATTTCACAATTGAATATTTCAAATAGTAATGAGAATAGTCCGCTCTTAATTAGACCTCCACAACCATTGAATTTATCCTCCTGGAATGGATATTTCAATAGAAATGAGGAGCTTGATGAGTACAATGAGAAGGAATATATTGTCTTTAAGGAACATCGTGAGCTTGACAGTTTATACTTTCAAATTAAGAATGCTTTTGGAAGTGTTGAATACTTTAAAGTTCATCCAGAGGGAAAGTGGGATTATTGGTTATTGAAATTGTTGGATCGTGGCTTTTGGACAAGAATTACACATTCCCAAGAGAAAATTAACAGAGATCAGAAAGATTATCCTCTCACCAAGTTGAATGCAAGAGTAACTCTTCACAAGGAATCTTTGGAAAAGTTGATGGAACAGAAACATGCCAATATAGTCATCAAGACTAATTTAATGTTCCACGAAAAGGAGGAATGTAATTGCCCATTCAATTGGGATACTTTGAGCACTTTGGAAATGGACATGACTGCCAAATTACCTGACACTACATTTTTAGGGGATTACGAACCGCCAGTCCCACACAAGAGAAGTTGGATTATTACTTCAAATAATAGTGTTATTTTGTAATTTACAAAACACAACTATTAAATTGTATTATTTTTACTATTTACAAATTTGGAATATTTCAGTGGCGTGTTTACAAAAAGTCTTCTTCTCTAGTCTTGTCAATATTCATATTCTTCAAGTCTCCACGATTGATAAACTTGTTTTGAGGTAAATCTGATGCACAAATTGGTGGATCTTGTAATAACTCTTCGGCAAAGTCTGTGAAATGAGGAGTTAGTGGTTTGCTGTTGGTATTAATTGATTTTGAAGGAAAGTATTTTCTATGCTTTGTTGGTTGTCTCATTTTGTTTTAAATTGTTTTTCATAGTTTTCCATTACCAATTTGTTAAAATAGGTTTTTCGTGTATGGAAATTTCTATAAATGGAAACTTTCTATATCAATTCATTTCTATTTTTTCCAATACCTTCCGTGCTTGCAATTTAAGTGAAGATAACTTTTCAATGTTTTCATAATTCTTCTCATAAACATTGGAAAAACCGTACAATGCTCCATACCAATTCAATGCAATGGCCCCTGTAGTGTCAGAATCGCCTCCATGAAGACAAGCTCTCTTTACCAATTGTTCATATTGATTAGGACCAGAGGAGAGAAGTGCATCATAGGCCACAATGATGGAATCATCACCAGAACTACCTGCCCACCCAGAGAATGAATAGGATTTGTAATACTTGTCTCGCTCAATAACTCCATATTTTTCAGGGAATTGAGGTTTGATTGCTTCTATGTTTTCATCGGTGAATGAGAGAATGCCTCGTTCTCCGAGATATTTCTTGAACTTTTCTTCAAATGCTTTTAAATCTGGCTCAATTGACTTCCAGTTTCGTTTAGAAACAGATTTAAGGTAATATCTACACTTTGGAAGAATGAATTCCAAAACCAAATATCCCCACAACTTTGGTTCTATTTGTTTGATTGCAAATGAGGCGAATAATGCACTTTGCAAAGCTCCCATAAATCCTACAACGTGATTATGAGTCAATCTTCCAGATTCAATTCCAATAGCAATTAGCAAATCCAAATTATCATGAAATGCCAATCCAATTGACATTGCTCTCATACTTCCCCCACAACCTCCTCCTCTAGAATCATAATTCAATGAATCCCACTTATTCTTCCTTGTTTGTTTGATATAATTGATGGAATCTCTGCATTTCTTTCCTGGAGATCTATCTCCCATATCTTTCCAACATGCAACATATTCCTGAACCATCACAACCATAATCTTATCAACCAATTCCATAAATCCTTCATCTTTGAATCCAATTGAAAGCTTTGGTGTGAGAATTTGATTCAAATCTTTGTGAGTCAATGTTTTTAGAGTTGCCAAATGAAAGATCGTATCATCAGATACTTTCCATGTCTTGGTATCGATATTTGCAATCTTTCCTCCAAATTCATCTTTCAATTCCTTATGAATTCTCTCTCCAGAGAAGTTAAACTCCCACGTTCCATTCCTATATCCAATCGCATCACCAACAGCAGTCAATACACAACTAGCTTCAATTCTCTCCGCTAAGGAAGGTAATGAATCTTTATTAATCTTCCTATCCAGCAAATTATTTACAGTAGCTCTATCGCAGATTGATTGATCACCATTTGATACATTTGATGAAGCTGTAGAAAACAATTGATCACCATTTGATGGTGAGTGTGCTTGTTGAGACATTTTTTTCAACTTCCCAACCAAATCTGCCAATTTACTGTAAATAAGTAAATTGGCGCCAAAACTAATCTGAAGAATCCTTATAGAGAACATGTTTTGGATGTTCCATTAGTAGAAGTAGTATTACATGAAACAAAATCTTTGAGTGGCAGTAAATCTTCAGAATCAATTTTCAGTTTCTCCTTAATTTTGTACTTTTCAGTGCTTGGTTGAAGTTCCATTGTAACAATTTGACAATTTTGAAGATTCCACAAGGCATGGAAGGTATCTACTGACCACTGGAAGTATCTCATTAAAAATAATCTACAGGTCAATCCGTGTGAAACTAGGACATAATTTTCATAAGGTTGTCTCTGATTTTCCATACTTCTGAAAAGAGATCCACAAAAACTAGACACTCTACAATAGACATCACTTCCACTCTCCCCTGAAGGAAATCTATAATAGAATGATCCGAATCTTCTCCTTTCCTCTTGTCTAATTTTGATATCTGCTGGATCTTGGAAATTTCCAAAATCTTGTTCTCTCAATCTTGGATCTTCCTTTACAGTTACATTTTCCATTCCTCCAAAATGGTTAGCAATTCCTTCAAATGTCTGAACTGATCTTCTATATGGACTCACAATAAAGATAACAGATTCATCACCAATAATTTCCTTCAATTTCTTACCAGCTTCATCAGCTTGTTGAATTCCCTTAGCTGTCAATTCAATCTTATTATCTGGTTTAATTGAATAAATATGCGAATTAATATTTCCTTCACTCTCACCGTGTCGGATTAGAAAAATTCTTTTCGGTTTGTGATATAATTGATGATGATGATGATGAATATGAATATTAGTTTCCGAGCCTCCTCCTCCGACAGATGAAACAGAATTTGTAGACTCGTTAAATCGTCCTAAAGTCCTCTCATCTCCATTTAATAATTCCATTTCTTCCTCATCGTGTAAACATCCAATTCTTGCTTGTCTCTGATATTTATTTTTGGCATAGTAACATCCAAGGGCAAAACTTCCAGCCATTAAACAAGCTCCGGTAAAGGCACCAACAAGAAATTCTTTAGAGAGAAGTGATGATTGTTGTTCAGGCATTTTTTATAAATAATTTATTGGGAAAAAATGAACTTGGGAATGCAAATTTAATTCTTTTTGGCAAATAGATTGGAAACTGAGGTAAAGTTACTGTTGGAACCCTTTTTGAGTTTTGGTCTTACTGGACTGTTTAGTTTTGGATTGAGTTGATTCATTGAATTATTATTATGCGAAAGAGATGATGGATCCACATATTGTTCATTGTTGGAAGATCCAGTAACGCTTTCCGAACTATTGCTCAAATTGTAAGTGTGGTGTTTCTCTTTGAGTAGATAGGTTTTCATTTTGCCCTTTCCTTTAACTTCAATCTCCCTCATGTCAAATTCGAATAAATCGTGAACTCTTTCATAGGTGGCTCGTGAAATTTGCACTCTACCAGGCAAACCTGTAGATTCCATCCTTGAAGCAGTCTGTAATTTAGAATCAATTATAAAAATAATTATTAAATAATTATTGACTTACATTGACAGCATCTCCCCATAAATCCTAAAATGGAATTATTTAAAATAATAAAATTGAAATCCATCAGTCGAAAGATGAAAACTTACGTATGCAAATTTACGTTGTCCCAAAACTCCTGCTACAACACTTCCCGTATGTAAACCAATTCTTCATAAAACTTATTGAAATTCTCATCAAATTTACAATAAACATACCTAATATTCACTGATGAACCATGATTGGCATTGTATTGTTGAATGGCTCCAATGGCTCCTATGGCAAATTCCAGTACAAATTATCAAACCATCAACAGTTGCATCACAAATGGCTCTAAGTTCTGCTCTTCCATCATTATCAATAGATTGTTTGGATTTCTTTCTGAACGAACGATTGAAAATGTAATTCTTTACAGGGTCAATGTTCTCTAAAATATCAGGTGGAACATTGCAAAACATGAGCATTAAGATATTCCTTTCCCTCCATGTTCTATTCATATACTTGTTGGCATATAACATGGCCAAGATTACTAGTACCATGACTGCACATGCAATTCCACTAACCACTCTCTCATTCACTTTCCCAATAAAATAATCGACTGCTTCCAACATAACTTTCCATGAAAGATTTCTAGTTCTTGTATATAATTCCAAATTCTTATAATATTGATTGAGTAGAACTTGCTCAGGGAATTTCTTATTGTAAATGTCCTCAGTTTGCTTTGTAAGTAAAAAAGAGAGGGCATCCACCATTTCATCTAAAGAAAAACAATCCATCTTGCTAATAGGAATATCATAGAGTGAATAATTTCCACAACTAGTATTTGATGATTTCAAAACTTGATTGTCAATAGATGTAGTCAACCCTACCAAATCATTGAAACCATCATCAGAGGTTCCAAATTTAAAGCCATTATATTGATCAACAACACTAAACAATTTGGAATATTCATAAAAGTCGAATGTAGAATATTCTAAATATTTCTCGTCATCAAACATGACCTGCAGAGAGGAAAACATTGTCTTTGTTAGAGAGTGAGTCATTTCTGTACCTTTCTGAACCTTGGTAATTGCATACAAATTGTAATTATTGCTATAAACAGCTTCAAACAAGATCATAGCCAAGGAAATATAGGTCAAGACAATTGTAGAGATAATTAAATAGATGATCATCCTGTTGGCAGCAAAAAATGGTGACTGTCTAATGAAATTCTTCATAGTTGATGTCTTGCTCTCCAATTCATGAAAAATTTTACCAACTTCATCTCTTGGCAATAATTTGAACAATTGAATTATCTTCTTGAGTTGTCCAATGTCAAATAGTATTGTTGTAATATATACAATCGAATACAATGTGAAAAGGACTAAAATGGTTGAAACTATTACAATAATTGTAACTTGCTTTAACTGAATGTTTTTGAAATTCTCAGCCGTTAAGGTATCACAAAAAATTTCCATCAAGTCTAAAAGACTGAAAGCGTTTTTCCAAAGAAATAAAAATTCATAATTTGCTGTTGCACTAAAGTTCTCAATGGTATAGTTTCTCACTATTTCCAATATGAA